CCCCCCCCCCGCGAGCACCCGCAGCCGCGACGCGTCCCCGCCCGCCTCCTGCGCGAAGCCGTCGCTCGCTCGCTCGCTCGCCCGCCCGCCCGCCCGCCCGCTCGCTCGCTCGCTCGGCGCCTCCGTCGCTCTCCGCGGCAGCCCGTGGCCAGCATGTTCGCCCGCGTTCTCTCCGCCCGCAGATCTGCCCGCCTGCTGGCCCTGGCGGGGGCCGCCGGCTCCCTGGCGGCGGGATTCCTCGTCTCCCGAGACTCCGTGGGAGCCACGGCGACCAAGCGGCGCCTCTACCCGCCCAGGTACCGCTCCCGCGGCGGCCGCGGAATGAACGTCCTTGGCGCCGGAGCTCCCGGCTGGCGGCCGGGTTGCGCGCACCAAGCCGGGGGACTCGGCGAGCCGGGCGGGCGAGGGGGTCCCGGGTCCGGAGGAGCCAGCCTCGGGGTCCGTGACTGGGCAAGGCTGGCGGCAGGGCGAGTCCCCCCCGCCCCCCCCCCCCCCCACGGGCTGCAGCTCCTTGCCGGCAGGCCCTCCCCTATGCCTGCAAGATTGGCGCAGCGCAGACACGCGTCCCGCCTGACCCCCCCCGCCCCCCCTGGCACTGCAGCAGCGGCGAGGCACGAAGTCTTCCAGTGGTGCAGACGTGAAGAGCCTGGTGCAACTCCAGCCAGTGCCCTTGGACAGCGCCCCTCTCCCTCCCCATCCCCCTCTCCCTGCACCCTCTGACTCCCACGGCCTGGGCTGGGCTGGGCTCGGGCAGACCTGTGGGCCCACGTCTCCCCTCCCGCTCCTGGGTCACCCCCGAAGACAAAGGGCTGTGGGGAGCCGGCCCAGAACCTGAAACTGCAGCCACTGCAGAGCTGGCTGGCTGGAGCATTTTCCCCTCTTCAACATGCCCTGCTAGGCTCCCTGCTTGGCAAGCGGTACCAGGAACTGCGGTCTGTTCATGCCCGGGCACGTATTCCCCACCCACACCTTCCCTGGCTGTGCCCGGGGCTGAGCTCATGGGCTGTCCCATACCGATCCTCCTTCCAGAGCAGATGGAGTTAGTCCTGCCTTGCTCAGCACAAAGCTTCACTCTTGCTACAGGCCCCGAGGGGTGGGCTGCTTCTCAAAGAGGTCCCCCAGGCAGAGGGGGCAGTGGGAGTGCCAGCAGAAGCTGGGGGATCTGAGGGGCACTCGAGGACTGCAGAGTGCCAAGAAAGTTGCAGACTTCCAGCCATTTCCCTGCCGGGGCCAGCTGAGACAAGGACCCTCCCGGCTCCGAGTCCTCCAGAAAGGACCCCTCAAGGACAAGGCTCCCAGGAGCAGAGAGGGCACCACGGAGGCCGGAGGCCTGCCCACGTCCCTTTGCTTGCTGTCTCTGCAGGACAAAGGCGGAGCCAGGAGACAAAGGCCCAGGCAGGGCCAGGCACATGAGGGGCCTGGCTGCAGGTAGCGTGGCTGAGGAGCAGCTTTTCTGACTCCAGGAGGGGGCGGAGAGCCCTCCCCCCGCAGATGGACTCCAACCCCCCCCCGCCCTGTCCAGGGGAGGTCAGGAAAAGCACAAAGCCCCTCTAAACTGGGAATGAGGTCATGAAGAAGGCACTGCTCACTAAGCAGATTAAGGGCAGCATCTCCTTAATTCCTCGGGCTCCTCCAGTGCTGCACTGCCCCCTCGCTTGCTGCGGCTGGGCTGATAACCGGAGCCCTCTTGTTGCTCTTACGGGTGGGGAGGGGGGATTCAGCCCTCCCCAGTGAGCAAGTCCCTGGTGGTCAGAACAGAGCCCAGTGGCACCAGGAGGCGGGAGTGGAGAAGCGGCCACAGATACACAAGAGAGGCCCGGCTGGCTCAGAGCAAAGGTCCATCCAGTCCAGCACTGGGCACACACGGTGGCAAAGCGGCTGCTCCCCGGATCCCTGGGAGGAGTTACGCTGCCCAGCATGGAGTTTGCCTTCTTCACAGCAGATGAGCGCCAAGCTGACAGTTTCCTCAAGCTGCCCCCCAGCACCCAAGAGCCCTTCCTTGCAGTCACTGCTAGCTCCCCAGTCTTTTTTGATCTTAAGTACCCTAAGAGGCGTAGCGCCATCTGCAAACTTGGCCCCTACTCACGCCTTAGGCCCCAGTTCAGCATTGTTCGGGTGGGTGCACCATGCTGCCTTAATGCACTGAAGAGGAAAAGCCAAGCTGGGATCTCTGTGCTCACAAATGGAGATAAAAAAGCAGGAGTGGGGACTGCAGATTCTGGGGCCCGGAGCCACAGAGGAATGTCTGCACACTGGAGAGCACCTGCCCCCCACAAGCAAGGAGTCTTCTGGTGGTTGGTCTTCCTTACAGGCACCGGGAAGGGGGAGGGCAGCTCGCTGGCACAGGGGGGCAAGAAGAGGTGCATTCCAAGCCCAGCCAGAGGCCTGTTTTCTGCATCTGGGCTCAGCTGTGTGTTATTCCCCACGTGCACGCCGGGTTCAGGCCTTTGGTAAGGGGCAGGGTTAGAAGGGCCACGAATGTTGTGCAAAGCAACATTTGGGGCCAGTCTGGAGGAGCCTATTCTGGTGAAGTAACTGTGGGGAAAAGTCAAAAGAACTGCATTGAAAATGTTTGTTTGTTTGTATCCCACCTTTTTCCTCTCAAGGAACTCAAGGTGGCTTACATACTTCTCCTCACTCTTTGAGGAGCCGAGAGTCTGTTACTGGTGCAACATCACCAGTTGGCTCCATGGCTGAGCAGGGACTTGAACCCGGATTGGCCAAGTCCCAGTCCTCCACTAAGCCACACTGGCTCAATAAGTGGCACTAACTACTCAATGTGGCGGTGTGTGTGTGTGTGTGTGGGGGGGGATCTAACTTCCTCTCAAAACAGCAAGGAAACCCATCCAGTGGTCAGCATCTCAGCTGTGGAAACCTCCTAAGTCTATCCTGCTTCTTTTCCACCTGCCCCTTCCATCTTCACCTCAGTGCTGAGTACCCTGATCTGCGCAAACACAACAACTGCATGGCCAGCAACCTGACCCCAGCTATCTATGCCCACCTCTGCGACAAAGCCACACCCAATGGCTGGACTCTGGACCAATGCATCCAGACCGGGGTGGACAACCCTGGGCACCCCTTCATCAAGACCGTCGGCATGGTGGCAGGCGATGAGGAGTCCTACGAGGTGAGTGCCCTTGGAGGCTGCCAGGCATCCTCCTCCCCACAGCCAATGACCCTGCTCTGACTAACCGATGCCCACCTTCCGACAACAGGTTTTTGCCGGTATCTTCGACCCAGTGATTGAGGAGCGGCACAACGGCTACAACCCCCGCGTCATGAAACACCCGACTGATCTGGAAGCCAGTAAGGTGTGCAGTACCCTAAGCAAGCCCAAGAGAAAATTCCCCCGTGAGGAAGGGAGCACCAATTCTCTTCCACAAGAGGAAAAACCCAGGTTTCCCTCAAAACACTGGTAGAGATCTGCTTCAACAGCCATCATTCTCCTCTCCAGTTACAATCATTGTTTTGGTGCTACACTCTCTAATGTGTGATTACACCAGATAAGGAACTGGCAGGCACACCACCCAAAACTGAGTTTTGGGGCATCCCACACTATTCAAGGAGAAGGTCCTCTTCAAGATGACATGTATCTGCATCTAGCACAGTGCTTGTTTGGTAGGATGTGTCTAAGATTGTCTAAACCATAGTCTAAGATTGCAGAGTTATAGGAACCTTGTTAAGCTTATGGACTGAGCTCTGTTTCGCACTGCCATGCAAACAAGGACTGGAAATGAGCGATCCATTTCTGCAGTGTGGTATTGGGAGAAAGGTCTCAGCTTGTCAGGCACCAGAACACTTGGGAGAAGCCAAGCCTGTACAAAAGAGGTATCATTCCCTGGAAGCAGAGTGCTCGTATTTAACATAAAAACTTCTGGCCATCTCACTTAACCTGCCATGGGGCAGTGGCCAAGAGGGCCCAGGCATCCCTCCGGGGTGTCATCAACCTCCCTGCTTCAGGCAGACCTGTCTATCCTTGCATGCCTCCCAACAGACAGTTGGGTGATAGGGAGCATGAAGCTGTGGCCAGTCTGCATAACTGCCCCCCCCCCCGGTGTTCTAGCAAGTGGCGCAGGCAAGGGGGACATAACGCACACCCCAACCCATTGTCCTGTCATTATCTCCCCCTCAGTATTTGATTGCTTTCCAAACTACTTTTGCAAGGTGCGTTTTTGGTACTACATTTCTGAGTATTGCAAAGACTTTTAAATTCCAGTCCAGTGGTGGTATCATGCTTACTGGTGGGAGTGGTTTCAGGCAGTGGAATCTGTTTTGCAAATTTCCCTCCACCATTTCCCCCTTCCATCTGTACTCCCTCCACCTCCTTTCAGTCACTGCTTTCCCCTCATGTTTATTTCCATGGGATTTGCAAGAGGAAACCTGCACCGCTGTTGCACAGTAGGTTTTCACCAGACATCTACAGCCGTGAGCAGCGCTGAGCACACACCGTCCGTTCCGATGCAGCCGAGAACGCTCCCGTGGCGCAGATGGCTGTGTGGCGTTCTCCTTCCGTGCACCTGCACAGCAGCGAACGGCCAGTTTATTTTTAACCCTCCAGTCCCGCACAAACCAGCATCATGGGAGGCCCTCCTCCTCCTCCTAGAATTGCAGTGCCACCTTGTGCCTTGTGACACATCCTCACACGACAGTGACAACACCAGCAGGAAAGCACACGTGACCATCCAGGTCCTCTTACTTCCCTGAGCGCAGCACTGCCGTGCCCTCCACGCAGGAGACTGAGCTGTGCTCACCGGCGTGGCTCCGGCACAGCGACTGCGTGTCAGAAACGTGCCGCGCGGCAGTGCTTCCCAGGCAAAAGGGCTCCAGGGCAGGGACCCTCCCACTGCCATCCTGGGCAGTGAAGCCCAGCTGTAGGGACCGGCTGGCAGCTGCATGCATGGGTCGTTCAGGCTCTCTTCCTCTCAGCAGTGCTGCACCAAGGCTTAGGCTTTGCCGTGTGTGTTGCTTCTCTGTTGCCCTCCCTGACAAGCAGCCCTTTGCTTCCCCCTGGTAGGCCTGGCTTCACCTGGCCACCTTCCCCTCAAGTCTGGAAGGAGCTGGCTGGGGTTTCCCTGGTCCCCGCAGGCTCCTGGAGCGTGAAAGGACAGACCCCTTGCAGCAGTGCTGAAGCAATGAGCTAGTGGAAGGGGATAGGGAATACGGGGGGAGGAGGAGGAGGATGGGGGCAGGAGGCCTGCTAATTGCTCACCAGCAGGGCTGAGCCCCTGAGCAAAGTAAGAGTGGAAGCTGGACCACGTGGGAGCCAGTTTTGCTGCCCCTCCCATAGCAGGCAATTAGCCAGGCAGCAAGTTCCGGACAGAAAAAGGGAAGGGCTTCTTCACACTGCGCACAGGACATTTATGGAATGTGTTTCCACACGATGTGGCCATGAGTCCTTCCGAGGTGGCTTTAAAGGTGGATTGCCCCAACAGAAGGTGAAGCAGAGTTGCCTGGGCATAATTAGTCATGAGAATGGGCTGGAGGTCCTTCCCTGTCGGGGGCAGCAGCTCAGTTCATGGCAAGACCAGTTTGAAGCCCTAGACAGGGCCACCTGGTGGACTGGTAAAGGAAAGGGGCTTGTTTATTTATTTGATTTATATGGCGCTCCACTAGCCATAGACTCTCTGGGAATCTTACATCATATTAAAATCCAGAAACAGCATAAAAACAGTACAAAACATGACAATCCACAATTACAAAGGCTCATTACAAAAAATAAGCTACCCAAATTAAATAGAACCAAAATTTTAAAAATGCGGAACTGCCTTGGCCTGTCCCTGCTGCAACAGTGTTGACGACAATGACGACGGCCACACGGCACGTACAGGCCGCCTTCTCCCTCCTGCGAGGAAGCCAAGGTGGCTTGCACAGCTCCCTTTACCTTCAGAAGACAAGCCCTGTGTGGCCTGTGGTGGCTCCGCACGACCCCCTCGCCTCCCGCCCGGGCTTATGGTGCCCAGCACTCCACCTCCATGGGGTGCCTTTTCTTTGCAGATCAAGGCTGGCCACTTTGATGAGCGCTACGTATTGTCATCGCGGGTGCGGACGGGCCGCAGCATCCGCGGCCTCAGCCTGCCTCCCGCTTGCACCCGGGCTGAGCGTCGGGAGGTGGAGAAGGTCACGACAGAGGCCCTGAGCGGCTTGACCGCGGACCTGGCTGGGAAGTACTACCGCCTCAGTGAAATGACGGAGAAGGAACAGCAGCAGCTGATCGACGTGAGTGGCAGGGCGGCTGGGTGGGCGAGTGGGGGGCCATGCAGGGGGCTGCAGGGGGCACGGTCACCACCACTAGGCAGGGGGGCTGAAGAGGCTGAGAGCCTGCCCCCGGCAGCTTGACTGGGGCAGACCTCCAGAACTTTCCACCCCACTGCCCGCCTCCCCTCCCCAGTGCTGCAGACAATGCCCCCACCTGCCCCCAGGGCCTCACAGCCGTGCAAAGGACCACTTCCTGTCCCTGCCTCAGCCTCCCTGCCCTATTTCTTCCTGCTGCTGGCTAGAAGAGCAGGCTGGGAGGGGGCTCCTTGCCTACCTGGCCCACTCTCAGCCCTACCTGTCTGCTGGGGAGGCAGGTGGAAGCTGGATGGCCCTCCCATCGCCATGCTCTCCTTCCCACTTCCTTCCCGCAGGACCACTTCCTTTTTGACAAGCCGGTCTCCCCCCTGCTGACAGCGGCGGGCATGGCGCGGGACTGGCCTGATGCCCGTGGGATCTGGTAGGCTTTTCTGGCTTCATCAATGGGGGGTGGGTGCAGAGGGACTGGTGGGGAAACCACCTCTCCCCCACCAGGACCCATGTGCCAGGGCGGTCGGTGGCCCCAGGGCTCTGCAAGCCAGTGGCTCATCTGTCCTGGTTGGAGTGCATGCCATCCCCTGGGGATCTGCACTGGAAGGAACCCGGCAGGCAGCTGAGGCGAGGCGAAGCGAGGCGAGGCGAGGCATGGCTGGCCTCTCGCCCCTGGCCCGGGCCTGCTCATGCCCAGCGTGAAGCCAAGCTGATCCGAGCAGCCCAGGGGCCAGCCCAGTGGAGGCCTCCTCCTGGACGGGAGGAGAGCCCTGTGGGGATCCGGGCCAGCAAAGGAGGCAAAGAGGGTGGAGGGGAAGTGCCGACGTGGCCAGGAGTGGCCGCCACGCCCCGAGTCTGATCAGCTGGACCCTCTGCTCAGGCACAACCACGAGAAGACCTTCCTGATCTGGGTGAACGAGGAAGACCACACCCGCATCATCTCGATGGAGAAAGGGGGCAACATGAAGAGGGTCTTCGAGAGGTTCTGCCGGGGCCTGAAGGAGGCAAGTGCGCCCTCCCGCTACCTTGGGCAGGGCCAACACCCGCGTACCCCTGTGGGAAGCGGAGCTGGCCTTCTGTGCAGCTACGGCCAGGCGGAGGCCCAAGTGGCCCGGATGCCAGTGCTGAGGGATGCGCTGGGCCAGCGGAGGGCTCTGGCCCGGGCACCCTGGCCGGGGGCAGCCGCTCAGCACCTGGTCTTCCCATGCATGCAGGTGGAGCGCTTGATCCAGGAGAGGGGCTGGGAGTTCATGTGGAATGAGAGGCTAGGCTACATCCTGACGTGTCCCTCGAACCTGGGCACCGGGCTGCGTGCCGGAGTGCACATCAAGCTGCCACTGCTGAGCAAGGTAAGTGCCGGGAGAAGCGTGGTCCAGGCTGTCCCCAGTCTCCAGGGGAAGCCCACAGGCCGCTTACACAGGCCCCGTGGCTAACGCCCCGGGCAGGGCGTCTCCTGCCACGTTCCAGGCTTTAACCTCTAAAAGGAGCTCCCAGGTACCCCCCTGCCCAGCGCCAACCTCTGCCAGCCTCTCTCAGCACAGACATGCTACCCCTTCCCTCCTACTCTCTCCCTCTCTCCCGCAGGACAGTCGCTTCTCTAAGATCCTGGAGAACCTGAGGCTGCAAAAACGAGGAACAGGAGGGGTGGACACTGCGGCCACAGGAAGTATTTTCGACATTTCCAACCTGGATCGCCTGGGCAAATCAGAGGTATGGGGGGAGACGGTCATATGTTGCAGAGCATTGGCTGGATGGGGGGGGGCAAAAAGAGGGGTGCCTCTAAAGCAAGCCACTGCAACTTGCCGGAGGCAGGGAGGCAGGGAGCAGACACAGTTTGCAGAAGGATGGCCGGGCCAGCAAGGGAGAAGCAGGTAGAGTCCACCTGCATTGCAGCAGCGCTGCCCTCCTTCCCAGCCGCATGGCATCGCATTCGTGTCCCCGGCAGGTGGAGCTGGTGCAACTGGTGATTGATGGGGTGAACTACCTGATCGACTGCGAGAAGCGCCTGGAGCGAGGCCAGGACATCCGCATCCCACCGCCAGTGCCGCAGTTCCGCAGCTGAGCCTCCGTCTCCGTGGGACATCTGCTCTCCTGGCTGCCCAGGATCTGGCCCACGGGCTGCCCACAGTCCTCATAAACCTCCAGCTGCTGTGACCTTTGCCTGCCTCTGGCTTTTTGTGCTTCGGGGGGGGCGTAGGGGTGCCAGGCCAGGCTGACCTGGGGGGGCAGGACACCTGCTTTGCACGCCTAGGCCCGGCCCCAGTCCCAGCTCGCCTCTCCAAAGGCAGAGGGACCGGGTGGCACCTGTCAGAGCAAGGGGCAGGCGGTCTGGGTTGCCAGCCACCTCTGTCCTTACGAGCCGGGACAAAGAGGGGTGGGGGCAGCAGGGCAGGGCAGGGCAGGGCAGGGCAGGGCAGGGCAGGGCAGGGCACACAACAGTGGCTGCAGCAGGGTCGGGTCATCAGCGCGGAAGCCTCCAAACACCTGCGGAGAGGTGCAGCCATGCCCCCGGCCAGAGGCCTCAGCAGCCCATGACAGGGAGCGGATTCAGCCCCCTCTGCCGGAGGACACGAGGGCCCGGTCTGGGTGCACAAGCCCAGCCAGGCACTACATAGGCACGAGAAAACGACTTGACTCGAGAGAATATGCTCGATCGCAGGAAAGGGCACATGGCCCAGGACACAGGGTGTAGCCCCCTTTGCTGACCGGGTGGCAGCAACAGTCGTTCACTGGTTTGAAAATCCCACCACAGATGCTGATGGGTCATGTGAAGCCAGGTCGCTCCCACACTTGCCTGGGAAGCTGGCTTGGAGCTCTGGCAAGGGATTTCTTGCTCCCTGCCTACAATGACTTGGCTCTGGTCGTGCTGATACCACTGGGATTTGACCGGCATGCTCGGTTTTCATGCCAGTCAGCCAGGGACGTCCCACACTGCCCTGGCTTTGGAGGCGCTGGAGGCTGATGGACAGGCAGAAGGGAAGCCTTCGTGGGTGAAGCAACGGCACTGGTTTTGGGGGGCTTCACGTGATCATGTCTGGGAACCTTTAGGCTGAGCAGCACGGCCTTCGCCCGGGCCTTCCCTTTGCTTCTTCTCCAGAGGCCAAGTCATGCTGCAGGGAACAAGCTGCCTTCTGCTGGTTCCTAGGAATGCTCAGGATCTGACTGCGTGGTTTAGGCAGGGACGGTTTCCAAACAGCTCGGAGGAGGAGCCTGCACACAGCTCCCCTAGCAGGTCTCCAGGAGAGCTGGGGGCCATAGGGCAGAGCAGGTGGTCCCAGGGCGGGAGAGGGCCTGGCCAGCCACGGAGGCACTGATTGCAAGCTGCCCTCCAGATTCAGACCAAGGGACAGTTGCCTGGGAAATGCTTTCTGGGGCCACAGGACAGGCCTGGTGCCCTCCTTCTGCAGGCACCGCAGCAGCAAAGGTAAGGCCTTGGAGCGGAAGCCAGGCCCAGGCCGGAACCGGGCCACATGAGTGGCAAGCGGGTGTGGTATTCACACCCCCTTCCTGAAAGAGGTCATGGGGTGCAAATGCACGCAGGCGAGTCAGCTGGCTAATCCGCCTTGACCCCAGTTCCTCCAGGGCCCTCTGGGCATCATGCACCCCACAGAGCCCCCAGTACCCCCCACCCTTGCTTCTTCACACCCTCCTCGGTGCCACTCCATGCCATGTCTTACACCCAGACCGCCAGCCTTTGCCCCAGCAAGGATGAAGCTAAGCGGAAGAGTGGCCACCTGCGCCCCCACCGAGCATCGCCTCCCCACACCACCACTTAGGCATCTTGATGCCCTCCCAGTGCCTTCCTTTGTAACCTGGGGATGAGTGGCTGGCCCACCCTTTGCCTCTCCCAGGGGGTTTCTGGAGAACCAGCTGCAGGTTTGGGCCTGTCCCAGCCACACCTGGCTGCTTGTGTCAAGCAAAAGCCTCTAGAAGACGGGGGGACTGCTGCTGCAGGGAACAGCGCTCGGAAAGCTGAGCATGGCAGGCTAGCAGTGCTTGGGCAGCCGTGAAGGGAGGGCAGGCTGGCCCCGTGAAGGGGCATGGGAGATACCCAGTCAGTGCCAGAATCGTTTTGCCAGCCAGCTGGCAGCTGCTTGCCCTGTTGGGAGGCAAGAGGCCCTGGGGGCCAAGCAGCCTTGAAGGAATGGCCTGCTCAGGGACTTAACCAGTGCCAAGATGCTCGCTTTCAGTGCAGCCCCAAGACCTGCACCAGAAGAGGGGCCATCCCGGAGGAGTCTCTGCGTTCTGGCACCAGGCTATGCCATGCAGCTCAAATCTAGCAGGGTGAGGCCTTTGTTGCACCCAGTGAGAGGATAAAGAAGTGCTTGAATCTTCTGTCTCTTTCGAAAACTGAGAGGAAGCTCCCCTTCCAGAAGGAGCTGTCATGCCTGCTCAAGGCGGCGTTGGGTTTCCTCTTCCCTGCCAGAGGAAGCTTTGGATGGCCGGCCGGCCGGCCCAGGAACGGCGGCTCTTCAGCTTTGCCGCTGTCCTCTCGTCCTCTCTTCATCCTTGCCAGCCCGCTAAGTGCCCTGACCTGCACCCGGCAACGTGGTGTCGGCAGGGCCAGCTCCCTCGGGCAGTGGAGAAGGGGCCAGGCATGGCCTCAAAGCGCAGAGCAGCTGAGCGCATCAGGGAGGCGCACCGAGCAGGCCAGCAAGCACGTGCCTTCCGCGTGTGGGCCGAGGCGTCACAAGGGCATGTCCCAAGGCCAGCCCACGAAGCCGCCCGCTGCCTGCCGTGCCACCCCATCCGTGGTGGGTCACACTCGGCTCCTCCCTTCCCCTCCAGGCAGGCCCAGCAAAGCCAGGAGGGAAGCTCTGCAGGGCCAGGCACCGCTCAGGAGGCCCACGGGTGCTGGCAAGGGCCGCGCTGGCAAACCTCAGCTGCAGGGTGCTCTCCTGTTCGCAATTAAAAACCTGCTAAAGCCCTATTAAAAATCCACTGAGGAAATGGCTTTGATAGTTTTTAAAGGTCTTTAGAAGGCAACGACAATAACACAATAAAGACATTAGAATGTCATGTGATTTATCACTTTCAATAGTTCAATTAGCAATTAAAATCCATTAAAAACCAGCTAAGATGTAATCGGTTTTTAATAGCTTTAATGTTCATTATTGAATTTGCAGCACAAAAATATTAAAATCCATTAAAATCCATTGACATGTAGGTGCTTTTAATGGTGTTTTAATAGGCAACTCATTAAAGTCAATTAAAATCAGTTAAGAAGTAACATACTTTAATAGGTTTCTAATGAGTTTTAAGTGGCAGTTAAAACCCAATAGCAGTAAAATCTACTCTACATGTACTCTAATCATAAGTCTACTCAGAAGTAAGTTCTTTTGCATTCAATAGGACATCCTGCCAAGTGCTTTTAGGATTGCAACATAACACTTCTTAAGGGGAAATTAATTATAACAGGCTTTACTATGTTTAAATTGTTCATTAATGGCCCATTAAAACCTAATGATCATTTAATGGTTTCCTATTTGTCAACTAAAACACTTAAAAACCAGTTAACCCATAATGGGTTCTTATGAGATTTTAATGTAGTTTTAATCTACAGTTAAAACTAAACTGAAGACATAATTGGCTTATAATTTGCAATTAAACCTTCATCAACTGTATTAAATATCACTTATGTCTTAATGGGCTTTAATTGGTTTTACAACCATTTCTTAGGATTTTAACAAGCAATTATAAACCCATTTAATTCTATTATTATTTTGTAATATTTGTATACCGCTCCATATCTAGACAGATTCCAGAGTGGTCAACAGTTCAAAGCTAAAACAACTAAGCAAAAACAGTACATTAAAACCATGGCTGGTCAGCAAGGAGGTCCTCAGTAGTGTCCAAAACCCACAAAGTTGGTGCATGCCAGAGCTTTCTGTGTGGTGGCCCCATTTCTAGGCATTTCCTTCTCTTTGGAGCTCTGGCAGGAAATGCCTGGAAATGGGGCCACCACACAGAAGGCTCATTTCCCGGTAGAGTACTATTTGACTGTTGGTGACATTTTGAGAAGGGAGGGAGCGAAGAACTGACAATTCCTTCTGCCCTCTTGCAAATATCACAGAAAAGGAGAGAAGATCTTCCTTGCTGACCAAGGAAGTAAAGGAAGACCCAGGGAGTAAATCAGGTGAAAGTAACACATTTTCACAGTTTTAAAATCCCATTAAAATTTATTCAGATTTTATTTTAAATTGTAATTATTTAATTTTTTCTCTATTTACCTTGACTCAACTCATTATAACAATGTTGTGTTAATATAAACATTAATATCTAACGCATTCTCAGATGTTCTGTTCCCTTTATATGTATTTTTTTCTGTTGTTATTTTCACCACTAAAAAGTTAGGTAAAATACAATTTTCACTTGTCATTAAATTCTTTGGCTATTACAAATTTACATAATTAGTCAGTCTTGCCCTGCCCTTACATTTACTACATAGTCAGTAATGTAAAATACTTATTTTTCTAATCTTCAATATTTGCTTTTTCTTCTGCTTTCCATTTTAAGGCAATTTTAAATCTAGCCACAATTGTGATATACTTAAATAACTCTGTTCATTAACTCAACTTACTATAATGATGAGCACTGGTAAAAGAGCTTATATCTAGCCATATTTTCAAAAATTCTATCCCACTTATGTAACTCTGCTTGCTGTAACTATGAAGCATTTGTGAAAACATTTATCTCCAACAATATTTTCAAAAATTCCGCTTCATAGTAATAACTTTATTTGGATTTCTTTCTTCAGTTTTGCTATCAATCGGTAATAAAGAAGCCATTTTATATTAATATTTTCCCTTTATCTTTTAGTCCTTGCCATGACTTCAAGTAGTTCACTCATCATTTCATGTTAGAAAATCATTGCTTTTCCTCACGTTACTTACAGCGTGTCCTCTATCGGAGACATCGCAGGTCATTTTTATCGGCAATTTTTATCAGACCACCTCAGGGTACATGACTACCATTCTGTGTTAAACTCTGTGGGCAGCTTCGACGGGGTCGGCCCGGATACCCAGGCCGGGCGCTGCCGCCGCCCGCAGAGGGGCATGTGCGGAGAGGCCTTTAAAACCTGCTCCTCGATTCCTGCCCTGCCACCTTTTAAGGGGCTGGCAGCTGAGCTCGTACTTTGCTGCCTGGTGCTAAAATTGCTCCGCACTGCTTTTGTAACACGCTAGTTGGTTTTGCGATTTTACTGTTTTAAAATGTGCCAGAGAACATTTAAAATGCACCCAGAGAACATTTTTTCCTACTGTGTCCAGACAGTCAATGTCAGCAGGGTCGCCCAGGCGGCAATCACCCCAGGATGCCCCTACTGCCCGTCGGGGAAGCAGCTGCAAAGGCCGCCCGGCCCCAGAGAAAGCCCCGGCCTCGCGGGGTGCCCGCTCCCGTCTTGGCGCACAGGACCCTTTCCCGGGAAGCGCCCGGTTGCGCTCGACCGCCTCGCTTGCTGGAGGGGCTGGCGAACCTCGGGCATGCAATGCGGCACGCCAGGGCGCCGGGGTCACGCCAGGAGACGCGGCTTCCGCCTGCACCGTGAGGGACCGAATGAAACCCCGCCGGGGGCGGGCGGCCCCGCAAACTGCAGGGAGGCTCCCAGGGCAGCGGCTCCCGCCTGCGCTCGGCAACTGCGGGAGGGGCGGACGCAGCACGGAGAGGGGCGCTGCGAGACCCCCCGGCCCACGCGCCCCAGCCGACGGCGCTCCTCGCGCCTGCGGCTGCCTCGCCGTGGGGCGGGCGGCGGGCTCCGCTTGCCCCTCCGAGGCCGCCACGGAGGCGCCGCGGGCTCCGATTCCCCCGCCGCCCGGGAAGGCACCCCAGGCGGGAGGGCGCCGCGGGCAGGACCACCGGGCCGCGGCGAGGAAAGCGGGCGGGGCGCGGCGGGGCGGGGCGGGGGCCCAGCTGCCGCCCAATGGCGGCCCGGCAGGGGCGGGGCCCGTCACGTGGCGCCCAGGTTTAAAGTGCCCGGCGGGCGGCGGGCGGCCGGGCGGCGGCCATGAGCTCGCTGCAGGCGACGAAGCTGGGCTGCCTCGCAGCCCTGGCGGTGCTGCCGCTGCTCTGCGGCCTTCTTCCGGCAGCAGTGCTGCTCCGCCGCCGCCGCGGCGACGCCGCCCCTGGGACCGGTGCGTGATCGCGCGAGGCCGGGCGGCAGCGGGGCCGGGGTCGGGGCTGGGGTCGCGCCCGCGCCGCCGCTCACTGCCTTCTGCCTTCCCTCCCGCAGGCTGCTTCTCTAGTCGCGGGCGGAGCATCCTCAGCTGTGCGGCCGGAGGGGTCTTTCTGGCCGCTTGCCTGCTGGACATCGTCCCTGACTCGCTGGCCGACCTGCGGGAGGAGCTACGGCGACAAAGTCTCTCGGTAGAGAAGCAGCGGGCAGGGGGAGGCAGGAAGGAAGGAAGGAAAGGAGGACAAGTGCGGGTGGCCCCGGTCCGCGGGGAGCAGCAGCCGAGGGAAAGCGGCGGGGTGGGGCTGACGCACCGACTCGGTTCTCTGGGCCAACGCTTCGTTGGGGGCTATCTCGCGTTTCCGAAGTGCGGCCCTCGAGGCGTAATGGGAGCAGCAGGTTGGGCGCAGATAACCAAATCCGAGACAAGGAACAAGGCAGCAGCAGCTTCTGGGCTGACCCACTACCGAGGGCCTTAGGGGAACAAGGAGGCCTTGGCATTGCAGCGGCAGCAGCCTGCTTCAAAACTCCGACCTGGTTTGTCCTTTCACAGTGAAACGCCTTAGGAGCTGCCGACATGAACTGCTCAATCAGAGTCCCACCATGGCTTGTCTTGTTCTCCAAAGGGAGGCTGTATAGCTTGTTGGAAATTTAAGGAACCCTTAAATAACCCATAAGCTTGTTAGTTATCTGTAATTAATTGTCCAGAGAGCCAGGAGGCTAATGCAACAGTATTCAAAAGTGCTAAATAAATAAATAAAATAATTATGAGAGCTGATGAACCCCCTCAGCAAGCCACGCCTGTTCGGACAGCATGCTGAGCCCAGCCAGGCAGTGACGATGCAACTCGCCTTCTGCGTGCATGGGGATGCACGACCAGCCACAGTAGCTTGCCTCGATTGTGCAAAGCTGATTTGCCCTGAATTTGCCAATTCCTCCTTGGAAGAATCCAATTCTTAGACTGAATTAAAGCAGGAGAGGATTGAATAAAAACCTTCAGCCTCACCTGACTGCTCCTACCTTTAGCAAAATCCTTGTGACCTTCTGAAGGGCCTCCCATAATTCAAGAATAGCAAAAAAATTAACCCAGAATTTTGCAAGTCTGCTTGCTCCCATAAGCCTGCCCCAGACATGGAAATTGTTGCACAGAAAAACCACAAGCTTCCTTCTCCCTTGTCTGATGACCTATTGTGGCTTTACCATGCATTAGAGCTGGTGAGGTATATCAGGACTTTTTCCAGCTATCCAAGTAACATACTTCTCCCTTCTACAGCTGGACTTCCCAGTGCCTGAATTCATCCTGGCTCTGGGCTTTTTGCTAGTACTGGTGCTGGAGCACGTGGTCTTAGACTGCACTGAGCAGTACGGAGATGAAGCAGCACTTCCACTCTTGCCCGGCCCCACTTCCCCGCCCTGTGAAGAGGCCCACCTTGGAGAGCAGCCTAACGGGGCTGGAATGCCCGAAACACACTTCGCCTCCCCCTTCCGCTCCCTGGTGCTGACCCTTGCGCTCTCACTGCACTCAGTGTTTGAGGGCCTTGCTGTGGGCCTTCAAGACATGCAGACCAAAGTGCTGCAGCTGGCCGTGGCCATTTTGCTGCACAAGACCATCATTGTTTTCAGTCTGGCCCTGCTATTGCTCCAGAGCTGCCTGCCACTGCGCTGGCTTGTGGCCTCCTTTTCTATCTTTGTGCTCATGTCTCCGCTCGGTGTGGGCCTGGGTATGCTGGTGACGCACAGCCCCGATGCAGGAAGCATCACAGCCCAGGCTGTGCTGGAAGGGGTAGCTGCTGGAACCTTCATGTACATTACTTTCCTGGAAATCCTGCCTCAAGAGCTGAACTCTCCCACCAGTCGCTTGCCTAAACTCCTTGCTGTTTTGCTGGGCTTCTCAGGCATGGCCTGCCTGCACCTCCTGACCTGAGGGTGCCTGCAACAGAGAAGCTGAGAGCGACTGATCCAAGGACCCTTGAAGAGATGAAGGACTCAATTTTCCAGGCAACTTTTGTAACAGCCAAGGTTTGGCATGGCTTCTCTCCCCACACCCTTTCTAAGACGGGCACTGATTGGCTGGGCCCATAAATGTTTTTATTAAAAATAGCCTGTCTTTTTAACAGTATGGCCTGAAAACGTCCTGGTTTTTATTTACTCTCCACTCCCACGATATTAGACTTGGAAATGCAAAGCTCACCATGCAAGTTCTGTACCTTGGTCAGGTCATAAGACATCTCCCTAGTCTTCGCCCTCGACCCCTTATTTGGGCAGACGGCAGAAGAGTCAGCCCGGAGAGGGGCGGGGAATCGTTGTGTACCCTCGGTGGGCCTGCAGCGCCCCCTGCTGATACGGTCGACTTCGTCCGGTCTCCGCCCTCCAGCACTGGAGACTGCCTTCAGCTACCACTGGAGCTCCTGGGCTGGATCTTTCAAAGTAGCTGCTGGTGCCCCTGACAGACACCTTCTTCACCGCAGACTGTTTTTCCAAGCCACCAGGACAGGTGTCAGCGGGAGTTGTGCCGACCCATAAATGCTGCTCTTTCTGGTTGGAGAGCTTATTTACCAAACAGCCAGACTGGCACTTATTCCATTCAGGATGGCACAGAGCCTTTCCAACAGGGCACATCAAGCGCTGCTAGGGCTCCAGTTCTTGCCAGGTGACTGAGCTGAGCCAAGAGTTGTAAAACTGTCACCAACCGTTCATATTTAGGCCCAGGAGTGCTACCTGATAGGCAAGACAGGACCGCAAATAGGGCTGTTAACTGGTGGACTTTCCCGAGTTTCTCCCTATTTGGGGCCTGTGCAGCAAGCAGAAGAAACAGCCACCGCTCTGGCATTGAAATAAGCGTTGTTCACTGAAAGTCGAGGAGACGGACTTTTGGCGAGCAATGGCGACACTGTGCACCCCAACCTTAGCCCGCGCTTGATGGCTGGCTCGCCTGCGGGGGAAGACAGCAGCAGCGAGCGCAGGGCTGAAGGGGTCGCTTTGGGGTCGGATGAGGTGAAATCCCCGGGAAGGCAACCCGGGAAGCGCGGGCCTGCCCTCGCATGTCACAGCTGGAGCCCCGTTCCGCCGCCGGCCTTCCTGGGCTGGAAGTGGGGGTTCCCATTCGAGGCAGCCGCCCTGCGGCCCACCTCTCGGCGAACAAAGCACGTCGCAGAGGCGGCGCACCGCGCCCTCGCTCCCGCGCGCCTCGGGCAGCAGGAGCGGAGCTGGGCCCGGCTGCGGAGCGCGCCTGGCACGGCGGGCAGCGGGTGCGGGTGACCCCGCAGCGGCCAGCACGGCGCTGCAGGCGGCGACGGACCCCTGCGGCGTCGCTATGGCGACCTCCTCCGGCTCGTCCCGCCTCTTTCGGCGAACGCCCCTCCTCCCGGCGCCGGCCAATGAACGGCTGCCACACTGCAGATCCGGCCTGTCTCCCCAAGGGGGCGGGATTTCCGGCTCCTCTTTAGCTTCCCACTGAGGCGAGGGCGAGAGAAAGCGAAAGTCGCCGCTACCGGACCCGTTTCGCCTGCCCGTGCCTCACCGCTCCGCCCTCCGCGCGACCATCGGCGACTGACCCTCATGGAGGTGCTGCTCCTCGTCCTGCTGCTCGCCTTGGTGCCGCGGCCCGGCCGCGCTTCCGACGTGATCGAGCTCAGCGACGACGACTTCGATAGCGGCCTGGCCGATCGCAGCGTCGCCCTCGTCGAGTTCTACGCGCCCTGGTGGGTGGGGCGCGCCTCCGCCGCGCCCGAGATCTCGCGCGCCCCCGGGGTCTGCGGAACGCGCCTCTGGCTCGCCCACCCGCGGGGAAGGGGGCACGTGCACCGCCCCTCGATCCGCGGCCGGGCGGGCGGGCGCTTGACCTTTCTGGGGCTGCCTCGCTTGCTGCCGCACGGCGGGACTCCGCCGACGTGCTTCTTGCCCGGACCGGGCTTCCACGGGTAGAGCGCTCGGCTGGAAAGCTCTAGCTTCGCGCGGCGGGGCTGGCGTGGCCGCGGGGGACAGAGCGGCCGGGACGCCTCAGAAACCGGTGGGAGGCTGAAGACATTCGCGGGCACGGCGCCGCGGGCGCTTCCTGAAAGCAGCGTCAGGCGGGCTCGGTGTCTCGGTTGTAGGGACTACAGCCCCCGGCGTGCAGTGGGGCAGCCGCTTGGTGGGCGGAGCCTTTTTGCCGTGGCTGCTCCTGAGTGGCTGGTGCGAGGGGTCACCCGCGGGATTGGCTGGGAGCTCTTCGCTGGAGCCGCGGTCGGCCGGCGCCTCTGCGGGTCCCGCAAAAGTCGCCCCGAGGAGTGCGGGGGCGAGCCCTGCAGAGGCGGCGGTGGGCAGGCGCGGCTGGAGAGGGTGCCGGAACTCTCCGGGGGTCGTGGAATATTAACGTTCCTGCGGCATGGATGGCTTTCTTGGCCGTGCGTTGCTTGTGCTCTGAGCTGCGCACTGGCTTTTTCTGAGAACAGCAGGTTATTTAGGGTGGCTAAAACAAGGAGTTGCGAGGCGCTCCAGAAAGATCGCCCCAAACTGGGAAGGCATGCATCAGAATGGCAAACGTGGTTCAGTACAAGCAATTGTAGGCTGCATGGTGGGGCAAAAAACCCAAGATCCCCACTTGGCCTATAAGCCGATGGGATCTGAGCTGACAAGGATGAACCAAGAAAGATACCTCAGAGTTCCGGCAGAAAACAGTCTGGTGCGTGCTTGCTGTGAAAAGGGCAGATTCCATGGTGGACACAATTAGGAAAAGATTTGAAATCAAAACTTAAGAGGAGAGGTTACAGTGACTGGGTGTGTTACCTTGTGGAGGGAAGCAAGGGATTTGTTCAGGTGTGCACAACTGCACAGTGTGGTGACAGCGCATAGGGAGAGATTCTTCTTGTATTTCATTAGTAGACCCAGAGGGGTTTCATGAAGCCGACCGTAAGGCATTTCTACAAGTAGGTGAAAATGACTAGTTTTCTAGGGATGGACATTTACTTGGAGAACTTGTAAAGGAGACAGTAAGAATGTAATTGCCACTGATCAAAGCACTATGTACTTTTTAGTCTTTCAGTCTCGGGGGCAAATAGGAGATGCTGGAGAGCACAGGCGGAGGGGGGCTGCTATTTTTGTTCATGTCCTGTCCGGGGCTCTCACAGGGGATCGGTTGACCAGTGAGAAAAGAATGCTGGCCCAGATGGACCTTGGGCACTCCAGTATCGGGGCTTTTAACAGTGAGGTGTGGCTAGACTACTCTTAAAGTGTCTTGAAACATGGCAGTTTAGATCAGCAGTAATCATTGGTGCCATAAGGTAGAAGCATAGTAACAGCATAACCAACTTTATCTTGTAGGTGTGGACACTGTAAACGTCTTGCGCCAGAGTATGAATCTGCTGCCACCAGATTAAAAGGAATAGTACCTCTTGTTAAGGTTAGTTTTGCAATGTGTTTCTGGGCAGAACTCCAGAAGTAAATGTCAAAAGATTAGTTTGTGGGTAAGATGCAGCTTTTAGTTAGTATACTATCATATCAGCTACTTGATGAGCAATAAAGATAAGACTGTCATGGAGCGCAAGATGGGGGAAAATAGCCTTTTTGTTTTTGTCTGCTGGTCGATTGTTTCATTTCACTCATGAGGAAAAAGTTCCTGTTGAGCATGGATTGCACTCTTATTGGTGCAGTTATATATTGCTGAAAACGTAAGAGCTGAAAGCAAGTCCTTTAAGCACTCACTTGGCTTTTTTTTTCAGGTTGACTGTACAGCAAATTCGGAGACCTGTAACAAATATGGAGTGAGTGGCTATCCAACTCTCAAGATCTTTAGGAATGGGGAAGAGTCAGGGAGTTATGATGGACCAAGGACAGCTGGTAAGGAAAAGGGACTCAGGTTTTTGATTGTTGCAGTGCTTGGTTTGTAGTCATGTAATGCGGAAGGGGCCCTGATTGGCCATTTCTGCTGCATCCTTAATATGGGGCTTAATAGAATGTAGGTTTAAACAATGTGCCACGTAAGAAGTGTTGTCTGAGCAATACTGATGCACTTGTGTCTCCACGAAACTTTCCTTCAAGATGGAATTGTGAGCCATCTGAAGAAACAGGCTGGGCCTGCCTCTGTCCCTCTCCGTGCTGATGGGTTTGAGAAATTCATCAGTGAAAAGGATCCCGCTGTGGTGGGTAAGTAGTTTGGGGAACCAGTTCTTTCTAGTATGTGGTGGGCAAACGGGCAGTGAACCTGCCGTGTCCAGTGTCGAGCATTGTAGACCACAGATGTACTTTGGCCCCTCAGCAACTTTGAACTGTGCTCTATTGTGGCTTCTGTTGCATTCTGGGTCACTGCAGCCCCTTCAATGAGAACTTGCCATTTTCCAATTTTCCAGCAGCTACAAACATTAAGAGTCCAGGGAAGAGTGTGGATTGAATTTGGAGATCTGGCCTCATGTAACTGGTCTGGGTAGACTGAGAGGTTCCTTGTGACTAGGAGTTAGAATAACTTTTACTGATCTGCTTTTGTACTGTCATTTTTGTTCCTTATGATGCTTCGCAGGGTTCTTCAAGGAGTTGTTTGGAGATGCCCATTCAGAGTTCATGAAAGCAGCAAGCAACTTGCGAGACCATTATCGCTTTGCACACACTGGTGATGAGGAACTAATCAAGAAATATGAGCCAGATGGAGAGTAAGTGTTCAGTATATGCTACTAATGTTTCTGCTAAAATAGAAAGAAAGCAACAAGACAAGTTTCAGAAGTCCACATGGCTAGAACAGAGGGTGGAAACTTTTTCAGCACAAGGACCAACTTCGTTCCAGACTAGATGGGTGCACTATAAATGGGGGAGTTGTCTTTTGGAGCAAAAATTGGGTTTGAGGAGTTTTATTTCCAGTTCTGAGCATAATTCTTATTTTTGGGTGGGAGAGCCCACTTTATTTTCCATGAGAGAGCAACATTTGGACTTATTCTGCCCAAGTTTAAATCTGCCTGATTACTACTCATAACTTTCTGTAAAGGGATTCAAATTTCTGACAGCTATCTGTCCGAAGCTATTCTTTTTAGAAGTCGTTAGGAAACACTTACTGGAGTACATAAAGCAGAGGTTCTCAACCTTTTCTATGCCTCACACCCCTAGAAAATGTTTGATTTATGTTTGCCTTCCCTACAAAAATGATACTACATTTGAGGATGAAGTCAAATTTCTAATGTTTGAGCCACAAATTCAACCACATTCAGTGCTGTGGGTACTGTATGTGGTTGAAGTAAAAAAATCAGCTTTTAACTCAATGCATAAAATTCAAATATAAATCAAGCAATTAGAAATAACTGTAAACAGTAAAATCAGTTTCAGTTGTGATCATAAAATTCAATTACTTCTTTGATCTTGCTTCTCATTTACAATTTTGTCAAAACATGGAACTTCCTTGCTGATTGTGATCTGCAGGTCTGCCTTTGGATTCAGATGATTCCTAGATTTTGTCTTGATTGACAAAAGAGAACTGAATTCGAATGCAAACAAAATGACAATAAATAATGTAGTTATTAGGATAATTTTTGGTGAACCTTTCTCTTTGACACACTCCTGAAATGCCAGGTTGGGAACACCCTGACATACAGGCTCATGGCAAAGTCCAAACTTTGTTCCCCTGTAGAGAATAAAGAAGACAAACCAAAAATGATTTTTTCTAGAATTGGGTGTAAATCTGGAAAAACGCCCTTCTTCAGACAAAGATATTTTGCAGCTGTGTTATTTCTTGATAGTTTGCTTTTTTTGAGCAGTCAAGAGTAGACGCTTGAAAGCCACATTGTAGGTTGTAAATAAGCAAACACCTTTGCATAACTGCAGTTAAAATATTTTTTTTTTTTGTGTGTGTGCATTCCTGTACCCTTTTTAAATTGTCCTAGGCAAATTCTTCTAGGTGCTGCTGGGGTAGAAGCTGCTTACCGCTCTCTGCAGTAACCTTTTGCAATTTCCAGGGGGAAAAAAGTAGAAGGGGTGGGGAGCACCAAAAATTACTTTTTGAAAAGTGTAGATTCTCCCACTTACAACTGGGACACTTTGGGAAAGCTGCTTGTAGCTACCAAAATGCAGATTGCAAAAGGTGGCTTGACAGCTATTTTCTGCAGTCTTCAAAAATAAAAGCAATATGCAGGGAGAAAAGAAACCAAAAATACTTGCTGCCAGGGTTTGTAAAAAAAAACTGATTTTCTCCTTGTGCTGTGTGGCTTATTGTGTTGGGAATACTAGGTCAAGTGTTTCACTCTGCATTCCTGAAAATTCTAGTTTGCACTTCTACAGAGTCCCAAAAACAAAGAAGGAATGAACGGAGCGTCTGTCTCCCTTTTCAGCTTGTCGTTGGCTGGCCAGTGGGTGTAGGCCTGGGCCTGGTTTTTTGCGGGAGGGGACTGCTCTCGGGGACTGGCTGTCCGAAGTGAGTACTGGAGGGCAATGGCTTCCTTCCAGCTCACTGGCTGAACTGGGGGACCCTGATACAAGAGAGGAGTGTACACTCCCAGCCCATGCCACAGATCCATGGGATAGGAGGGAGTGGGCTGATCCAAGTTTTCCCCCATTGCTACTGCTTCCTAGCCTGAGGAAGCCAGTGTTTCTCAGCAATGGGAGATACGTGACTGAATGAGGAGAAGGGGAACCTGCATACAGGAACTGTGCTTTGCTAGGACAAACTTCAGAGGTGGGCTTACCTGAACAGAGAGCTCCTTATATTCAGTTTCCCCCAAGAAAGATTGTTCTTCGAAAAGAGCTTTAAATGCAGCCGTTCCAATCCCAGCCAAAAAACTTGAGGCTGTAATTGCTGGGCTGAGCTAACTAGTTCTATGCAGGAGCTCTGCAGTTTAGTTGTTTTTGCAATGCAGTGGCTTGCCTCTTCCATACTGTCATATTTAACTCCAGCACAAACTCCCAAGCCACTTCTGGGCTGGTTTCTGCTTGTTTACCTGCAGGGAGCAGACAAGTCAGAGCTTGAGATGCTTGCTGCCTGTCATGTAATGCTTCCTGAGGGAATAGATAGCAGTTGAGACAGCAGGCATCCTACTGAGTCGCAAGGCTGTGTTGAGCGAGCCAGTAGCCCCGTCTAGGGGCTGAACGTAGCAGATGTAACTGTTAAGCCACAGCAGTCATCTCTTCACAGGGGCATCATACTGTTCCGTCCCCCACACCTGGAAAACAAATTTGAAGACAGCTTTGTGCGTTACACAGAGGACAAGATCACTACTGGCAAGATTAAGAAGTTTATTCAGGACAACAAGTAAGTTGACACTTCTGTAGATTTATACTTGTGCCTTGCTCCAAGATACGAGCCATGCATTAAAGCGGGGTCTCCTGCTTTGTTTTAGCTTCGGTATCTGCCCACATATGACAGAAGACAACAAGGAGCTGATGCAAGGGAAGGACCTGCTGGTGGCTTATTATGACGTGGACTATGAAAAGAATCCCAAGGGTTCGAACTACTGGCGCAACAGGTGAGACCCTTCTGCCCACTGAGAATATAGCAATGACTCTCTTGTGAAACGTCGCCTTTCTGGCTAAAGTTGGAGCACTGGTTAAACTGCAAGCCGAGAACTCCAAGTTATTTCTTTGTTACATTCATAGACACAATAAGGCAGCTTACATATTTTTCCTCCATTTTATCATCACAAAACTCTGTAGGGTAGGCTGGAGTGAGTGGTGGTGAGTGGCTCAGAATCACCCAGTGATCCTCACTGATGAGTGGGGACTGGACCCTGGAACCTCCGAGTCCCAATCCAAGACTCTAACCACTGCAACCACACCAGCCTGCTTTTCAGAATGTTAAAGGAGTCTTGTACAGGCTGGTAAATCAGCTACAGTTTCTGTGCACTGCAGTCCATGCATGAGTGACTGTGTGTGTTTCTGTGTTTTTGTGTGTGTGGGGAGGTAGGAATTGCGAATATGGCAACTGGAGGAAATTGAAATGCAGAAAATACAAACATTGGTAATTCCCTTCACAGCAGTCATTTACAAAACAATTGTTGAATAGTAATTTCTGGTGTGTGCATTAGATTTGTGGGAGTTCTTGATTTTGGTTGTAGTGTATACTCATTGTGAAGCACCTTTGGGGCCACATCCCTTGTGGCTACTCTGCAGCATTGTGGCAGGCTGGAAGTGTTGCATAATTGCTCAAACATAGGCATGCTGGGTAGTGGGCCACAGAGACGTTCCTTTCCAGAAGGAACACTCCAACTCCAAGCAGCTGCAGTAATCGGTTAGGCCATAACCATTCCCCCACAGTAAACAAGAGAGTAGAGATATGGGACTTCTAAAGATAGGCTAGAGATGAGGTGAGCATTTCTTCCCAAGTCATCAGAACAGAGAAGGACTGGAGCTGGGATCCCAAAGAAAAAGATAATTAATTCTCTAAGACCCTTTAGTCCTGTTCTCTATCAAACACTTTTCCTTTTTTATCAAACACTTTTTACTACTATTACTATATTTATACCCTGCCTTTTTTCCTTTCAAGGAACTTAAGGCACCTCCCATAATTCTCCTTTCATTCTCATCCTCACATCAACCCTGGGTTGAGCTGAGAGTCTCTGGCCCAAGATCACCCAGTTAGCTCCATGGCTGAGTGGGAACCAGAACCCAGATCTCCTAGCTCACAATTGCACACTCTTAACCACCACACCAAACTAGTTATGCCAGTCTTTGGTGTTATCCTTACCAGATTCAGCAGTTAAGAAATGGCAGTGTTTTCCCTCTACAAAGGGATGTTAGTGCTACAGAATGCTAAAAGGGTCAAATGTAGCTTGCTCAGAAAGAACCAAGGTTGACTTTTCCTGCACTGAAGCAAGCTGCCAATTTTTTTCCCCCTGGGTCTTCATGGAGCACAGAGAAGCACAGGGGGTTCAAGAGTGCAAATAGCTCCTGACTAGGGTGGTGGGGCTGTATAAGAAAGAAAGATACTACTGTTGAGCTAAATTGTTGATTTTTATTGGGAGTATAAATGGCTTGAGAATGTGACCTGGCTCAGAAGCATTTTTTTTCTCTTGATTGCCGCTAGTGGTCCCCTGACAACATTAAGGGCTCCACTAGGCTCCTCTCAACACTTAATTCCATTATTGTACAAATAGTCATCTCATAGTGAAGAGCCAAAATTCTACACCAAATGGAATGGACTCCTTCCAGGGTGAGGGAACTTGTCAGGGTTGATTCTAACTAATTTAGTAGATCTCATGTAAATCAATGAGAACTTGTATTGATGTTTTGCAGAGTGATAAAGGTTGCCAAGAGTTTTCTGGACGCTGGACATAAACTGAACTTTGCTGTTGCTAGTCGGAAAACCTTTGGTCATGAGCTGTCTGAGTTTGGATTGGATGGCTCCACTGGTGATGTTCCTTTGGTTGCTATCAGGACAGCCAAGGGAGAGAAATACGCCATGCAGGAGGAATTCTCGTAAGTGAAGCTGTTTGTCTCTTGTTCGCTTTACACATGTCTTATCACTTTAGTTCAGTGGCAAAGGGTATACACACACAAGTACACTTTTTGCTGAGGGGAGAAGATGGGCTGTGAACTGTTTTTGGAATACTTTGGTGAAAAGAGACTGTGTTGACTGAATTTTTCCAACTTGACATCCCCAGAACCGGTAAAAGCCAGCGGTTTTGCAGTCCGGGTGTCTGCAGTGCTTCTAGGTGGCACATACATGGGATGAACTGGTTGAAACAGTTTTCTTGTTCTGATTTGCAGCCGTGATGGGAAGGCCTTGGAAAGATTCCTTCAGGATTATTTTGATGGAAAGCTGAAAAGATACCTGAAATCGGAGCCTATTCCAGAAAGCAACGATGGTCCCGTGAAGGTGGGAGCTGTTTCAGTTTGAGCTTCCTCCTAAAAAGAGCCTAAAGTTAGCCACTGCGTCCAGGAAGGGTGAGTTCAGTGTAACATTTCAGAGGCTGATTGGAGCCTATGTGCTTTCTCCCTAGGTGGTTGTGGCTGAGAACTTCGATGAAATTGTAAATGCTGAGGGCAAGGACGTGCTTGTGGAGTTCTATGCGCCTTGGTGTGGGCATTGCAAGAACATGGAACCCAAATATAAGGAGCTAGGAGAGAAGGTAGGCCAGCAGGGGGGCATGGAGATTCCTGTTGATCAGTTGTGGAAGGCAGAGGCCTGGAGCAGAATGGCTGGCAGCAAGCAGTTTTCTGGGCATGGAGAAACAGCCCCAAGGGGAGCACTGCTTTGCTGGCCAAGCCTCTGGCCGGAGCCAGCTGTTGCCTGCTGCATTTTTTACTGGTTTGTATTTCAACAGCTCAGCAAAGACCCCAACATCCTTATAGCCAAAATGGACGCCACAGCCAATGACGTGCCTTCTCCCTATGAAGTCCGAGGGTAAGTACACGCTCTGCTTGGTGGCTGGTATTGAATGCATAAAACTGTTTCAGAGCCACTTGTGGCACTGCTGCCTTGAAGGATGGTTGTGTTGGGTGGTCTGTGGCATGGCTGGGCCTCTGTTCCCTGCAAGGCAGCTCCAAAACAGCAAAATTATTTTCTTTCTCCTCCGTAGGTTCCCCACAATTTACTTCTCTCCTGCGGGCAGCAAGCAGAATCCAAAGAAATATGAGGTGAGTTGTCAGGCCTGTGAAAGGCTTTCTAGCGTGAGATTCCAAGGAAGCCCCTCTCTCCTTCAGGCTACTGGGCCCTACTGCATGGAAGCTGTGTTTTCCCCCCAGTTGACACTGCATGTGGTGAGGTGTCCCAGACGGCCGCCACAAGGAGTGCCGAGTCGAGCAGTGGCATGCGTTCTCCTGTGCCTCACGTCTGTTCTTTTGGCAGGGAGGGCGTGAGGTGAGTGACTTCATCAGCTACCTGAAGCGGGAGGCCACGTACCCACCCATTGTGCAGGAGGACGAGAAACCCAAGAAGAAGAAGAAGGTGGCACCCAAGGAGGATCTGTGAGGGGCCTTAGCATCACCTTAGCCACAGAGGAGCCCTGCGGCCGCGCCTGGAGGCCAGGGCCTTGTAGTGCAGCCTATGCTGTTGGAAAGCGAAGCCACTGAGGGCGGGGGGAACCAGCTGCTGCTGTTCTGTTTAAGTTCTGCCCCCTCATCTCTTAGCTGCACTTGCCATGAATGCCCTGGACTGGTTGCTGTGTGTGGGTGGGGATTGGGGAGGGCTTGTTTTCTAATTTTTTGTACATTTTGAGAAGTGAATCAATAAATGACCCTTAGGCCCCAACGATGCTTCTTCAGCCTCTGGAGGTGGCCCTGCCAGAGGCCCTGCCTGAGATACTGCGCAGTAAGTCGGCAGTCCAGCTCTGCAAGTGAAGTCTCATTAGGATTCCTTCCTTCCCCAAGGATGAGCATGTAGCCTGCAGCAGTCTTTGGTGGTGGTTCTTTATGGGAGGGAGGAAGCAGTCTTGTCTGTGTGAAGACCTGCCAGAGGAATCTGCATTTGTGGGGGCGTGGCTTCAGCATCACACTCGGCAGCCAGTGATCAGGGAAGTCTCATCTATACTACATTCCTACAGATGTCAATCCTTAAGACCAATGGGACTTACTCCTGGATAAATGTTTATAGGATGACACTTGGTGAGTTCAGACAGAAGTCTACAAGTCCCAGCTGTGCTGCCAGGGGCCTACCGGGAGTTGGAGGATTTGCTTCTCTTTGAACATGCGTCTTGGCCATACTTCTATCCTTTCCAGATGCTAGGCTTCATATAGGAAAAGCCTGCTTACATGCCTCAAAACTTGAAGCGAATGCTGCACCCTAACAGCTAAAACTAGACATGCTCAAAGTTTTGTGAGGACAGGGTTTCTAGCACTTGTTTGAATTGAGGGTAACAAAGCTACAATTTACCCAAGCTCAATAAAAGGCATATTAGCAGCTGTGGAGGAAATTCTGCTGAAGCAGCTAGCTGGTTTCATAGCCTAGCTTGGTTTTTTTGGGCCAGAGGCAGCTTTTGTATTTACAGGTAAGTCTAGTCTGGGGGGGACCTAGGGCTGCTCTTTCCCCAACCCGGTGCCATTCAGATGTTTTTCTCTGCTGCTGCTGTCAGCTCGGGTAGTACCTGCCTTCTCAATCCATGTCCATCTTGGCTAGTAGTCCAGCAGGGTGGAAGCAATGCGGGAGCTATTAAGCCTTGTCATCAGTGCCACCTTCTAAAAGGGTGGGCTGCCTGAAGGAGGCTAGTGTACAGCCCCTCAAGAAACCTAAACTGATCCCCCGCCCCAGACCTTAACAACTCTAGACCAGTCTTAAACATGCCATTGCCTTGTAAAGTGATTGAGGGGGTGGGATCTCCAGCTCCAGGCCGTTCTGAGTGAGGCTGATTTTCTTGATGCATTTCAAACTGGCTTCAGAGTGGGGCATGGAGCTGGGACTGCTTTGGTTGCCCTAGTCTAGTCCATGATCCATGACTCAAAATTGACTGGGGGAGTGTGTCCCTCTGGTTCTGTTGGATCTCAGTGGCCTTTGATACTATCAACCGTAGTATTCTTCTGGACCATCTGGGGGAGTTGGGTATTGGAGGTGCTGGTGGTCCTATTCCTATGTCTCAGGTCATTTCCAGATGGTGATGCCGGGAGACGGCTCTTCATCTGAAAAGGAGCTGACTTGTGGAGTCCCACAGGGCTGCATTCTGTCTCCCATGCTGTTCAACATCTGCATGAAGCCATCGGGAGGAGTGGAGCTGGATGTTGTAAATATGCTGATGACCCCCAAATCTACTACTTGCCATCATCTGCGGCTGCTTCTAGAGTTTCCTCTCTGAATGACTGCCTGAAGCTGTTAATGGACTGGATGAAGAAAAACTACTGAAATGAAGGTGCTTGCCGATAAGGGTCCAAAATCAAGGATTAGAAGTGTGTTTCCTGGTTCTAGATGGGGTCACACTCCCCTGAAAGACTGTTTGCAGTTTGTGTGCCTTGACCTAGCCCTTCCGAGGTCAGCTCAGAAGCCACAGGATGAGTACCTGCTATCAGCTTTGGCTGATTTGCCCAGTGTATCCCTCCCTGGAGCAGAATGAGCTGAAAACAGTAGTGCATGCAGTGGTCCCCTGTAAACCCTTTTCCCGCAACGCGCTCCACATCAGGCTACCGTCGTGCCTACTCTGGAAGCTGCAACTAATTCAAGGTATACAGCCAGGCTAGTCTCCTGCAACATTGTGGAGGGACCACACAAGACCTCTAATTTAATGTCCTTGCACTGGTTGCCAATATGTTTCCAGACTCACTACAAAGTTGGTAATTACATTTAAAGCCCTTAATGGCTTGGATCCAAAATACCTTCAGGAACACCTTTGTCCATATACTCTGCCTTGCCAGCTAAGGCGCTCTGGGGATAATCTGAAGTCTGCTTCGGTAAGATTAATGTCGACTGTGCAGAGGACTGTGGAATATACTGCTGGAAGAGATGCATCTAATTGCCCCAAATTTCCACTTTTAAGAGGGAGTTAAAAATGTTACCTCTTCCAACCTTCCCAGATTAGTTCTTGAGTCCATTTATTTAATATGTTGTCCTAGTCAGTATTACTCAGTGTTGGTTTAATTTAAACTGTTGATTTAAGCCACCTGGAGACTGGGAATGGGGCAGTATTAAGTAACTACTACAACCAAAAGCAGCAGTCCGAAACATCTGGTGGGATACCAGCTTGGGAAAGGCTGTTCTAGTTAATCGAATACCTTCCCAGCTGATGGCTGATGAGGGCACTTGTCCCATTTTAGCAAGGCTGGCCTATTACAGATCAAGTCCAGGGAAGAGGCAGGAAATTCTTAAGTTTGCAGATGAACCCTAGTGGAATCTAAAGCTCTAGCATTTATGAATGAACACTGCGCAACTGGCCACTTCCTTGTGCGACAACCCAAGAGCTGTGCAGCGCATGGGGCCTGATAAGTAAACCAGAGAAGGTTCTCTGGGGGTAGAATCCTCCAGAGTGGCTGCCTACACTTGCACAACTGCTTCGCCGTCAAAGGCCAGCAGTGCTGCATCGCCCCAGTTCTTCGCGGTCTCTGCATCACACTCATGGGCTCTACACCTGCCCAGGGCCTGTTGGAAGCCTGTTGGCCTAACCCTGACCCACTGCCAGGCCCTCACTTGCCGGGCTTGTTAAAACCGGGAAGGCTGGCTCAAGACCGAATGTGGAGCCATGCCCTTATGGCAGTGCAGTCAGTCCCCACCAGGCCCCAAGATTGCCCCTCCACCTCTTGGGCACCTGCCGCCTCTCATGCTCCATTGGCAGCAGCTGAAGCCCCACCAGGTTAGGTTAGAGTCAGTTCAGCACAGAGCCACAAGGATGGTAGCCAGACATTGAGGGAGCTGGGTCTTTTCAGCCTGGAGGAGACGGGATTTTACAAGGACCTGCAAGAATGTGAAGAGGTGACACACAGCAGAGGGTTGTGAGCTGTTCTCCTCTGCAGTGGAGGAAAGAGTGTGGTCCAATGAACCAAAGCGCAAGGAGCCCGGTGTCAGGCTGGATGCCAGGAAGTTAGGGCCCATGAGATATGGAATGGGCTTCCACGGAGGTGGCGGGGGGGCATCAATGAGGGTGTTCAAGGAACGGCTGGACAACCAGACGTTGGGTATTGTGGGGCAGAGCAGGGTGGAGCTGTGGGTCAGACTAGATGGTCCGAGAGACCCTTCTGACCCACCATGTTTCTATGTTGTTCCTTCCAGAGTGGGAAACAACTCAGTGCTGGGGTTCTATCCATTGTGCAGAGAGGTCACAGGATCGAGTTCAAGCTCTCCTCCCTCCCATGCCACAAGCAGTACGGCTCTCTCCCCAGTCCTAATTGCAGAAGCAGGCTTGTGACTTTCAAAGGAAACCTTACAGCACGTCACTTCATCCCAAGGTCATCATGAATTCTATTCCGGAAAGTTCGTGGTACCAGTGGAATGGAAAGAAGTGTCCCCCAGCAAGTTGCCCATTTCACCCAAGCTCCGCCCACAAGTGGGCCAAGGGCAGTCAGGCCACTGTAGCCGGGCCAGATAAAATCTGCATGGCATCTTTCCCACCACTCTCTTGCCAGCAGGTCAGGCCCAGGTAGTCCGGAGGGCTGGGGGGGTCATCCAGGGCCACGTGCTTGGCGTGACTGGGGACCCCCGTTCTGTGAGCCACGCTGGGCCGGGGCACTCGGCAATGTGCTTGCTGGCCACCTGTTTCTCATCACTAAGCCTATTAAAGGGAGAGCATTTGTTGGTAATCCATGGAGCAGGGAGGGGGCTGCAGCTTCCCTTGCAAATCCCTTCATAGATCATCAAGTTTTCCCAAGGGGAAGCCCTCCACTTAGGGGGATTTTGGATGGAACTTGCTTCTGGGGGAGCTGGTCCTGCAAGAGCCATGAGATCGGGTGCAGCTGGAAAGGAGCACACCTCAGCACCGATGTCATCTGTTCCTGGCCGAATGCAGGCGAGAGAGAACAGGTCCCACCCCAGAGGAATTCTGCTTTCAAAGCAGGTCTGATCAACTTGCCTCCAGCTTCGGGAAAGATGAGGGGAAAAACCCTCTTTCTCTGCTCTTGAGGATTCACTGCCTCCGTGCCTTCTTTTATCATTGTGATAGGAAGGGAGGCACAGTCCAAAGTGACACACTGGGCCGCATGTATGTCAGTGGCAAGTCCACAGCCCTTGGTGTGCCTTGAACCCTGAGGTCACTTACTAAGCCGAGCAAAATACTTAGCGATCAGCTGTCTCCTGAGGCTTAGAAGGTGTGCTTGGAACCCTCCAGGTTTAACTGCAAGGCGCTTTAGAGTAATACATTAAAGAATAGGCACATGTTATTAAGAGAGAAGAAATGCTGGCACAGAATTCGATTTGAAGCGCCAGTGATTCTCACTGAACACAGTTGTGGTCTGGTTACATGTACACGTGCAATGAGGGATCCTTGGGAGTCGGGTTGAATCCAGCAGCCAGGGTGCAGGGCGAGCTTAGCATAATCGCTGTGCCAAAGCAGAGATGGAATTAACAGCCAGCCCACAAGCTTCTAATTTCCTGTTCCGCCGGCCCTGCTCTGGATGCAACATGCAGCACAAACTAAGCCCCAGGAAGATCTAAGGAGCAGCCCCCACCCCCCCCCTTCCTAGGCCTGCCTCAAGTGGTGAGGTAGCAGGGGATGGAGGAAGGGGAAGAACCTGGGAGCAGGCTTGGGTCGCTGCAGCCACAGGCAGCAGAGAGGGACCGAAAAGCAGAGGGCAGCCCCTGCCCCAGGCGGAGAGTCCAGTTCCTGCTGCCACACACCATGATCCAGGCGCCTCACGCCCGGCAGGAGGAGCAGGCATTCTACCAGCGACTGGAGCACTTGCTGGGAGCAGCAAAGCAAGGCAGCTTTGAGGAGCTCTTCACTGCTGACAGCTGGGAGGACCTCAGGGGTGAGTCCTGGGCAGGTGCCGAAGGTGGGCTCTTCCTCCCTGTTCTGCAGTCCCAAGCAGAATGCATGCCCCCGACCCGCAGCAGCATCCTCCTGGCATGAAGCCCTCCTGTGGCTCTGAGCCTCTTGCAGGACAGCTGCTGGCTACGAGGCAGCATTTCTAGGCAAGCTGGTGCTCCTGGCTAGCGAACCCATCACCAGGCAAAGCCAGTCTCGGGGGACAGTCACCATACTTCTTGCCTGCAGGCTACCTACTGCCCTAGTCGGTTTGTGGGGCTGAGGCCTGAGGAGGGGCTCATCACTTCTGTTCACTGGGAGCAGTTTAATGAGTCTTTTGGGGCAGCAAACTCAAGTCACCTGTGAGATTCCCTGCCTTCTCCCAGATACCAGCAGCCACCCTCCAAAAGAGAAGCTCTGGCTTTGCCTGGGCAGCACAGCGCCCGCTGGGCACCAGAAATGACCGAGCAGTGCTGCCTGCATATCCACACCATCGGCTGTGTCCATGATGAACCAAGTAGTGTTGCAGGTTAAGGGAAGGTCCTCTGGGGAAATGAGGCGGGCTGTGCAGAAAAAATAAATTACTAATGTTACATGCTGTCCGGAATGGGGAATTAAACATTTGCTGGGGAAGGGGGGTCGGGATGTCAGGCAAGTTTCCCAGAAGGAGCAGCAGAATCTAGCTGCCAGAGAACTGGGCCAGTTTCCTGTTCTGAAATGGGGCATGTGGAGGGCCCCAGGCCGTTTCAGGGCCTCACAGGGTGGCCTCAAAGTGCTGGGAGTGGGAATGCCCCTGCCACTTGACCGAGGGCAGGCAACGCCTCTTTTCACCAAGTTTCACTAACACATCCCTTCTTGCCCTCCAGAGGACAAAAGTCTAAGGAAGCGGCTGGTGAGAGGTGGCCGAGGAGAGAGCAGCCGGCCACAGCCTGGCCAGGAAGTGACCGTGAAGCTGCTGGGAGTCCTGGAGGACCAGAGCCTGGTGGAGAAGGACCCAAAGCTCACCTTTGTCCTAGGCCAGGGGGGAGCCATTCAGGTCAGGACCAGGACAGGCCCATGCTGCCCCCGGGAGACTAATGTGACCAAGAGGCTTTTCTTCTCTATAACCGAGACACCTTTGCTGCCACCCATCTTGGCCCTCCCGCCTTGCCTAGATCCAGATCAGTGCTGTCAAGGCAGCCCTTTCTGAAACAGCTCCCCTCTGCAGTAACGGGGTCGTGTGGTAGTCCAAGCAATGAGCACACTCATCGCTTTCACTTCAGTTTTGTACCTTTCTTCTGGCCCCGCTGTGCCAACAGAAAGGGCTGGAGAATCCGTGGCCAGAGCTGCAGCTGCCTCCCACTCACTGGGCACAGAGTCTTGCCGGTGCTCCATCACAGGGGCCAGAGTGGAGGGCACGCTCCCGCCCCCAGGGCCCAATGGCTCTTCCCACAAAGCCAGCGTCTTGGAGGGGGTGCACCTGGGATGGCTTCTCTCCTGCTGTTCCTCCTAGGCCCTGGAGCTTGGCGTTCTGTCCATGCAGCTGGGAGAAGTGGCCTTTTTCCTCGCCAGTCCCACATGTGCCTACGGCTGTCTGGGCAGGTAGGCATGGCCCGGTCTGCTCCTGATGGGCCACCGGGGATGGAGGGCAGAGTCTGTGCCAGCAGTGCTGGAGGACATGTTCCACACGCCTCTCTTCCCCCGTCAGAGAGCCTGATATTCCAAAAGATGCCGCGGTGCTGTACGAAGTGACCCTGCTACAGGTTCGGGACAGCCCTGACCCAGCCCTCTCGCCAGTGATGGAGCGCCTCGGCTTAGGCAACCAACACCGAGAGTGGGGCAACTTCCACTTCGAACGGGGGGAGTACCAGAGGGCGCTCCACTCCTATCAGCAGGCTCTGCGTGTTCTGTTCCTGTCCGGGACAGGTGAGCCGACTACGGTCCCTGGCTGTGGAAAGCCGGAAGCACGTGCGTTTCTTGGGTGAGCTTAGGGATCAGCTAATGAGCTTGGGGAAGGAACGTTGCTGGGATCGGTCCTCCCTGCAAAGAGTGTTTCCCCCAAGCCTCGGTGCTCAGCTCGCAAGCAAACATTTCTGTCTTTCCGGCTGCCGAGAGAGGAATGCAATCCAACCCCAAAGGTACTCCCTCCTTAATAGCCTGGCCACTAAAATCAGGTTCTGGGGCTCCAGGAATTAACATTGCACATGGACTTTTCTTCAGACCATCTGAGTCCAGAGGAGGAGGAGGAGCTACGCGAGCTGCAGGTCAAATGCCTCAATAACTGTGCAGCTGCCCAGCTGAAGCTGCAGCTTTTTGATGAGGCCCTGGCATCCTGCCATGAGGTGATACGGCTGGACCCAGACAACGTGAGGGCCCTCTACAGGAAAGGCAAGGTATGGTGGCCAACAAGGGACAGGGGGACAGACGGGGGCTTGTCAACAGCATCTTGGCTAGCAGGGATTTGGAGCTGAGGTTTGTCCTCTAGGACCAGGCTTGGTATTGACCAGGCAGATGCTCACTGGGGATGGGGGAAGCAACTATAAGAGGGGAGGCAAAGAAGGGGCTCAGGTGGGCAAAGTGGCAAGGAAGCCCAAGACGGCTGCAGTGAACACCTAGAAAAGCAGGGAAAGAAAGGGCAGAGCCGTGCCTACTCCGTAACGTCTCCCTCTGCTACTCAGCTGTTGTCAGAGCGGGGAGAGGACCAGGCTGCCATGGCTGTTCTGAAGAGAGCCCTTCAACTGGAACCAGCCACAAAGGTGAGGCAACGGAGGCCCCGCTGAGAGGCCAGGCCAAGGGCAACCATTCTGGGATGCCTGACAAGGCTGCAGTGAAGGCCCTTCTTTACTGCTGTGTTGTGCTCTCCACTTCCTTACCTATACCCTGCAAGAGGAATCACTTATTTTGCTCGGGGCACCGCAATGTCACCACGTAGTGGGTGGGACATTGTTCAAGGAAGGAGCGTCCCACTGCCGTAGAATGTGCCTGCTCCTTGCGCGAGGAAGGATTAACACGTCACGAACTGTCTCTAGGCCATCCACGCAGAGCTCTCCAAGCTGGCAAGACGGCAGAGGGGACAGCCGAAAAGTCTAGGCCCAGGAGGGAGCCTCTAGGAAGAGTTGGCAGTCACCGCAGCTCACGGCTCTCAGGTGACCATCAGGGCCCCAGCAAGGCAGAGGCAGCAGGCCTGTCCTTCCCACAGTCCTCTGCCCTGGCCCAGCACCACTCCTCATGGGGCTGAATTCGGCCCCCAAGCCTCTTCCAAAGGCAGTGCATCCCTTGGGCAGCCTTCTATATGGGCATGAAAATGGGGCACTCACTTTCCCTCCCTCCCTCCCTCCTCTTTTGGCAGAAGGATGTTCCTACTGCGCAGCCAAGCTGAGTGGTGCAAGGGCTGATGGGCGTTACCAGCATAGGGCAAGCCAGTTGTGAGGGCCGGTGTGCAGAGAGTGAAGTACGCCTGCTGAATTTCAAGGGTGGACCAATTCTTTCATTCATGACAATGTGAGGAGGAATGCAACAGGCTCCAAACCCAACCCAGCACCAGCTGTTGCCTTGTCTGGCTCCACAGAGTAAGACGGATTCAGAATGTCAGTCCTCCACTTGAGCAACAATGAATGAAATTAAGGCATTCAATTTGCAGGAGCAAGAAAATCTCCAAGAAACAGGCTTGTTTCGATGCTGCTCTAGAGCTCCTTTGCTGACAGACACTTTCCTCATCTTAAAGACGTAAGAGCCCTAATGCCGAACTAGTCCAGTGGTCCATCCAGTCCAGCTGTCTGTCCAGAACGAGCTGCACACAGGATCCAACAGACTGGAGAAGAGTGTAACAGCACACTCCTACCCATCTTCCTCAGCAACTGCTGTACACTGGCATACTACCCGAGATACAAGAAGCTGCGTATTTGTACCCAACATGGAATCTGCCTTTTTCACACCCCCTGCACATCGGGTTGATGCTTTGCACCACAACCCCAAGCTCTCTTTCTGGGTCAGTTACCATTAGTTCACATCTCACCAGCTTACACTCGTAGTGATTTCTTCCCAAGTGCATTACTTTACGATTGCTTACCTCGAGTGACATTTGCTCTTTGATGCCTGTTCTCCCAGTTTGGCGAGATCCTTTTGGAGCTCCTCACAGTCCCTTTCTGTTTCAAGCTCCCTTTATAATCAGTAAACTTGGTTGCTTCATTGGTGAGACTCCCGATACTGGATCATTTATGAATAGGTCAAAAAGTGTGGCTCCCAATTTAGGCTTGTGGGATCCCACTGTTTATGTCCCTCCATTGGGAGAATTGAGCATTTATTGTTACTCCCTGCTCTCTCTTCTCTAACTAGCTGTTGATCTGTAAGAGGACAGTTGCTCTGTTTGCTCAAGAATTTTTGGCAAAAGGCTTTGTGAAAAGTCCTTCAGAAATCCCTGTTAAATGGTAGTTCATGTGTCACTCCTGTCCATGTGTTAACTGACACTCTGCACTCTTATTTCCACCCTTGCAATCTCTGGGCTCTGCTTGAGAGTCTGTTCATTCTTCTACCTTCAACTGAGATTGGTTTGTTATCATTCAGTCCAGGGATGAAGTGCATAACTTTCAGGGCGCTAATGGGGTTTTTTTTCCTGTGACACCCAGTGCAGTGGCCACTGCTCTCTCCTTCCTGCTTATCTTTGCTTCTGTTGTGATAGGAGCACCTGACTTCTGCGCTTTTCTCATATGTTAATCTAGCACACTGTCTGCCCAGCAACAGGGTGATTTTGGCACAGTTAGTTCCTCAGGTTTGAAACAGGGCAGTCCTAAAGACATGGCCAGAGGCTTCATCCCAGGCCAGCACCTTGTGCTTTGGCTGGGAACAAGGCGAACCGGTCGTCCCCGAGCCGGACCGCATGTCCAGCCGCGCGAGCGGAGGGCGGGGGCCGCAGGTGTCTGGCGGGCGTGAGGGGCGAAGTGCGGGCGGGCATCGCCCACTTGCTCGCCTTCGAAGGCTTCCGCATAAAGCAAAGCGACTTGAGGTGCAGAGACCGCCTGCGCCCCGCGCGTCGGGGCGTCCCTGGAAGCCGCGACCGGGAGTGGGGGGCGATGCTACGCAGAGGCCCGGCGCACAAGACCGGCCCGCCCGCCCGCTCGCGAAGAGCCCTGCGGGAGCCGCTCCTCCGGCGGCCGTGCACCGCTGCGGCCCGCCCCACGGAAGGGCACCGCCCGGCCCGCCAGCGGGAACGCAGCGCTCGGCGCCACTTCCGCTGAAAGCCGCCGCCGCCTCCGACGCGCGCCGCCACGCGACTCGAGGGCCCGCCCCGCCCCTCCTCGCAGCCAATCCCCGGGCCGTCCGTTCAGGGCGGGAAACGGCTGCGGGCGCGGCGCGGCGGGGCCCGTGAATGGCGCCCGCCCGCCCGCCCGCGCGCGCTCGGTCGGGCGAGGCCTTGCCGGAGCGCCGTGTCCCGCTCTGGGCGCCGCCGCTGAGGGGCTCCCGGGAGGGGTGCTCCGCAAGAGCAGGGCAGCGAGGTGGTTCGCGGGCGGGAGCCCTCGGAGGAAAGAGCTCGCATGCTCGGCCGGCGGGAAGAGGCGAGAGCGCCCACGAGGCCCCGCCGGGCTGCCGCCAAGAGCAGGGCCGGGCTCCTCGCCGCTCTCCTGCATGCGGGGCACGGAAAAGGGGCGGGAGCTGCAGGCGCCCGTTCCCGCGGAGGCCTGCACTGAGCGGGCGGATGGACTTGGGAGCAGGTCTGTGACGTTTCCAAACCCTTCCCGCTTTCTGAGCCGAGCACCCCCCGTGTTTTGGCGCGGAAGATGGCCGTCGCCCCTGCTGAATCGCATTCTGTTGCTTTCAGCCCAGCAGCCTACCAAGGTCACTCCGAATTTTGCTTGTGTCTTACAGGTATTAACTGGCCCGCTCATTTTTGTGTCAGCTGCTGTGAGAAGTAGAAGATTACTGTAACTAACAAACTAGAACAGGTAAAGCTATGGATCACTTAGTGATTAATGAAGTTATTGTGATTAACACAAACTAATAGACTACAAGATGTAGTTGGTAGACATGGCATTAAACTTTTGGACTTAGAACCCAAAGTACGGCTGCATAATTAGCTAATGCATATTAATGGTGCCTCCTACTATGACTCCGAGGGATATTAACATGAACATGGGACGTATGAGCAGGAGGGGGTAACATACCAAGGAGTAATATGATGAAGGCGGACGGGAAGAATGTGAACTCCCAGTATCCCACCAAGGGGAGAAAGGAGGCAGGGACTTTGCGCGTGAAGTAGGCAATAAGAGGCTGTGCTAACTGCTTCCCAGCGCACTACCTTCGGGGTGAGTGGCCAGTCTGGCCAGAACGTTTTGAACTGTTGCTGCTTGGTACTTTGCCTCCCGTATTGTCATTGCTTGGATTTCATTCCTTACACTGCAAATCCGGTAAGTGGTACACTTCCTCATCCAAAGTTTTAATTAAAACGTGGAAGAGCACTGGGCCCAGGACTGAGCCCTGTGACACCCCACTCGTTACTGATTTCCCTGTCTGAGAATGTGCCATGATGAGTACTCTCTGAGTGCAATTTTGCAGCCAGTTGTGGATCCACCTAAATGGCTCCACTATCTAGTGTGCGGCACTTTGTCAAAGGCTTTACTAAAGTCTAGGTAGATTATATTCACAGCATTCCCACAGTGCAGCAGGAAGGGTACCAGATCAAATAAGAGATCAGATTAGTCAGCAAGGCTTGTTCCTGATACAGCATTGCCTTCAAGGTGCTTACAGACTGACATTTTTATTAGCTGCTCCAGAATTTTCCCACGGATTGGTGTCAGGTTAAATGGTCCCAGGACTGTCCTTTTTACCCTTTTTGAAGGTAGGGATAACATTGGCCTTCCTCCAGTCATCTGGCACTTCCCTGTTCTCCAGGTTTTCTCAGAGATAAGAGAAAGTGGTTCTGAGACTTCTGCCAGTTCCTTTATTACTCTCGGATGTGGCTTCCCAGGCTCTGGAGATCTGAACTCATTCAAAGTAATTAGGTGCTCCTTGACCATTTGTTTATTAACCTCAGGCTTCAGTCCTGACCCCTCAGTTTGTACTTCATTTCTGCCACAGGGAGTCATAGACCAAAAGACTGGGCCAAAGTAAAATTCAACACTTTGTCTTTGTTACAGTACCAATTCACCTTTCTCATAGAGAAGTTGAAACATTGTTCCTTTTCTCTGTCATTTACTGGACACATAGCTGAAAGGAGATTGCTGCTTTTAGCATCCTTTGTCAGCCTGAGTTCATTCTCAGCTTTAGCATTCCTGACGTCGTTCTGGCACTTCTGGGCCACCTGTCTGTACTCCTGCCACTTGGCCTGCCTTCCATTTCCTATGCATGTTCTTTTCTGTTTTTAGCTCTACTCAAAAGTTTGCTGTGGCAAAGGGGCTTGTGTAGCGCAATGAAGCTATGAGCTCTGCCATGCAGGGGCATCCAAGACAGACAGGTCATAGCAGAGAGCTCTGACAAAAGGTGATCCACTGGAGGAGGAAATGGCAACCCACTCCAGTATCCTTGCCATGAAAACCCCATGGACAGTATCAACAGGCAAAGAGATATGATGCCGGAATATGAGCCCCTCAGGTTGAAACGTGTCCAATATGCTACTGGGGAAGAGCAGAGGGCTAGTACTAGTAGTGCCAGAAAGAATGAAGCGACTGGGTCAAAGCCGAAAGGACACTCAATTGCAGATGTATCTGGTGTTGAAAGTCTGATGCTGCAAAGAACATTACAGCATAGGAACCTGGAATGTAAGATCTATGAATCAAGGTAACCTGGACGTGGCCAAACATGAGATGACAAGACTGAACATCGACATCTTGGGAATCAGTGAACTAAAATGGACAGGAATGGGTGAATTTAATTCAAATGATCATCATGTATACTACTGCAGGCAAGAATCCCTAAGAAGAAATGAAGTCAATAAAAGAGTAGGAAAAGCAGTACTGGGGTACAATCTCCAAAATGATGGAATGATCTCAGTTCGAATCCAAGGCAAACCATTCAGCATCACAGGAGTCCAAGTCTGTGCCCCAACCACTGGTGCTGAAGAGGCTGAAGTTGACCGGTTCTATGAAGGCCTACAACACCTTCTAGAATTAACACCAAAAAAATGATGTCCTTATCATCATGGGGAATTGGAATGCTAAAGTAGGAAGCCAAAAGATAACTGGAATAACAGGCAAGATTGGCCTTGGAGTACAAAATGAAGCAGGGCACAGGCTGGTAGAATTTTTGTCAAGAGAATATGATGGTCATAGCAAACACTCTTTTCCAACAACCCAAGAGATGACTTCACATGGACATCACCAGATGGTGAGCACAGAAATCAGATTGACTGTGTGCTGTGCAGCCAAAGATGGAGATACAGACAGTAAAACAAGACCAGGAGCTGACTGTGGCTCAGATCATGAGCTTCTTGTTGCAAAATTTAGGCTTAAATTGAAGAAAGTAGGGGAAAGCACTAGGCCACTCAGGTATGACTTAAATCATATTCCTGATGAATATACAGTAGAGGTGGCAAATAGATTTAAGGAATTAGATCTGATAGACAAAGTGCCTGAAGAACTGTGGACAGCGGTTCGCAACATTGTACAGGAGACAGCAACTAAAACCATCCCAAAGAAAAAGAAATGCAAGAAAGCAAAATGGCTGTATGAGGAAACTTTACAAATAGCTGAGGAAAGAAGGGAAGCGAAAGGCAAGGGAGAAAGAGAAAGATACACCCAATTGAATGCAGAATTTCAGAGAATGGCTAGAAGAGATAAGAATGCCTTCTTAAACGAACAGTGTAAAGAAATAGAAGCAAACAATAGAATTGGAAAGACTAGAGATCTCTTCAAGAAAATTGCAGATATGAAGGGAATGTTTCATGCAAAGATGGGCATGATAAGGGACCAAAATGGCAGGGACTTAACAGAGGCAGAAGAGATTAATTACACATAAGAGCTATACAAGAAAGACCGTAATGTTCCTGATAACTACCATGGGCTGGTCACTGACCTCAAGCCAGACATCCTGGAATGTGAAGTCAAATGGGCCTTTGGAAGTCTGAGCAACAACAAAGCTAGCGGAGGCGACAGTCTTCCAGCTGAGCTATTCAAAATCCTAAAAGACAGTGCAGTAAAAGTGCTACACTCAATACACCAGCAAATTTGGAAAATTCAACAGTGGCCACAGGATTGGAAAAGGTCAGTATACATTTGAATTCCAAAGAAGGGCAATGCCAAAGAATATTCAAACTACCACAGCACTGCACTCATTTCACATGCTAGCAAAGTTATGCTCAAAATCCTACAAGCTAGGCTCCAGCAGTATGTGGACCGAGAACTACCAGAAGTACAGGCAGGGTTTCAAAGAGGCAGAGGAACTAGAGATCAGATTGCCAACATACATTGGATCATGGAGAAAGCTAGAGAGTTCCACAAAAACATCTGCTTCATTTGACTATACCAAAGCCTTTGATTGTGTGGATCACAACAAATTGTGGCAAATTCTTAAAGAGATGGGAGTACCTGACGATCTTGTCTCTTGAGAAATATATATGCGGGTCAAGAAGCAACAGTGAGAACTGGACGCGGTACCACTGATTGGTTCAAAATTGAGAAAGGAGTTCGGCAAGGCTGTATACTGCTGCCCTGCCTATTTAACTTATATGCAGAGCACATCATGCGAAAGGCGGGGCTAGATGAATCACAGGTTGGAATTAAGAAATATCAACAACCTCAGATATGCCGGGAAAAATATCAACAATCTCAGATATGCCGGGAGAAATATCAACAACCTCAGATATGCAGATGATACCACTCTAATGGCAGAAAGTGAAGAGGAAGTAAAGGGCCTCTTGATGCCGGTGAAAGAGGAGAGCGCAAAAGTTGGCTTGAGACTCAGCATTAAGGTAACTAAGATCATGGCATCCGGTCTTCTCACTTCCTGGCAAAGAGATGGGGAAGAAATGGAGGTAGTGACAGATTTTATTTTCCTGGGGTCCAAGATCACCGCAGATCACCGCAAGAAATTAAAAGACGCTTGCTCCTTGGGAGGAAAGCTGTGGTAAATCTAGACAGCATACTAAAAAGCAGAGACATCACCTTGCTGACAAAAGTTCGTATAGTTGAGGCTATGGTTTTCCCAGTTGCAATGTATGGCTGTGAAAGTTGGACCATAAGGAAGGTTGAGCACCAAAGAATTGAGGCCTTTGAATTGTGGTGCTGGAGAAGACTGCTGCGAGTCCCTTGGACCGCAAGGAGATCAAACCGGTCAGTCTTAGAGGAGATCAACTCTGACTGCTCTTTAGAAGGCCAGATACTGAAGATGAAACTCAAATAATTTGGCCACCTAATGAGAAGGAAGGACTCACTGGAGAAGACCCTACTGTTGGGAACAATAAATGGCAAAAGAAGAAGGGGACAGCAGAGGATGAGGTGGCTGGATGGAGTCACTGAAGCAGTCAGTGTGAGCTTAGGTGGACTCCGGGGGATGGTGGAGGATAGGAGAGCCTGGAGGAATGTTGTCCATGGGGTCATGATGGGTCAGTTGCAACTTCGCAATTAGCATAGCATAGCAAAGTTTTCTGTGGAACCACATTGGTTTCTCCTGTCATCTGTTATCTTTTGTTTGTGTTGGAACTGTTTGTAATTGTGCCTTTAAAATTTCCTTTTTTAAAAAAACTTCCACCCATCTTAGACTCTTTTTTTACTTAGGGTCACTTGACATGGGACCTTACCTAGTTCTATCCTCCTCAGTTTATTAAAATCAGGTTTCCCAAAAGGCAGAGTATGTGTATGACCATGCACAGTTTTTGCTTCTTTTAAAAATAAGAATTCAGATATGTCATGGTCACTTTCCCCCAGAGTTCCCATAACTTCTACTTGGTCCACTAAGTCATTCATATCAGTCAGTATTAAGTCAAGGACAGCCAATCCTCTAGTTCCTTCCTACACTTTCTGTAGAAGAAAGTTATTTGCCATGCATGTCACTAATTTCTTGGAGGGGCCACTTTTGACACAATATCTCCCAGAAGTTAACAGGATAATCAAAGTCCCCCCACATCACACTCACTTGAAATGGGGGCAAAGAAAGGCGGCCCGGGCTTCCCCATAGGTGCATTCAGTGGGATTTCAGTTGAGCAATACTTTATTGGCAGAACAAGTCGAGTGACCATGAAGACCACCAGCCCCTTTGGGTGTGCCTCTTGTCAGTCAGCCTTGGGATTAACCCTCTACTTGACCGGATCTTGCTTCTACCACCAGGCCAAAGGCAATATGCCCTTTTCCCCCACTCCTGGCCCCGAATTCACCCTCATTGCTTGCCCCTCCACTGCTTTGGCAGTCCTCTCAGGTAAGACTCCCATGCTCCTGTGGGCCGAATTGCAGGTCGTCTTGTTCTTGGGACTCTTGATTTGTCCCAGACTTAGAACTCAAAGACGTTCAGTCCCACAGCCAGCAAGAGGTGGCCCCGCATTCACTGGCTCTTCATCCTTTCCGTATCTCCCCTGCCCTCCCTGCCCCTAACCTTGAGCATCCACCACTTGCAGAGTTCCGTGCCTTGTCCCCTGTGTCGGGACCAGGAAGATGCCCAGCACCCTCCTCCGGCCTGCAAGCACCCCGCCCAGACAAGCCTCCTCCCTGCTCTGGCTCGAGCTCCTGGCGACGGCCTGGCTGGTCTAGGAGGGCCACGGCCCAGTGCGGCACTTGGGGCAGCACCCAGCAGGAACCTTGGGCGGAACCTGCCCCTGTGTCAGCCTCGGGCAGCCCCAGCGGGTGGCTGGGCCCAGGGCAGGCGGTGGCAAGGGCAGTGGAGTGGGGACTACGTTGCAGCACTGATGCGATGAGGCGCTCGCCGCCGCCGCACAACACGCAACAGGGATCTGTTGTGCCGCTGGGATCCAGGAAGGCAAAGCGGGCCCAGCAGAAGCCAGAAGTAGAGCAGGATGCAGGCCCAGCTGGAAGCTACCTTGACCCAGAAGGTGGACCAGCTGCCATGTGTGAACGTGGTCTCCAGCTCAGCGTTCTCGTAGCTGCAAAGAGAGCGGGGTTGGCAGGACAGCACGACCTGGCGCCCGCCTCCACTTCTCGGGGCTCCAGCGTGCCCGGCTGAGGCCAGGCAGCTGGGCAAGCAGCTGCTGCAGGGAGAGACGAGCGGCCTGCTGCAGGAGCGGTCCCTACCTGAACCAGTTGGTGAGGGTCATCATGACATACAGCGAGGCCAGGAAGAAGACAAAGTGGAAGGTGGAGTAGCTGTAGGCCACGTGGTGCTGTTCATCGTGGACAATCTGTTCCACCCCAGAGGGTTCCTCCTGGCCAAGTCTCTGCCCTGGGCCAGGACCAGAAAGGGACCCTCCTGATCAAGGGCCCCCAGGCTCGAGGACCAGTTCTGCATCGCCGCCCAGTGCTCAGAGGATGCAGCTGCCGGGGCTTCCCTGGGATGCCACCCTGGGCAACTTAGCCTCCTACTCGCCTGGAGAGAGGATGCCGGAAACTTGGAGGGCCCCCCTCCCTTTTGTGAGAGCCCGGCAGGGGCAGGAGATGGACAGCAGATCCCTTAACTGTGCTCACCTGTCAGCTCCTCCTCCATCTTCTCTGGGCAACAGAAACAACAGGAGGGGTTCTGTAAGGAGAATAACAAAGGTGGAAAACCTTCCTTTGGCCCTCGCCTTCGGTCTGCTGTCAGTTTCGGTGCCCCTTGTACGTTGGAGCCTTCCCTTCCAGAACCGGCGGCCTGGGCCATTCCGGCTGCCGGGAGAGCAGTCCCCAAACCGTGTGTCCATTCTGAGGGACACATGCCTGCTGAAGTACAGCTTTTAATTCAAGATATTTGCAAGAGGAGTACTGAGTCCCCACAGAGAAATCCACAAGCTTCTGTGTGTGTGTGTCCCGAGCTGGAGTAAGACACACAGTGTGGGAGAGTTGGGCTCAGGAGCTCTGCACAGAATGTGTCACAGCGGCCTCCGCTTCTGCCGAGGCACTTGTGGCAGCTCGTGATTTAAAATTGCGAATGCAAGGAAAAGGTTCCAGATGATACCTTTGGCAGCAGAATGTTCCTGGGCAAAGGGTGGTTTGTTCAAGAGATGCGCAGGAATCAGTATATTCTGCAGCAAACGGAACTGTCCTCTCATACCCACCTGGAACTCAAAGCTGTAGACCTTGACCATCCACAAGGGCCCGAACATGGCGGCCAGCAGGGATGCTTCATTGCTACGGAAGGAGAGAGGCCCAAATGAGCAAAGCAGCTGCCTTGGGAAAGGGTGGCATGCCCACAGCAGAGGAGGTTCCCTGCTGAGGGATCCATTCCAGTAGCCCAGGGGCTCCAGCCCTCAAGCCCCAGCATGCCCCGTTCCCAGCCTCAGGGGGCCTGGTCAGCATGAGGCTCTTGCCAACCACTTCCTCTTCATGAAGCTCAAAGGCTGGAAGGGAAGATGCTTCAGTTCTGCAGGTGCCTGCAGAGTGAGAACGAGGCCTGGAGCTCTGTGAGAGGGGGGCCCTGGAGAGGCTGATCTCTGCACCAGATTGCTGTGAGGAAGGTGCCCGCAGCCATCTGCAAGGGGAGCAGCAGGGAGCGCAAGCACTTCTCCAAACCGCTCCTCGGGCCTGTCTGCGTCGGCCACCCTTGTCCGCGGCACACCGGAGGCCAACGCTAGGCTTGGGGGCACGTGGAGGCCGATACCCACCAGGCAAAGAGGACGCAGGCATACATGATGCCAGCCCCCACAACCGCAACAGTGGTGTCTTCTGTCTGCATTCCATCCTTACTGACGCTGGGGAAGCAAATGGTAAGATTTTGCCCCTTGTACTGCACTGTGGGAGAAAAACATGAGTGAATCAGGGAGCTGGTCCCCGCATGGCTTCCAGAGATTGTGCGCAGACAGAGACACAGACCTTTTTCCGGCGGGCGGCTGGACAGGGCTGAAAAGGTCAAGTACATGACATAGCAGCAAATGATGGAGGCCTGCAGGGGGCTGGAGCTAGGCTGTCCTAGAAGCAGAGGAGAATGGGTGTGAGCCGGCGAGGAGCACAGAAGGCCGGCGAGGAGCACAGAAGGCTGGCGAGGAGCACCATCACAGCATCGGGTACGGTGCCGAGGGTGTGCAGAAGGCCGGGGCAGCTTTCTGGACCACGTGACACCCCTCCTGCAGGTAATGACTCCTCTCAGGCTGTCTGGTTTCAGCCACAGATGACAGTTCTTCAGAGCCGTACGGAGGGCACCGATGGTTTCATGGCTTACAGCCACAGTGTTGGCATTCTTGCTGGAACAGCTAATGTGGTTTCCTTCCAGAGTCTGAGCTAACCAAGATTCCGGGAACCACCATCTCTTTCCCACCCCATCTTTTACCCAGTGAGCAAGTCTGGGGCATGGGAGGCCAGAGAGTGAGCATGCTGCAATTAGTGGGAGGAAGTGTGCCGCGTCACAAGGCTTTTGGGCTACCAACGAGGTGCCCGCTGGTGATCTCATGCTCCTGAGCAGCTCTCATTCTGTTCCATTTTCCTTGAAACCGAAGAACTGGGAATAAGACCCTTCCATTTTTCCTTGGGAATTTAGCATGGTGACCGCAACCCCATTGTGCTCAGAAAGTGTGAAAAGGCCACCCGTAAAGCCACTTGGAGAAAGAAGCCCAGCCACAGCCATTGCCCTGCTGCTTGCTGAGGGCCGCTAGCACCCACCACACGCAGCTTGGACCAGGAGGGAGGCTCAGTACCGGCACCCTGAAGCCAGGGCGGGCCTGTAGCCTGTGCCACAGAGAAGGGATGTCCCGGCCACAGCACTCACGGAGGCGGACGCAGGGGGTGACCGACACGAAGGACATGAGGAGGCACAGGCCCCCGTTGAGCGCCAGCAGCCCCTTGTTGAGAGTGCAGCCACCCGGGTGGGTGTAGAATTTGTACAGGAAGGTGTAAGCAGTGGAGGCCACTCCGTAAAAGCCCAGTGTGGCCAGGAACACAGCCAGGTACCAGCGTTTGTCTTTGGAGGCTCCGCTGACCCTGGGAAAGAAATGGTTGTTGGAGAAGGACTCCACCACCCAGGCAGCGGCCACTGCCTTGCTGCTGCTGCTGCTGCTGCTGCTCCTCCTCCTCCTCAGCATCACTCAGCTCTGCCAAGACCCACCTTCTCCAAGGGGGTCCTGCTCCCTCCCATCTGTGCGGGAACTCACCAGTTCTTGTTCCAGGTGTGGGCAAAGGCTGTGATCAGCACCAGCTGGACCAGGATGAACATGAAGCCCCCACAGACACCCACGAGGTGCCAGGCTGCAGCAGGAAAGCCGGAAGGAGGCAGGGGCTGGTCAGGCAGGGAGCCCGGCCACTCGGCTGGCCTTCCCCACCAAGCGACAGGCTTAATTCTGGAGTGCTGTCTCAGCACTCATGCTGGAGCCTGCTAGGCAGAGGTCCCTGCCGCCGAGGACCCTCCTTGCGGCAGGGCGGCAGTGGAATCCCCATGCAGCTCTGAGCCGGCCAGCGCCCACTCGGCATGGCCCCTCGAGGAATCACTCTGAGGGGAGCGCATACCTTGGACGAAGTGCTGTTCCGGGATGAAGAAGGCTGCAGCGCACAGCCCCACCAGAGCGAGCAGCTTCGGGAGCCAGCACCTGCAGGGGAAGCGAGGTTGTGGCGAGGCTGGCCGGGCAGGGTGTGGTGAGGGGAGGCACAGCTTCCTCTGGGCCAGAGCAGAGACGTGGGACTGGGAGTGGGGGGCCACTGAACCCCCCCCTCACCCATTGTGCAGCAGAGCGCGGGGGTTGCTGCTGGACTTGATGTTGACCAGGAAGGCGGCCTGAGCCAGGTGGAAGCTGGCTGTGCCAAAGCAGACTCTGTAGACGGCCAAGTAGCCCACCAGGATGTTGCAGTCGGCGCCCGCAGGGAGGTGCTCGCACAGCACCGTGTAAAAAGGCACCTGTGGGAAGGAGGGAGGGAGGGAGCATGGAGGGAGGTGGCCCCCGGGCCAGCGCTTCCCACAGTGAGCCAAAAGCCAAGGAAGGGGCCCCTTCACTGAGCCTGTCCCAGCCTCTCTCGGTAGCACGTTTCGCTAGCTGCAGGGCTGGCTTGCACTTTTAGAAGAAGAAAAGACCCTTGCTGGAAGAACCAGCCCTGAGAGGCTCCCCCTCCCCTCCTCTCCCCTCCACGAAGGGTGCTGTGGGGAGCATGCTTTGGAGGAGGCGTGGCCCCTGTGCCCGGGGATGAAGGGCACTCCTCACTCACGTTCTCCTTGATGACTTTGGTCGCGGTGCGGGAGAGCAGGATGCAGCAGCTGGCGCAGGCCAGGATGTGGAAGAGCATGTAGAGGAGCCGGGTGCCGGTGGACGCCTTGCAGCCGGGGCAGCACACGCTGCAGGGAGCTGGGCCACAGCAGGAGCAGAGCTGAGTGTGGGGAGGAGGGAGGGAAGGTGACGCCTTGCCTGGGCCCTCCGTGTGTTTTGCAAGGAGGGCGAGCCGCGTGCTTGGAACGTGGCCGGAAGGGTGCCTAGACCCCCCGGTGCCAAGAGCCCAGGGCCCTCCAAAGGTGCTGGGCCTGGCACACAGATGAGCAGAGCAGGGCCGAGATCAGCTGCCAACAAGCCCATGTGGCCAGGGTTGCCTTGCTAGGCTTGGGGCACTGCCCCTGGGCAAGGGCTGTGCTCGTGCCCAGCCAGGCAGGCATCTGGCTGCATTGGACCAGCCCCATGTGCCCCCCTGGCTCTGCATCTGGGCCTGTGGCCTGGCCCATTCCCAGGGAGGGGCTGTGCCAGGCAGTTCTTCCTCTCTGCAGAGAGGGACTGAGGTCTGGGGGCTCAGTGGCCCCCCGCTGCTGCGGGGTGGGGCAGTGCAGGGAGTCTGCAGGGTGCACCCAGCCGTCGCAAGCCGCTGCCCTGCTGCCAAGCAGCAAACAACCCCAGTCAGACTACAGTGGAGCGAGGTCTGCCTGCTTCCAGAAGAACACAGCATGGCCTCCAACTCTGGGTGGCTTCCAAATCTCTGTGCCCTCACAGGGCAGTGGGTGCCTTTTGTACATTCGCTGCCTTGCTTTCGCTCCTCTTGCTCGTGGGGGCTGCCCATGTGCCCTCCATGGCATACCACCCATCTACACTGGGGCTTTGCTGGGGGCACGGGCACTGGTGCCAGGGTGTGGGGAGGGCTGGAGGTGTCCCATAAATGCAGCACCCGCCTGCCTTTGTTCCTTGTGCCTTTTGTTTTAACTTGTGCCATGTTGTTACTTGCTTCCCAACCAGGCCTAGGCAGATGTCGGTGTGGGTATACAAGATGGTGGTTTTGCTCCTCGTGAAGCATGCAAATGCCATGTGTTCGCGTATTTTGCTAAAGAAGAGGCTCGCCCACATGAATTCTGTGCTCCTCCTTCCTTTGCCTCATCCTCCTGCACGGCTGTCCAAGCCTGTGGCCTTGGCAGGCCAGCCCACATGTCTTCAGAGGCTCCTGGTCCTCAGAGCAAGTTTCCTATGCTGTTCCTGCTGCAGATCAAGGCGGTGGCTTGTCTAGTTGGAGGCATTCGCCCTGCCTTCTCTCCGCAAGGCGATGCACACACAGGATTCAGGCAAGACCTTCTCCCCAGAGCCACCCAGTTGATCCCTGCCAGCCAGTCCATCTGGCCACCAAGATTCCCGGGGAGGATTAGAGTCCGTGCTAATCAACTGCAGCACGTCCCCCAGAGCTGGCCAGCTCCCCTCCTCCCTCACATCTGCACCCGGGAAGAGGGTTGACTGGGGCACCCGGTTACTGCAGTGCTGCCCTCGGACTCGGCTCAGGCCCCGTCGCCCACTCACCTGCCTTCAGCCAAACCCACCTCACAGGTTCTTGAGTGAGGGCATTCGTGCATGCTCCCTGGCCTCTTTGGAGGAAAGGGGGGATATCAGGATGCCCAGGGGATGCAGCCCTTCTCAGTCTGGCGTCTCCAGATGGACTACAGTTTCCTTCACTTTTAGCCAGCACTGCCAATGATCATGGAAGGCAGGGAATGTAGTCCAACAGCATCTGCAGCCGAGATTCAGGCAGGGGCCTCTCAGGGACAAAAGAGGAGAAATGGGGCATGCTTTCCCTCACTTGTGCATCTTACAACTCACCCTGTTTCAAGCAGCAACTGGGAGGGAGACCTCATGGGTCCCTGACCCTGCCTGGGAAACTCTCCACTGAGGTGTTCCTAGTCCATGTGCCTGGAGCAACAGGCCAAGCCCACAGGGCAGTCCGCTCAGTGCACTTCTATAGACAGAGCAGCCCCAGAAACCGGGCCCAGATGCCGTTGCTAATTCTAAGAACTACCCATGGCCATTAATTCAATGACAAAAAGAATCTGGTTCATCTGATCCCAGCCAAGTTAAGAGATGCTCCAGTTGGGCTGCTTGAGCAGAGAAGGTGAAGAAGTTTTGGGGACAGACAGAATTGGAGATGGGCAGCAAAGTTAACCATGCAGATAAATCATCAAGTACCCCAAGTATCACAGGAAAGGAGTCAACGTACTTCCAGGTGGAGGGAGAGTTCCTAGCACTAACAGTCGGAAGGCCTTGTGCAGCTCTTCAGTCTTAGAGGTTTTTCACAGTAAGAAAAAGCAGACGTGGCGAGAAAGCAGGCAGAGAGATGATGGTGCCACCAGGGCTGGTCTAGCAGCACCCCAGCCTTGCAACCAATATCCAGCCAGTGCCTCGGAGCAAGTTCCTAGTCTCTCAAAGAGTCCTTCCGCTCCAGTGAAGGCACAAGCAGGCGATGCCTCTGGCTGGCCCCTTGCTTGGGGTGCAGTGTGGGGTGGAGGGAGGGAGATTGCATGTGGATGGGCAACTGGCTGATGGCTCTTGGGTGACGGGGGCAGAGCCAGGTGTTTAGGGGCCTGGAGGATGAAGGCCGGAAGAGGACCAAGCTGTGCCCATAGAGGCCGTCTGGACCAGGGGCAGTCAAGACCCTCACGGGGAGCAACAAGTCTGAGAGACTGGCAGACCTGCTGAGCAGCAGCGCTGGTTAAGCTGTGCTAAGAATGCAGAAGGAGCGGCTCCCACCACTCCCACCCATGCTGAGGGCCTGCTGAGCTGCCTGCCTCCCGAGGACTTTGCTGGCGCTGTGCTGGGTGCCACAGCTGGGGGAGCCCGAGGCCCTCCCTGCCGCTGCCCTGCGGCCTCCTGCAGAGCCTTCGCTCCTTGCTTCGGAGCAACAAAGAAGGCTTTGCAAGGCCCGTGGTGCCGCCTGCTCCAGGCGCGGGGCAGCTGGAGTGGCTCTCCATCATTCCCACCTCGACCGCTTGACCTCAGGCGATGGCAGCCTGGGTGGCCTTGGCAGGCCAGGAGGACTGCAGGGCCCTCCCAAAGCCGGAGGCCTGGGGCATCCTTGCCCACCATCTTGGTTCTCACGGCCTGCAGCAGAATGCCGCGGAAGGAGCCACGCACTGGCAGCGCCCTGTGCCTGGACGCAGAGTTGGGCAGGGGTGGCTCATTTCCTGCAACGCCGTCTGCCCATGGAAGGAGCGGCGCCCTCACTCCAGGGCCACTGCCCGGGCTGGCTACACCCTTCGTGGGACGCCCCCCCTCCAGCACTGGCCTGCCAAGAGTCCCATGGCCACGGACCCTCATCTTCCTTCAGCCTACCTGGGCCTTGCAGCAGGCAGGCAGCATCCCTCCTCCGTCCCGGAGGCCTCTGGCTCCCCAGAGAGGGCTCGGGCCACGTCCGCCTGCCCCAGGCCCTCGAGCCCGCCCTCTGTTCGGCAGCAAACCTGGGGCAGGTGGTGCCTGCCGGCTGCCCAGAGCTCCTCTCTGCTCCCTCGCAAGGCGATGCAGAAAGAAAGCCAATTATTGTGGAGCCGGGGATTGGCCCACAAGGGGCAGCCCTCCCTCCACCCTGCCTCCCTGGGACCTGTGATGCGCAGGTCAGGGGAGACTTCCCACCTGATGTCTGGGTAAAACTCGCATTTCTGCCTGATGATGTCAGGAGCCAAATCTGCTTCCTTAACCCTCTTACCCAACAGAAATAGAGGGCTTAGCGGCTCCTCGGGCACGGTTAGTCTGCCGCAGGCTGAAAGGGACAGCCACTTTCTTACCTGAAGTCACCCCAGCAGGGAGCAAGAAGGGAAAGGCGGAGGCTAGTAAGCCCCTTGGCCCTGACCAGAGGGCTGCTGAGCGACCGGCAGCTGGGCTCGCCTGCCCCTCCTCGTCTCTGCAGGTCTTCTGCCCTGCTGGTGCTGCCTCGGCTCTTGCAGGCGTGAGCAGAGGTGCTGTGGGCGGTGTTGGAGGAATGAAGAGTTACTGACTGAAGATTTGATTTTAAACAAGATACTGGACCACACGAAAATGGACAGACTAACTTTATCTCTTAAGGAAAAAGAAGATACAGCTTACTACTAAACATGGGACTTTTTCTACCATTGGCTAGAGAATTGGAACTTTAATTAGGGCTGAAATACATAGCAATTGTAGAGAGAAATAAGATTCTGTACCCAGTGTGTCTGAAGTCTTTGGAATAACTATTTGTTTAGCGTGTAGAAAACAATAACAATTTTGAAATCAGAGGTGCCGCGGTGTCAGCCCTGTCGGACAGGCATGCAGTACTGCCCAGGGGATGTCGTGGCACCGTCTTCCTCACTGTCCTCCCACAGTTCTCCATCCCTGTGAGCTTGGCTGCAGTCCTCTCAGTCTTTGGACCCTGACAGCAGAGTTCATTTGGCCAGCAGCAAGACATTTCTCCCTGTGGTGATGCAGAGTATTTTGGGGTAGCTTGGTCTTGAATGGGAAAGTAAAACCCAGGAGCTGTCCTAAAGACCTGCTCCTCCTGGAGATAAAAATGCAAGAATGGGGCAGTTGATCTGAGTTATTTCATTTCTAAGCCTAAGGGAAACAATGATTAGAAGTCTAATTAAAATGATTAGATTAGGTGAGAGCCAGTGTGGTGCGGTTAAGAGCATGGGACTGGGACTCGGGCGATCTGGGTTCGAGTCCCTGCTCAGCCATGGAGCCAACTGGGTGACTTTGGGCCAGTCACAGACTCTCAGCCCAGCCTACCTCACAGGGTTGTTGTGGGGATAAGATGGAGGAGGAGAATGATGTAAGCTGCCTTGAGCCCTTTGTAGGAAAAAGGCGGGATATAAATTGATAAATAAATAAATAGAAGTGTACTGAAATGTGAATGTAAACTGTCAGAAAATAGGGTTAATCCAAAGGGATTTGTTTGTACAATTTATTCACATTATATTGAAATAGCTGGGTGTTTGTCAGGTGGGCTGAAAATAACATAAGAAGAGGCAGCGCTAGCAATACAGGAAAATGTATGGATGACTCAGTCAAAGAAAATGGTTATCAACAATCCTTAGGCAGAATTACTTAAATTAATTACATCAACAGTATATTATTCCCAATATGTTTGGCAATGCAAAAGAAATATTGCCTGAAAAGCGACCGGCAAGGTTTGTAGGGTCAAATGCAGCTGCCATGTCCTGCCGTATTAGTTGAGAAGATATTCTTAGAAATGGCAAGCACTGGACTTCCAACGGCTTGTGTAACATGCGTGTTGGCTCTAGGGCAGGGGTCGGCAACCCACAGCTCTGGAGCGGCACGTGGCCCTTGAATCCCTCTGCTGCAGCTCCGTCGCTCAAAATATGTGTCATAGCCGCTGATCTGCAACCCATGCCGATTTACTGAGCTTTTTCCCCTGGTAGGCCAACCATGGATAAATCGAAGAAAAGTTTCTGAAGAAAACTGAATGTTTAATGGAACGTGGGTAGATGAATTTGCTTTTACTGCTGACAAACTTATGGGGTTTGCTGTTTAATGCATGCAGCCCTTTAGCACTGACTTTGACTCTACAGGAAGCTGTTCTCCTATTCAAAATATATGAAAGGAGTCCTACTAGTTTATAATGTAAGATTAAAAATAACAGTTTTTAGTGACTGAACAAGAGCTGCAGCTAAATCATAATGAAGATATAGATCTACTTCCTTGTTTTAAGAAGATTCTTATAAAAATTCCAGCAACATCATTACACTGGGAGACGGATGTTTGTTCAATATTTCACCGGACTATTATTTATATTTGTTGTACTGCAGAAACTCTACTTACTGTATGAAAGTATCAGTTAGTCCTTTTTTTATTCAGGTTGACAGCTGACTACACCCTCCAGTACACGTGATAAAAGGATGAGGGCACACAGAAGCAGGCGGCAGTTTTGGTTTGCTGCAGGTGGATAATTTAAGTTCGGCTTTTTATTTCATAAATACAGGAAGGACTGAAATAGACATTGAGTATTTTATTTGTAAGTAACCTTCAACCCAGCATCTTTTTTTTCAGAGTTCAAAAGGTTTTTGCATGCAGAAATAAAAATTTGTTTTCTCTGTAGCAGTTCATTGATTTCATAAATGCAACACACTATAGTTTTTTTATACATAGCATAAAGGTTAAAAAAGATATATGCAGTGTTATCTTCATTTCAGATGTCAAAAGGGGTTTGAGGCTCCCAGTGTTTTCTTTTGTGTGGGAAACGGGTCCAAATGGCTCTTTGAGTGTTAAAGGTTGCTGACCCCTGCTCTAGGGGCAGAAGAAGATGCAGAAGGACCATCTGAGGAATGAGTGGCATCCATGCTTACAGCATCTTAGCTCATAAACTGCCGAACTTTTAACACTGGAGTTTCGGCAGGTTGCCATGGCAGAACAGATGCAGCAACTTGAATTACCTTAAGCAAAGGTAAAGCATTTGATTTTTATACCATACACACCCAAATCAGCCACATGTGCAGCTTTCCACAGGTTAGAGAGACAGTGTGGTATCCAATGGTGTGAAGAAAATCCCCAAGCCACCATGGAGCCCTGAAACCAGATCAGTCTGGGCCTAGCTCAGCACCGGGTTCAGACGGGGGCTGGACAGCTGCTTGCAGGACCCACAGGCAGGCCACAGAGGCAACGCTGCATCCTGCCAGGGTTCCCGGCAGCTGGTGCCACAGGTATGCCGCCCCAACCCTGGAGGGGGCAACTTGTGCAGCCTCGGATCCCAGAGGTGGGATCTTACTGTCAGGATGAGCAGACCTTGACACCCTTCTCTGCTGCGGGAATTTGCCAGTCCCCGGCAAAGCCAGGCCGACTGGCGGCCTTCCATGCATCTCAGGGCAGAGAATCCATGCGAAGGCTCTCCTTGGAGGCGTGCCCTTCCACCCTTTCCCAGGCAGCTGGGGGCACCTTTCCACACTGGGCAAACTTTCTTACCTATTTCAGAGTTTGCATGCAAAGGGGACAACACATTAGATGTAGTGTTGTAGTTGTTACTATCTTGCATCTGTTGAGTTGTGAACTGCACAGAGAGCTTCAGCAGCAGGCGGTACAGAAATGTCAAGAACAACAATCTATATCCTTTTCCCTCTTGCAAGGAGTCCGGAGCCCCGCACTCCATTTCATCCTCGCAACAGCCGCCCTCAGCGGTAGGACCGGGCTCTCCGTGAACTTGAGGGCTGGGAGGGAACGAGAAGCCGCGGCTCCAGCTCTCCTGCGCAGCGCACGTCGCACGTTCCCTCTTTCCATTGCTCGAGCTAAGCCTGATGGACGTTTTCTTTGCCCCCGCTTGGCTGTCTTCGTATTTGGAAAAGTAGTGAGAGTTTGAAAGAGGAACGCAGACTCCCACCTACCATCTGTCCCGCCAACGTCTATGGTGCCACTGAGCCTTCCGCTCTAGCCGCCCACGTGTCCTTTCGCGCTCTCCCTCCCGCTTCCGGAAGGCGAAGGGCACGTGACGGAAGCAGAAAGCCCGCGGAGAGATGGCGGCCGAAGGGGATGTCGAGCTGGAGCTGGAAGCGGAGCCGAACGGCTCGGCGGGCGGCGGGGATGGCGCGGGGGGCCGGCCGGCCGAGAAGCCTCGGAAGCACGACAGCGGCGCGGCTGACCTTGAGCGCGTCACGGACTACGCGGAGGAGAAGGAGATCCAAAGCTCCAACCTGGAAACGGTGCGCGGCGGGCGGGCGGGCGCCATAGTCCCCCTGCGGTTTCCCCACCGCAGACGAAGCTGCTTCTGCGGCTGCGCCCTCCGCTCCGGGGGAAGCGGGCCTGGCTCCAGCTGCAGCCGTGCCTGTCGCCCCATGGCGCCGAGGAGTGGCGCGACGGGGCGGGCAGCCCGCTTGGGGCCAGTGAGGCTCGGCCTATCCCACTTCTCCGGGGTGTTGTAGGAATGAAGTGGTAGAGGGAACCAGATGACTGGTGACTGTCGTGTGAAGACACGCCAGGAATGGCGGTTACAAAACCAAGCTGTCGTAACGCAGGGAGCAGACCGCACCGACGGGCTGCCAGTCTTGTTAGTTCCCAGGCCATTCGCAGGCTCAGTTTTTTATGCGAGTGTCAGCCTTTTAAGAACCAAGCGGCTCGGAGCAATGCATTTGCCGTGCATTGAGATCAGAAGTTCAGATCTCTCATGAATTAGCACTTCTTTAAAGTGCTGCTGCAGAAAAGCTTCCAGAACAAGTTCCCGTAAGATCAGCAAAGGCAAGTCCATTCTTGCCTGCAGGCCCACAGTCCAAGAGAGAATTGTATAAATAATAAATAAATAAAATTGCCTGGCCACAGTAACCAGTTGAAGAGGGCAAACTGACAAAAGAGTAGCTGCCTGCTGTTGGAGGGGAGCAGTGTGCTTAGGCACTGCTGTGCAAATGCGAGAACCTGAGGACCAGAATGGGAGAGCTGGCATCTCTGCCGATACAGGTGAAGCTAGAAAGAGCAGGCATCATGGAAACCTGGTGGGGAGGAGATAACTAATGGGATGCAGTAATCTCTGGGTAGAAACTGCATAGGAAAGACAGAGGTGTACCGGAGGAGGAGTTTCCCTCTATGTTAAGGAGGGCATAGAGTCTCCTACAGACTTGATCATCTAAAGAAAGAATGATCTAAAGATAGTGCTCCTTCAAAGAAGCACTATCTCCAAAACTCAGTCATAGGAGCATGCTATGTCCTGCCGACCAGAACGCTCAGGGGAATGAAATCGGAGGCCGTCAGGCAAGGCAGCACTGTAAGAATGGGAGACTTCACCAACCCACAAATCGACTCAATAAATGCATGTTCTTGTTCGGAAATAGATGTTAGATTTCTTTCTGTCCTAAATGGCGGTGTCCTTAAGCACTTGTCATGGAGCCAACCAGAGGGGAGGGTTTAGTCCTAGGTGGGGTTTATTTAGAAAATTTATTTAGAAAATTTCTATGCTGCCCCATTTGCCGAAGCCTCGGGGCTGCTCACAAAACATCAGTTAAAATATAATACACTAAAAATATAAAACGAATTAACAATATAAAATAAGTTGTTTGCTCAGAATATAATACAGGATGCAAATGTTGCCACAAGGTAACCGTGGCCACGGTGGTATCAGATTTAATCTACAATTAGGAGGAAGATTGCCAAAGTGGTCAAAAATAGTTGTTTGATGTCAAAAGAGGAAATGTCTTAAAAATGAGGGAACTGGTTAAGAAGAAGCAAAGAAGGGGAATCTTTAACTGTACTTAAGAATAGGATGCAGAGCTCACGATGAGGCCTAATAAGTCCTAATGCATGGGTCCTCAAACTATGGCCTGGGGGCCGGATCTGGCCTGCCATGCCTGTTTGGACCCGCCGTGCGCCCGCCCGCCACTGCCCATCTTGCCCCGCGCGTGGGGAGGCAGTGCTTCGCTCACTCGGAGAAAACTATCTCCAAGCAAGCAAGTCGCCTGCCTTGTGCCCCCGCCTCCCCTCGCCATGCGCACCCGCTCGCACCTCGCCTCACCTTGTCTCGCCACGCACCCACCCCCGCCTCAGCACACACACCAGCCCCCGCGCCGGCCCGCATGCACCACGGGCACCACCTTGGCCCCCTGGTGGAAAAGTTTGAGGACCCCTGTCCTAATGAAACCTATTACCTGGGGAAGTTGTGGGCTCTCCCTTGCTGGAGACACTCAAAAAGTGTTTGAACAGTCATCTGGATGGCATGGTGTAACTTAGTGTCCTGTAATAGCAGGGAGTTGGACCCAGTGATCGTCTGGCCATCCAACACTAGTATTCTATGATTCCAAGTGCTGAGTAGAGGGGAGCTAGTACTGTGCATTATATAGAAGGGACACTTGTATTAATGCAGCCCAAAATAGTTGTTGCCTTTTTGCAGCCAGATACAATAGTGTTGACTAAGCTTGTGATACAAGAACCTTTTCATTCATACTATTGTTGAAAAAAGTAACCTCTCTATTGTATTTATGAATTTGGTTTCCTTTTTCCTAGGTACAGAATTGGGCATTTGTCCCTATTAAATGTTTTCAGTCCGGTATTCCACTCCTTCAAGATCATTTTGAATTCTGTTTCTGTCTCCCAGGGTGTTTAGTTGTACCACCCAAATTTGTGTCATCTATGTGTATGTTTTAATTCTTCAGAGAACCCTAACCAAGTTTTTTGCTTTTGTTTTTCTTTGTCTAGGCCATGTCAGTAATAGGAGACCGAAGATCCAGAGAGCAGAAAGCAAAACAGGAACGGTGAGCACTCGATGTTCATATCTCCTGCTAAGACAGTGGGATTGTCCATTATACCTTTTAGGAGCCGTCACTGCAAGAAATGCTTAAGCTGGTAGCCTGTAGGTATAAACAGCATTTAGTGCTTGATATTTGTAGCAGCGACCAAGCTCAGAGGTTAAAGTAGTTAAATACTGAATAATTTCCCTAAGGAAGCACTTGAATATGTTACATTTCTAACACATTAAATCATTTTGCATTTACTTGTTGTTGGTTCTGCACTATTTGGAGCCTGCTTTGTAGCACCTGAAACTAAGGCGTATTCTAGTTCTATCCGAGCAAATATCCGTTGCTTATGGACAGCTAGAAGTGTGCTGTTCCTTGTAGTTCCGCTTCTGTTGATACCAGTGTTGCTCAAAGGCCTGTTGTGTTTGGGAGGGAAAAGGACGGCTTAATATGCTGGAGATGGGTAGAGTCCTGATTCTGCTCTCCTTCTGTTTTAGGGAAAAAGAACTGGCCAAAGTTACCATCAAGAAGGAGGATTTGGAGTTAATTGTGAGTGCAGTACAGCAATCATTGCACTGACCATCAGGCAGTTTCATCCAGGGCTGTGGAGTCTGGACATAAAACCTTTGACTCCAACTCCTTTATTGATATATCAGTATAGGAAATAAATATACTAATTCTTTATTGTCTCAATTGATTGAAAGCACTCAAACCTACAAGCCATTTCATCACTGTCAATGTGAATCATCAAGCTACTTTTTAGAACCCTAAACTGTTAAAGATGTTTAAATCCCTGTTAAAAAAAAAATTCTTATCTTTCTTTAGCCCTCAAGTAGATGGAATGTTTTTATTGCTGCCTTTCTCATTCACAGCTTCTAACACTTTAGGATGAAAATGCTACAACTGTCTTTTTAAATTTGATGCTCCTATTGGTGCATTTTTTCTCAGAACTACAAAAACTACTAATTTTTGCAAAACATGCTTTTTCACAACCATCCTCTTCTATAGTACATTGACACATTATTGTTAAGTGTTCAGAAATAGCCAACTTCATTGACGCTTTTTTGCCCTTGTGAAGTTTTTCATGGAGTGCCACATTTTCACTAATATATGAAATTAAAATATATCCTGAAAATATAACCTGAATAAACAAGTTAATCAAATTATCTGTGAAATAGAAAATTTAAATGTATTATTTATATTGCAATTTAAAGTTATTAGGAGTTGGAGTCAGCACATTTTTACTGTCTCTGATCGCAGTAACCCCAGAATTGCTTCCGACTCCCACTCCACAGCCCTGGGTTCAACATGGCACATTGTGGATAAGAATTTACTTCCCCTGCTTTCTTTTCTGTACAGATGAATGAGATGGAGATCTCCAGGGCAGCTGCAGAGCGCAGCTTGAGGGAACACATGGGTAATGTGGTCGAAGCGCTGATCACCCTCACCAACTGAAAGCTATCAACTGGATACACGTCTCTGGCCAAAGGGAGTAGAACAGCTTCACATTTCCCTTCGTTGTTCAGATTATGGCCGCATCTGACATCTTAAAGCTGTTGGAATAAAGATGTCATTTTTGAACTTGCTGTTGATGTGACTTATACAACTGACTGAGCAGGAAGCATTTCTCTTGGCTGACTGAACACCTGGTGGTGATTACTTGGGGCCCATTTTCCTTCAGCACATGGTGCCCTCCACATGATGGCGGGCAGTGGACATGATGGTGAATATAGAAACACGTTTTTCCTCTCTCAGAATGCTAGAACTCAGGACTCTGTTATGGAGTTGGTTGAAGTGGGCCGTCCTCTGCTTTCCATACGTGCGCTCTTTTGTTGAAGAAAGGGAGCAAAGGAAGCGGCTGGTATGGCCATACCTGCTGTGCACTAACTCTCCTTTTTAGCAACATTTGCAGCACTTCGTCTAAGATTGAAACTTCTAAATGACTAAAGATTTTTTTTGAGGTAAGAGGTAAAGTACAAACCCAAACCTATTGCCAAAGTCTTTTTAAAAATCTTTCTTGTCAAGCCACTATCAAATTCTGTTCCCTTTTCAGTTCCTCCTAGTGGCAGCAGCATTTTACTATTATTCCCCTACGCCAAGGATAGGCAGTCTTTTTAAGTCTGGACAGATTTGCACTTGGAGAAACTGCCTGGGGCACCACCACAAAATGGCTGTCATGGGAATAATGGCTAGTCACAACGAACAAGTAATTCACTGAGTAAGATGTGGCATCTGAGCCTCAATACTGTAAATGCCTTTAAAGGCCACCCACCAGGGAGGCTCTAACTCGGAATCCTGCAAGGGGTTGGACCCAGTGGCATCTTCCAGCTCAACTATTCTATGGAACTCCCAGCTTTCAACAGCAAGAAGCATTTTTCTTCTCCCCCGACCCTCTGGATCGCCACCATACGCGTGCGCTGCTCAACTGGCAGCCCACCCCATCCCTCTGCCCCTTATGCACACACATGCAGCCCGCGTGCTCGACTTTGCCTTCCTCCTGCTCCCCTCCCAACTGCCTGATCTGCCACACAGCTTGCTTTATGGCTCTTTTTTAACTGGGAATGTTCATGCTGTGAGCTGCCTGGGGGCCCAGTCATTGGGAATAGGCAGGATACAAATAAATATAATTCTACCACTTCCACCACCAAATTCATCTGGCAGTAGTGATGAGTTCAGTTCTTCCTCCCCCATGTTTTCTTGATGGCTGGGTGCACCCCAAAGCACCAGCTGCCCACCTTCACTCCTCAGAATGGCTGATCCCAACATGTGGCCCAGAGCTATTCATGGGATATGAAGGCAGCAGTGGCTGGAGGCCCTCACTCTGACTGGAATTCCCAGCTTCTCCCCAGCCTGAGCCAGCACGATCAGCACTCAGGAATGGCGGGATGGCCATCCGGAAGAAAGGCTCTGATGCGAGATCAGGCCAACAGCTATCCGAGTAGGAAGCAGAACGGCAGGAGAAGCCTGGTTTGTCCCCAGGCCTGGCCGTTCTCCATGAGGGAGCTGGTACTCTGTATATGGAGCAGCCTGGCAATGAAGGCCTTTCTAACGTTGGGCTCATCCAGTGCTAGTACCTTGCAAAAGAATAAAAGCAACACTCCAGCTACCGCGTCCCACTCATTCATCACAGCAGTGCCTTGACAAGAAATACATTTAATGCAAATTTCGATGTGTGTATCCATTTCAAATCCACTTAGCAGTACCCCTATGCAGAGCAGGATACCTCTGAAGTTAAAAATGGCACCTGCTGGGCCAGTACAAATGTCCTAGAAACAAGTAAGGGGGCCAGGCAGATGGGGCTTCCTCCACAAGCATGAGGGAGAAACGGTCCAAGCCTATGGCAGCGCTCCGTTCTTCCGAGGCTGGTCAAGAAATTGTCCTCCATGACTGGCTCAGGTGGCCTTCCGCTTCTTGGCAGAGGGTCGCTCAAAGACATCCCGCACACCAGCTGCCTTCTGCTTAAAGAACTTGGTGTTCTGAGCACTTTCCTGCCCCCAGGCAGAGTCAAAGGAGGTTGTGTCTTGGTCCACCAGATGTGTGTACTTTGTTCTTCCAGAGCGCCCAAAGTTCTTCACCTGGGCAGGAGGAAAAGACAGCGTATTAGAAACTCTGAGCAAGGGCCCCCAAGTCGCTTTGCTTCTGGCTCTCTGCCAGAAGATTAGGAGGACACATTAGCTGCATCTTCAAACCCAAGAACTGGAATTGGCTGAGTGGGCACTTTTCCCACGTACCTGCATGACTTTAGGTAAGATAGTCTTGTTGAAGTGATCTTCCAAAGTTGGGGCACTGAAGTCCCTCTTATATACATCCTCATCTTCATCCTGGATGGAGAGAAGAGCACAGCTGAGGGCAGCCTGGCTCGGTCCTTGCAGCTTCTCCTTTGCCATCCTGGCAGGCCGGCCACAAGAGAAACTACTTCCACCCACCCCGACCAAAAGGAAAAAGGTTAGCCACAAAAAATGGAGATGACAGAAAGTTACATCCGGCACTCCCCACCCCGATCTGGCCATCAGCCTTGCGCCCAGACGTGCAGTTTGTTCATCCTACATTTCCCATTCCTGGGACAAAACTTCTGGTTGGTCACTCACCATGAAAAAGGCTCCTCTGTGGTAATATTTCTGCAGGAACTTGTATTTTCCCTTCACAGCCTTGTTAGTAATAACCTTGCCATTGGCTCGGAGCTCAGCGCGGCGTTCCTCCTCAGTCAGATTCCGTACCCGCTCAATTTCTGCCTTCTCCTTCTCCAACCTGTGTGGAACAGAACGCTATCACAGGCAGACATGCCCTTTGCCTGCAACATGTAAATCCCTGTTGCCAAGATGTGCATAAGGTGGCCCATGTCAGTCATGGATATGTAATAACGGAACAGCTCAGGCCTTCGGCTCTCCTGTCCTGCTTGCCACTGAACCACTTTGGAAGCCTTTTCTCCCAAAGAGGAGGTAAAAATATTTTTAATAAATAAGCAAACCTTACTAAGCGACATCGCGTACTTGAAGGGACAGTTCAGATGTCCTGCTAAGCCACGCTTCAGCATCCCATGCATGAGCAGCAAAGATGCCAGAATCAAAAGCCCTGTTAATTCTGCTGGACATCTCAGTGGCCTTTGGAATTACTGACCATGAAACCTTTACAGATGGGGACTCCGAGCTGCATCTCGGCCACTCTGCTTCTCTGGTTCCAGCACTGCCTCCAGGGCTGACTCCAGTAGGTGCAGTGCTCCAGCACTACTGTGCAACCTCACAGTCTTTACGCTATGGAACCCCACATGACACTATTCCTCTCCGCGCCCTTTTTAACATCCATGTGAAGCTGCTGAGTGAGAGGTTTGTAGTGCAGTATGACCCATTTGACTTCACTCCATTTGATGGGGGTGGCCCTGCTAAATTTATACCTGTCATTAGTAATGGACTGGGTGAGGGCCAATAAACTGAAGCAGAATCCAAATAAAATGGAGATTCATCTGCCCAAAGAGGTGGTGTTCACTGTCTTCTGGATATGCTGGCAGTTTCCCTAACGTGCTTCTTACTGAAGCCCCATGTGGCTTGAAGCCTGTGTACCTGACAGTTACTCTCATATAACCCCAGTCCTCTACCAGCTTCACTGGCTTCCCATCGAAGTCCGGGCTCAATTCAAGGTGCTGGTTATCACCTATAAAGCCCTTAATGGCTTGGGACCTAGATACCTAAAGAACGCCTTCTTCCATATTTGCCCTCCTGCCCCGAGATCGGCAGCAGAGGTACTCCTCCGGGAACCCTCCGTGAAAGATATTAGGAGGCAAAGTATCCGGAGGACTTTCTCTGCAGTGGTGTCCCATCTATGGAATGCGCTCCTCAAAGAGGTCCACCTGATGCCGTCATTATTTGTTTTTTGGTGCCAGGCTAAGACCTTTTTATTTAAACAATATTTTAATAACTCTTTATATCATCTATAGGTTTTAATTTGCAGCCAGGGTGAATCTGGATTTTATTTGTATTATTTGTATTGTGTTTATTTTATGTAAGCCATCCCGAGGCTATGTGATGGGAAGGCATACAAAAATTCTAAATAAATACATTCATTCATTCATTCCACACATTTTAACCTGCTATTTACTGCAGCTTTTGATTTCACAGGATTTTTAGTGTAACTTTTGTAAGCCACCCTAGAAAGGTTTCTACCATGCAGGAAAGGATGCATTTATAAAATAAAGTACTTACTTTGCAGACTGGTGTGTTAAAGTCAGCTATTAAGGTACACAGTGTAGCTGTGGCTTTTCAAAACAACGGACCAGCCCTGCCTTCCACTTCCATCTCATTCAACATGCTAGGGAAGGGGCCTGACAGATTTCTCTCTCCATGGAAGCCTCCCTTCAACCAGGCCACTTCATCCTATGACAAGCCCCCAGGGGCTGGACACCTTTTAGCCCTGGCCCGTGCAGTGTCTAGTTCCACTTACGCCTCTCGCTCCTCACGGTCCCGCTTGATGCGTTTCAGCTCCCGCACTTTCCAAGCCTCATATTCTTCCTCGTCGTTTTCATCATCAGTATCCAGAGCATCAAGGGCTGCCAAAGAGCGCCTGTTCTCTTCCAGCTCCTTCTTGGCTTCTTCTTCCACTATCTATAGTACATGAATGGATGGTGAATCACCTCGTGTGGTCCAGCATTCTGCGGGCCCTCAAAGACACACTGCCACCTTTCCCACTACCTTGAGGGTATACTTGCGCCGCTCCTCGGCCAACCGCCTGGCTTCCTGCTCCAGCTCCTTCTGCTTCAGTGCCTCTGCCTCCCGCTCCTGGACCGTGATCCTGTCCTTCCTGCAACAGACCTTTTGGTGAGCTACTAACAATCCCCACATTATGCTTCTCTTCTCCAGAAGTGGTGTCTTCCCCACCAGAAAGCAGATTTACACCCACATATTGCCAAAAGTACAGAAAGAAGCACTGACAGGGCAGGCTCTTGGCAGATGCCCCCAGACACACGGCTCCCGCTTTCGAAAGACTGGCCCTGCCAGCCTCCTCATCCCTGCACTCATGGGACTTGCTTGCGAATGAAGACAGGCTTAAGACGTGGCTCAGTCTCATCCTCACTATCTGTATACTCCTCATATTCTGACTCCGATTCAGACTCCTCTCCAGACCGGCCCTCATCTTCCAGTTCCATCACTTCCAGCTCCTCATTCTTACGCTCCTGAGCACGCTGGCGCATCATGCTACGGCGACGCTCTATTTCCTGCCATGAAAGGAGAAATGAAAAGAACCTGTGCAATCGCTTTAAGAAGGAGCATCTAATATACACAGCAAATATGTATGCATGTATAATTGATACATGACTTAAGGTAGTTTGCAATGACCCCCGCCCCCAAAAAACCCAGTAGCAATCCAAACAGAAATGTTAAAAAGTTAAAGAACCAGTCTAATAAACTAATTAGAAATAAAACATCTACTGGAAGAAAAAAAATTACATTTGTGTCAAAACATATAGTCAAGATGCCCAGTGTATGTCCCTGGAAAATACATTTCACAGATAAGAGTCATTACAAAACAAGCTCTTTCTCTAGCAGCTACCCATCACACTGGTTTGGATATGTGGTACCCAAGGAAGAGCTTGTGAAGACTATCTCAGTAATTGGGTAGGATTAGGGTAAGTAAGAGAATCATCCTTTATTAGCCACCTTGTCCTGTCACTTGACAGGATGGAACTTATTCCACAGCAGGACCATAACTTCGCATTTGGAAAGCCCTAGAACATGGGTCCTCAAACTACGGCCCGCAGGATGGATCCAGCCTGCCATGGCCATCCATCGGGCCCGCGTTGCTGCCCGTGCGCATGCTTGCAGTGCGGGCAGGGAGGTGGTGGCTTGCTCACTCGGAGATGGTTTTGGACTTGCTGGGAGATCTCCGAGCAAGCAAGCCACCGCCGTGTGCGCCCGATGTCGCCTCACGTGTGCCCAATGGCACCTCAACAGCCTGCACCCCACCTCACTGGCCCATGACAGTCACCTCAGCCTTTTAACTGGCCCTCTATTGAAAAAGTTTGAGGACCACTGCCCTAGAAAGTGCTTGGAAAAGTGTCTGAGATCCTGGGAATCTGGTCTTTATCAAAGATTACTGGATGAGATGAGCAAACAAGATTATAATCTACAAGGAGGCTTCCTGTGTTTCTAAGATCTCCGAAAGTGAGAAGTCAAGAGTTTCACTCACTCTTCCTCCTCCACTGAAACAACAGATCCCACTCATGGTTAGCTCTCTGATTCAGATTCCAGATGTATGTAAGTACTGGCTCAACTTTGTAAACATCACACAATTCAACCCAAGCTGCAGAGCCCAAACTGAAGCAGCTCCCATACCTCATCATCAATTTCCTCCTCTTCCTCCTCGCTGGTGTCCTCTCGTTCCACGCGCCAAGCCTCTCCCTCCATCTCTGAGTCACTTTCTCCCATCACTTCAGGTTCCACGATCTTACGGTGCCTCGCCAGCCTAGGATACAGATACTTGCCTCTCAGGCAAATGAAGTGGCGCACTGAGCACCAAGTACCCCGCTCTGCACCACACCATTGCAGGCTTGCTCCACACATTTCCCTTTCGCCTCCTTTTACCCGATCCTGGCCAGCAGAATGGCCAGAGCAGGCCAGAGGCTCAGGACCCTGGCACACAGCCCGCCCAGGCCGGGCCAGGCGGCCGGCCGCAGGAGCTCACCTCTCCTCCACGTCCTCCGTGATGCGGTTCTGCAGGCGGCGCAGGCGGGGGTCGCTGGCCAGCTCCTCCTCCTGCTCCTCTGGCTCCAGGTCCTGCTCTTTGGCCTTCTTGATGAACTGGAACTCCTCGTCCTCTTCGTCCGAGGACTCCATGGGAGCGTAGTCCGGCCGCTTTCCCGAGACATAGCGCTTCACCTTCACCTTCTCCATGGAGATCTCCCCTGCAGGAGGGCAGCGGGGGCTGGTCAGGGGCGCGCCCGCACCCCGCGGCCGGGGCAGAGCGCCGCCCGGCCGGCACCTCCCCCCCCGCCCCCCGCCCGAGCGGGCGCCTCCCGCCGGACCCCCTACCCTTCTCATTCCGGACGGGCACGGCCCCCGCCGTGGACTGGATCGGGGGCTGCTTCATGAGGGCGCTGCTGGAGCCCGACATGGTGGCTGCGCGGGTGCCGGCGGCAGGCACGACGGAGCGAGGCCAAACACCGACTCCGACCCGGAAGCGCGGCCCGAGACGGGGGTCGACGACGTCATTCGACGCGCCCACTTCCGGCGAGAGCGGCGGTCCGGCCGGAAGTGACGCGCTCGCCTGGGGCCCCGCCGGGGCGTGCTGCGCCCTGAGCAGCTGCGCAGCGCCCGCCGCCGAAGCGAGACGCGGCCCGGGGGCGAGGGGGGCCCGCCCGCCGTCGGAGGGGCCTCGGCGCGGCCCGGGGCCTGCTTCGGGCTCGGGCGGCGCCCTGGCCGGGGGCACGCCGACGGAAGGCGGCGGCACAGGCGCCCCAGGCTCCGGCCAGCGGGGCGCGTTGGCGGCGGGGTTCGGCTTCACGCAGGCCACGGCCGGAGCCGCACGGGTGTCGGCGAGCCCCGGAGACGCCGGAGGAGAGACTGCGGGGAGGAGCGGAGGCCAGGAATCGCTACGAGGCGTTTTAGCAACGACGGGCCGTGTGTTGTTGGCCTGCAGGTCCGTCAGCTCCAGCCCGTTGGTCTGTCCTTTCCAGCGTTGCCCGCTCTGACAGCGTTGCTTCAGGATCCTGGGTCTTCTAGTTATACTTGGTGGTTTTTATAGACAAGACACCAGCTGACAAAATGGTAGGATATCTGTTTCACCGGTGCTGTTAGAAAGTTACATTTTTCAAAGGCAGGAAGACACCAAAATGTGACAAAAGATGGCATATGACAAGGCCTGTACACCCCTTGGGTGAAGGGCAGCTTCTTCTGCCCTAACAAACGGTAAACTCTCGGTGGAGGGGTTAGGGTTAGAAGAGGAAATGTTCTTGCACTGCCACCAGCAGTAGCCGCACAGATCATATCTAGAGAGCTGCACAACAGGGCTGGGCAACTTTGGAGCCAGGGCTGTAGGGTACATGGTGTGGCTGGAAGATGTGACTGCATAGCAGCCAAGATGATGCTCAAACCGCTGTTGTATGTTTTCTGTCAGAATTCATGGAGGACAACAGCTGTGGCTTCCTGGAGGACAAGGTGGTTCACACCCACATGTGGCAGGACCCGCCCATGTTTGCCGGAGAGGTGCTGTCTTGCCTGCCAGCATCCCAAGCAAAGCCATTTTCCATGACAGGCAGAACTGTAATGCGCCACCACGGCCACTTGGGCAATAAGTTGATGGAGCTGGTTTTCAAAGCCAGCCTTCTCCAGGGCTTACACCCTACCCCATGTTAGTAAACATCACTCTTGTCAGCTGCTGCCATTTGCTACCCTCACATCTCCCAGCTATCCTCCTATTCATCTTTGAATGTTGCAGTACTGTGACATCTGCATTTCCCCAGCAGAGTAACAACTCTGGCCAAATGTTGCTTCTTCACTGAAGCTACTTGATGCTTCAAGACAGTCTTTGCTGCTCCTGCAGGTGCCCCATGCCTATTTGGCCAGGGGGCTACTTCTAAATGATAACCTAGTGCAGGATGAAGCAACAGCCAATGAGTGCCACGCTGAATGAGTCAAGTCATAGGCTGAAGGCCTTGCTATAGCTAGTAGCTGCTTGCTCTGAGCTGCCTCCCACTGTCGCCCTGTGGTCAGAAGTCATAGCACATCTTCTGGTGCTTGGCCTAGTGATCAAGGTGAGACGTGCCAACCTGGCTGTGCTGCTGCTTTTACGTATTGTTGGAGGCCTCTGGCAGCATCCCTGCCTTCACCACCACCTGCCTTCTCTCTCTGCCATCAGCCGTGGCTGGTGTGTGCCCATCTACTCACCTAGCCGCTCAGTGCATATGCGCTTGCATTATTGTGCAGATGTGAGTCTGAGAATGACTAGAATATAGCTTGGGGATTTAGGCGTCTTTTTACTCCTGTGTAACTTTTCTCAATAAAAGTCACATATAAAGTGTTCTCACTGAATACGCATATTGGTACCTCATTCTCAAATTGGTATTTCGGTAAGATTGGTGCAATTAGATTAAATTTGCTGAAAGTGTTGCATAACAAAATGGTAGAAAGGGATGGGCAAAACAGAACACACGTGACAGTAGGTGATATGGGTCTGGGAGGGAATCTAGAGTAGTTCTGGAAGGGAACTGACTGGAAATTCTGGAGTCTGGTTACTAAGCAGGGAAGACACCCCTACTCTTGTCATGGTAACCATGTGCAAGGCCTCACCCTGTTGTGCCACCCACTCTGCAAGCTGCTTCCCATCCCTTCACACTTGTTGGGACCTGTTTCTCTCCCAGAGCAATTTTCTTAAGTCCTGACCTTGCAGATGCATCAGGACTACAGTCCAACTTGGTCTGATCCACATGTCTGTACCCTTTGGTTAGGCATCCAAAAAGGCTTTTGAGATGTTTTTATCCACACTGGAATGTCAACACTATTCACTGCTTCATTTGTATAGGTTTGTTTGTAATGTATTATTATTATTATTATTATTATTATTATAACATTTCTATGCCGCCCCTTGCCGAAACCTCGGGGCGGCTTACAACATGATAAAATACATTGAAATACAATAGTACATAATAAAATTACCATTAAATATAACAATACAGAAAATACATTGATTTACAAATACAAAATTAAAATTATCAGTATAAAATAAAAATATAGGAGGAGAAAGAGAAGGAAGAAGAAGTTGCCCAGGCCAGATCATATGTTTTAACAATTGAAATGATGTTTAAATAAAAAGGTCTTTACCTGGCGCCGAAAAACCAGTAACGACGGTGCCAGGCGGACCTCTTTGGGGAGTGAATTCCATAGGTTGGGCGCCACCGCAGAGAAAGCCCTCCTCCGGGTACTTACTCTCCTAATTTCTTTCATGGAGGGTTCCCGGAGAAGGGACTCTCCCGCAGATCTCAAAGGGCGGTCGGGCATATACGGACGTAAGCGCTCGTTCAGGTAGCCAGGACCCAAGCCGTTTAGGGCTTTGTAGGTCATAATCAACACCTTGAATTGGGCCCGGGCTTCAATGGGAAGCCAGTGAAGCTGATGGAGGACTGGAGTCATGTGAGCATAACGCCCCGTCCCCGTCAGCAACCTGGCAGCTCTATTTTGCACCAATTGAAGTGTTCGGACTGATAATTGAATCCATCATGGAGTTCATTTATTGTGTTTAAGCAAGCAGCTAATTCCTTAACAGTAATTTCTGTGTGATGGCATCATTGAAGCAATCAGTGTAAGCTTAGGAGGACTCTGGGGGATGGTGGAGGACAGGAGAGCCTGGAGGAATGTTGTCCATGGGGTCTTGATCGGTTGGACACGACTTTGCGACTAACATCACATGGCATATAATTTCTGTGTACGCTGATAGTGGTGTGGTCAATCAAAACCCCATTTCTGAGAAACTTTGCTGTGGGTGTGCTTTTTTGGGTTACCTCTGTCAGGACTCACTGCAGCCAAAGTTCAAAGGTCCCTTAGACAGACAAAGCTCTGAATGTGTGTCCAGAGAGGGCACTGGCAGCATGGCTGAGGGACCGTGCTTATGTGCACAAGTCTGCCTGTGTAATGTCTCTGCTGGGGCTCTTCCCGCAAATAGTGACGCACACGTATGAGGCAACAGCGGGGGTGGGGAATTGATTACACTGTCTGTTGAGGAGAAATTGGGGTCAGCTCCGGGAAGGATAATTTCTGGCAGAGGAGGTGTATTTAGCAGGCCCTTTCCCAGAGGAGCAGGCCTTTTCCTGCAATGTAGAATGAAGGGTTCTCTTAATTAACAGGAAATGCTGAAACTTGGTAGGTTTCAAAGCACCATCTCTCTTATTCTGAAAACCAGGTTGAAATGGCATTTGGTTTATCAGATCTCTGTGATTTCCAGTAGCAAAGCTGACGCAGTTTGGGTTATTCTGAGAGAATTAACAGAGTGATCATTTCCTGCCACCCTGGTTTTCTCTGAAAGTCACCTGTCTGATTTCCTGCATGCTGTAAGAGGCACTCACATCATCTCTTTTATCCTGGAGTCTAGGATATCACAGCTTCTCCCCCACCACTCAGCTTTCTAGTTGGCCATGGTCAAAAATGGTACATGCATGGTCCCTGCATAAGGTGCAGTTTGTGAACCTGCTCCCAAAGACACACATTGATTCAGGTGAAGGCTATATCAGGGATTAGGAAAGGGATAACAGAGCAAAACGGTAGATGTCACAAGGGTGGTTCCTGACTTTTAAGGTTCTGGTAAGAGACTGCTCCATGGTGTGACTCCTGCTCTGCCTTCAGGGGCCCAAAAAGCCAATATCCAGTTGAATTTTAGCTGGGAAAGACCCAGGACCCTGAAGCGATGCTGCCAGAGTAGACAACACTGGACTAACAAAGGAAACTGTTCTGTCGACTGTTGGCAGGCAGGGTTTTCCCAAGGGAGAATACAAGCACCAAGAGAAGCCTCCAGTGGCACCTGCCTCCTAGGCAAAACCACAGCTCTGGTGTTCTTCAGTCCTGAGTCAGAAGGAGGCCATTGAGGACTGATCTAGCACCACTGCCTGGTCTGCAAACCTTCCTGAGTCATCCAGGTGATTGCTGTATAAAGCACCTTCTCCAACCTGCCCCCCCCCCCAAAGTATGCCAGCAGTACAGTGTTCATCATCCCCAGAAGCTTGACAATTAGCCACGCTGACTGGAGGTGACAGGAGTTACAGTCTAACGCATCTGCGGGGCACCAGGTTGGAGAAGATGGCTTGAGAGACAGGGAAGAATGCATTTTCAGTGCCCCCCCCCCCATGGTTTGGAAGCAGAAGGGCTCCTGCTAAATTCTTGCATTCACAGCTCACAAGAGCTGCCCCAACAGACATGCTCATGGGCAGTTTTTCATCACTTAGAGAAACCTTCACAGCAAAGGTGCTTTGTGACTGAACATGTTGTTAGAAGGCTTCATTCTGTCACGGAAGTTAGCAGCCCCATTTCCTGCCCTGTTACTCAGTTGTTTGTCTCACTGTGCTCCATTGTTCCTACTCCCAGGAAGTGTACAGGCAGACAACATCCAGGTACAGTGGTACCTTGACTCACAAACCTAATCTGTTCAAGGACTCTGGTCATGACCCAAGTTAAATTTCCCCATAAGGTTCAATGTAAATAAGGTTAATCCATTCTGTAACCTTTTTTTTTTTTTTAATCAGAAAAATGTGAAGCAAAGTGACAACAAAGATTGCAGCCATCTCCCCCCCCACCCCCGAGCACAAACACAGCCATCTCCCCGCCCCCACAGCACAGCCAAGATTGCGCCATTGTGGGGAGAGACAGGGCGCACTGGGGGAGGGAGACAGGCATGATCTCGGCCATCTCCCCACTTGGTGGGGGTGGGGAGATGGCTGCGATCATGTTGGTTGAAGGGGGGAGATGGCCGAGATTGTGCTCATCTTTCCTGCAGGAGCACACCTGTGATCACACACTCGGGGGGGGGGGGGGGAGATGGTTGCCATCTTGGTTGCCACCCAGTGTGGAGTTAAAATTTTCATGAAATTGTTGTTTGCAACCTGATTTGGTCGTGAACCAAGGCGTTTGTGAACCAAGGTACCACTGTATTAGACTCGGCTTCAGGGATGGAGGGGTGAGGAAATGTGACCCGTCCGTGCAGCAAGGCTCCAGCCAAACTGAGAAAACCCTGGTGGGTTCAATCCTGGAGAGGGAAGTCACTTGAGGCAAGAGGGGCGCAGAACTCTCTCTGCCCAGTTCAGCCAGGAGACGGAAGGAGCCGTTCTCAGCCTGCCCCCCCGCCCCACATTTTAGAGCTCCCTTGTCCTGCCAAGAGGAGAGGAAAGCCCGGCCATGCAGCTGGCCTCGCTCTCCCACGTCTGTCTGTCTGTCTGTCTGTATTTATTTATTTATTGCTTTTGTATGCTGCCCTATTATACAAGATCTCAGGACGGCTTACAATTTGTAAAAGGACAATTAAACAACAATATCAATAATAAAACAGAACAAAACAATAAACCAAACAGAGTGACTAAACTAAAAAAACTATTAGAGTTTAAAATACTATTTAAATAAAAAGGTTTTGGCCTGGCGCTGAAAAGAATATAAACTTGACGCCAGGTGTACCTCTCTGGGGAGTACATTCCAGAGTCTGGGCGCCCCAGCAGAGAAGGTCCTACTCGGAGTTGATGGCCTTTTTACCTTTCTTAAGAGGGTTCCCAGAGTAGGGCTTCTCCCATAGATCTTAAGGGGCATGAGGGCATGTAAGGAAGGAGACGTTCCTTCAGGTATCCTGGTCCCAAGCCGTTTAGGGCTTTATAGGTCAAAACCAGCACCTTGAATTGGGCCCGGACTTCAACTGGAAGCCAGTGGAGCTGGTAGAGGACCGGTGTTATATGAGAATAATGACCGGTCCCCATCAGCAGCCTGGCAGCTGTATTCTGCACCAGTTGCAGTATCCGGACTGTTTCCAAGGGCAGCCCCACGTAGAGTGCGTTGCAGTAATCCGAGCGGGGAGTTACCAGAGCCTGAATCACTGCTCCTGTTCCCACAAAATCTAGGAACCGGGCGCAGGGAGCGCCTCAGTCAAGCCCAACAGCTGCTTCCTAGTTTGCCCGCGTCGCTAAGACGGGCGCCAGCGCTGCGTAGGAGCAGGAGCTTCGAGGGCGCAAGGAGGCGGTTCGTGAGGGCCCGAGGGGCCGCAGCCGCCCCAGGCCGGAAGCCAGTCCCTGGGAGCAGGCGGCCTGCTGCTGCGGGCGGCGCGGCGCGGCTCTGCCGAAGGAGGCCCCGGGAAGGGTAGTGGGGGGCGGGCGCAAGCTCGCCACGGCCGGGCCGGACAACCCCGGGCCGGCCGAGGGGCGGGCGTTGCGCGCGCTCCTCCTGGAGGACGGAGCGGGGCGCGGCCCGCCTCTCTCGGGCGCCGCTGCAGTCGGGAGTGACGGCATCCGGAGGCGCCCGCTCGCTCGCCCGCCCGCCCGCCGCCGCGCTCTGGGGGGCCCCGTCGGCGAGCCGGGGAGCCACAGCCGCCCGCGCCCCGAGCCGACGGCCTCCCTGCGCTCGCCGCGTCAACAAGCCTCCGGCCCGCCCCTCGCCGGCCCGCGCGGCAGGCGCTCGCGCCTCCGGTGGCCCGCGGGCTCTTCCTCCGTCCGGAGAGCGCGGCTGGCTGCGTAGCCGCTGCCTACGGAGCGGCCGCGCTCGGCGGCGCAAGCAGACGCTGGAGCGCGCCGTGAACCTCGGAGCCCAGGGACGCCGAGCGGGTAAGGAGGCTGCGCCCCGGCCCGGAGGCCCCCGGGCGGGTGGGGCGCGGCGCGGCGCGGCGCGGCGGGCCTTCCCCGGCCTGCGACGGCGCTACCCGCTCGCAGACGGGCCGGGCACTCGCGCGGGCGGCAGCCGTGCCCGGGCCTGGCGCGCCGGGGGCAGCAGCCACCTTCACGCCTCGTTCGGGCTGCCCTTCTTTCTCCCCGCCATCCGGCTCGGCCACGAAGCCCGCAGGGCGGCGGGCAGGCATGAGTCATTCTGCGTTCCGGGCGAGCCTGGCGGGCCCGCTGAGAAAGGCCGGCCTGGCCCCCGTGGCCCGGAGCTGCCGGACCTCGCCGCGCGGGAGCGAGCCGAGCCGAGCCAGCAGCGGAGGTGGCCTTCCCCGGGCGGCCGGGGAGGTGGCGAGCCTGGCCAAAGGGCCGCGGCCCCATCCCGCGGGAGCGGGACAGCAGCCCGAACGCTCCGGACGGGGTCGCCGGTAGCTTTCCCGCCGTGAATCTGGCAAAGGCCCTTCGTGGCAGCCGCCTCCAGGAGGACGAGCGGGCTGCGTCGGGGCTGTGCCCTGGCAGGAGGGCGGTGCAGGGCAGGCGCCTGGCGCTGAAAAGCCCTGCGCAGGGCAGCCTGCTACGGACCCGCGGTGGCCCGGAGTCTTCCGGCCCTTTAAAAATGGCCTCCCGGATAATTAGCATCGTAAAAAGCGAAGCGGTCGGGGCTGCTGTGCGGGAAGGCTGCGCCGGCTCCAGGGACTGCTGCTTTGCTCCGCGGTGCTAACAGCCGCGGGGCCGGAGCCGCTGCCCCCCCCCCCGCGGGTCATCATCCGAAGTGGGCGACTCCAGTGCCAAAGAGTGGCCTGGCGGGAGGGGGCAGGCGCGCTCCTGGATTCCGCCGGCTGCCTGGACGCCCCCCGCCCCCCGTGGCTGAGGCTGGCCTGCCAATGGCTCCAGCCCCTGGAAGAGCTGGGCAGCTGCAGCTTGCCCTGGGTGGAGCTGCCACCGAAGCCGCAGAGGCTCTGCCGGTCCGGAGCACTTTGGGTGAGCGCTGAGCAGGGCCGTGGAGGGTGCGCGCGACTCCCTTGCCGCAGGGCTTTGCTGGCTGCTGGGGGGCGGCATCCAGGACAGTCCTGCTCCCCTCTGAGCCTGCCTGATCCTGAAGCTCTTGGGGGGAGGCCACGCTTTCTTGGAGTGGCCTGATGCATGGTTCCTCCACTGAGGAGCACAAGCCCAGTCCTCCAGGTCGCAGATGGCCCCCAACGGCCTTTTGGGCTAGGGGTATAATGAGGAGGCCAAGCATGGCTTCCCCTGGCTGCTTCCAGGCCAGTGTCTTGTGTTCCCGGTGTGGCGGGCCGGGGAGTTTGTGCAGGCGGCACCCTTGTCCGCAGGCGATCTCTTGCCCAGGGGATGGAGCCCCTTCCCTCCTTCAGCAAGTATTTCCTGGGCCTTTCCTGGCTTGTGGAGAAGGGTCCTCCTCCTGCATTGATGCTGAGAGAGGCGCGTCTCAGGTGAGGCTGGCTGTGCCCACCTGGTGCCAGAGTGGCCTGTGAGGAGAGGAGCCGTCTTGCCTCCAGCACACTTTGTGCTGGGTGGGTCTTTGCAGGCCTGGCCCTGCGAGCAGCGCCTGCCCCTTGTGGCCGCGAGTTCTTTGCGTCTCTTGCCCCACGCCTGAGCTCTCTCTTTGTCCCCAGGAACTGGGCAGTGGGCCTCAGCTTGCAGGCTTCTGCTCTCCCCCCTGCTTGAGCTCCACCCTGATGCTTCCCTGGACTGACTGGGGCCTTGCTGGGCAAAGCCCACTTTGAGGGTCTCCTTCGAGTCCCCCACCAGCGTTCATGGATCTGAGACCGCCTGTGCTGCTTTTGTGGTGGGCTCTGATGGTGGCCGTGGACTTCCTGGCCAGAGAGGTCCTGAGCCAGCACATCTACACCAACACCTGGGCAGTGTTGGTCCCTGCAGGGCCCCAGGAAGCGGAGCGGCTCGCCCGGAAGCACGGATTCCTCTACCTGGGGCCGGTGAGTGAGGGTTGGGGTGCCAAGCCCAAGCCCGCAACTCGGGGAAAAGAGACCGTTGGAGCCCACTGCAAACGTCTGGGAGGGTAGAGGGAAGTGGTACGTGGGTGGCACAACCACCCCCAGGAGGCCTGGCTTCCGTCCTGCACTGCAGTCCCTGGAACAGATGCCTGTGGGGTTGATACCCAGGGCACGACGGGGAGGGACAGCCTGTCTTGCCTCCCGCTGGTGTGTGTGTTGTGGGGGGCTTCGGAATACCCGAGGATGCCCCTTTCTGCAAGGCATCAAAGTAAATTGGCCCAGTTTGAGGTACGATGCTGCGGGTGGACGGGGTGGGCCCTTCTGTTTGGGAAGTTTGCTTGATGATTGCAGCAGTTGTGACAGGAGGAAAGCTGCTCCTAGGACCTTGGCCTTTCATAGGTTTGGATTTTCTTTGCCCTGCAGTACATGGGTGCCCTGATGGCGAGAAGCTTCCTTGAGCTCTTTGCTCTGTTGGCCTCTCCTGAAAGAATGCTCTGGTTGTGACGGGGCCCAGCCTGGACCAGGGCTTGGAGATGAGAGGAGCCTTCCCCACCTTTGCCCAAACCCTGCAGGTGGAACGTGGCAGGCTCATGCCAAGGCAGGCACTTAGCCCCAGGCCCGTCCTTTGCAGCAGCTTGGGCTGCCGGGCAGGTTCCAGCCTGGGGCAGGGTGACGAGGTGCGCCTCCCTCACAAGGGAGCGTTCATGGCTGGCTGCTGGGAAAGTGTCCTCTGTGGGTGGCTGGCCGGCCAGCTTCCTTATCCTTATCTTGGCAGAGGCCACGTGGGCACTGGGCCCGGCCGCCCCGTGTTGATGCAGGACGGGCGCCCGCTTGGCAGCAGATGCGGGGATGCCAGTCCCACTGGCGAGGCGCAGTGCAGGGTTGCTGCACAGCCCCATCCCCTGGGCTGCTTGCCTGTCAGCAGCCTGCTGGGTGGGTGGGGAGGCCCTCCCTTGGGCTGTTTCCGTGCCCTGAGCTGGCCCCGCTTCTCTGGGAGCTGCCCTGGACAGTGGCGGAGAAGCACCTGGGAGTTGCCACGTGTCAGCACGTGTCAGCTGGGGGAGCGCCTGGGAGGGGTGCTTGGACGGCACCATGGGTGGGGAGGCGTGCCTGCTGCCCCCTTGCTGGCCGCTGTGGTGCCCTTGGCGTGTGGCCACCGCTGAGGAGGTATGGGGGGGCCCGAGCCTGGCCCTTCTGGGGCTGCCACCGCACTGAGTGTCCTGTGCAGAGTGGGGCTCAAGGCGCCCGTCAGCCCCAGAAGCATCCTCTGTGGGCGAAATGCCGCCATCTTTCTGAGGAGGTGCAGCCAAAGCTGGCTGTGCACTCCGGTGCCTGCCCATCGGTCGCCGAGCATCGATGAAGGTGGTTCTTTCTTTTCCAGACTTTGAACCACCCAGGTGACTCTTTGCTGGAGGAAGCTTTCCCTCCGGCGGCCAAATTTGAGGCCCCTGGGAGGTGAACTGCCCAGTCTTGCCCACGAGGCTCGTCCAGGCGCCTCCCGCCGTGGTTTCTCGGGTCTGTCTCTCGGGACCCGTTGCTGTGGGCGAGGAAACCTGTCCATTCCATGCAGGGGACGCTTGCAGCATGCCCGGGGCTCCCGGCAGTTCCTGGCCTCGTGTAGAATTGCTCTGAGTGGGGCTGCGTGGCTGCGGCAACACTGCCGCTGGCTCCGCTTTTTCGGAGCTGGCCCCGCCACACGCAGCAGGCAGGGCAGCCTGGCATTTTGTGTGCACGTGTCTGGGGGCAGGCAGGTGGGGCAGGCATACGTGCTCCCCTGCTTGGGCCCCAGAGAGCCCCTTGCCTGTCCCAGCTGCATGTTTGCTCAGCTGGGCGTTTGATTGCTGTCTCTGGAAAGGCAAGCAGGAAGCAAAGTGAGGAAATCTTGGCAAAGCCGCAGTGTCCCAGGTCCTCTCTGGCCAAGAGGGCACCGCCTCATCCTCGCTTGGGAGCGAAGGGAGAGGCGTGCTGGAGCAGGTCAGGAAGACACGAGTGGCTCAGCATGTCCCCACACTCCCCCCAACAGGAATACTCGGCCTCTTATGGGCCGGGGCAGCCTAGAGCCCTCCGAACGCATAGCCATGGGGAGCTGCCCACTTCTTGAATTTGCCCTGCCCCCTTCCAGGCTGTCTGAATTGGCAACCGTCAGTGCAGCTGGTAGAAGTGAATCCCGTACCCCCCTTCGTGCTGTCTGAAGAGGCCCTTCCTTTGCCCTGCCCTGAATCTCCCACCCACTGGCTTCACGGGTGGCCTATCAGGTTATGATGAGAGAGGGAGACGAAGCCTCCGATCGCTTCCCCCGTGCAGGCAGACTCCCCACTTGTCCCCGGGGCTGAGGCGCCCCAGGCGTGGTCTGGGAGGCAGCGGCCGCTGCTCGCCTTTGCGGCAGCAGTGGCAACACCTGTGCTGGCTACGGCAATTACGGCCACCAAGGTGCCTGGCCGAAGAGCCCCCCTGCTTTCCCTCCTCTCATCTAGACTCCCTCAGGGGGCCCTCTCTACCCCCAGCCCCACCCCACTCCCCCCCCCGTGTCGTCCTGCCCTTCCCTCCAGGCCTCCGTGCACGGTGCCCATAGGTGCTGGCAGGTGCAAAGCTCAAGCAAACAGGTTCCGTCCGCAGGGGCTGGCAAGCCACTCTGTCCCACCCTCTGCCGACGGCCCCCTGCAGCAGGCCAAGCAGGGCCGTCTGGCAGGCTTTCTTGGGCTTCTCCGTGTTTGGGAGGAAGGGGCTGGGAGTCAGTGGGGCAGACTGCTCCCCCGGAAGAAGGGCGTGCTGTGGCTGGCTCAGCGGACCGGGGCGCTTGCTTTCTTTGCCGCAGCCAGCGCGGCCAACCTGGACATGGGCGGGGGTGCTTCCCCTCTTGGGTGCTGGGAGTCCCGGTGTGGGGAGGAGCCTTTCTGCCCCCGCAACACACAGGCAGCCACTGCACCCCCTCCCCTCCCCTCTCCTCCCCCTTGATGGGGCTGCTGCTGTTATCCCATGTGGCTCCTGGAGCCCTGGAACTGCCCTGGTGACTCACAGCCGAGGCCCCGGGGAGGGGAGTTAGAGGGGAGACCTAAGGTAGCCTGGGGGAGGGTCTGCGGTTGCCTTCTCCCCCCTCCAGGCTCTTAGGCCTTGAGGAAAACACGCTGCCTGTGGTCTAGGCACAGACACCTGCCTCTGCCCTGCAGCCCCCCGGCTTGGGCGGAACGGCGTGCAGAGGGAAAAGGATTCCAGTCCCCAGTGGGTCACCCCCAGGGCTAGAGGAGCCTGCCAGAGTGGGCTGGGGAGTCACTGCCCTCCCCAGGGCATGATTTTGCAGGGTGGGGGCATTGTCTAAGGAGGGAAGATCAGGCCAGAGACTCCGCAACACTGTGGCGGGGGGGCGCCCCGCTTCAGGGCTGCACCAGAGCAGTCCTCTTTCCTGTGAAGCGGGGAGGCCACTGCGGCTGTGGACGGGATGCATCCTCTGCCTGGGCCAGTGCGGGGGAGCGCGGCCCGGCATGCGGCGTGGGCCTGGCGGGGGTCTCATGTCTTGTTCTCTTCCACCTCAGATCATTGCAGACTATTACCACTTCCACCACCGGGCGGTGGCCAAGCGGTCGCTGTCTCCCCACCGGTCTCGGCACTCCTACTTGAGCAGGGAGCCCCAGGTGGGTGCCCGATGCGGATGCCCCTGCAGGCTGGCCCCTGGCCAGGGCCATGGCTGGCACGGCTTGTGGCCACCTCTGCCCCGGACTGCCAGGGATCTGCAGGCTGGCAGCACGGTGGCTCTAGAGATCGGGGGGCTTGCTGGACCCGGAGGGGCGCAGGTTCTTTCCTCAGTGCTGAGTGGAGGCCCCATGCCTTCTGGGGTGAAGGAGGCCCCAAGCAAAGGTCCAGGATGGCGCCTGAGAGGAGTCGCGCCCCCAGCGCCTGGCACTCCGCTTACCCTGCCCGGGCCGTGGCGAAGCCACCAAAGAAGGGCCGGCGCAGCAGGCAGGAGTGGAGCTGTCCTCCTCGGGGTCCCGAGCTGCTGCCTCCACCCCCTGGGCCGGCTGCCGTGTGGCACTTTGGGAAGGGGTCTCGGGCAGCTGTGGCCGCTCCTTGCCAGCGGCCAGGCGAGTGCTGTGGCCTCTTGCCTGGCCGGGCTGCCTGTGTTCTGCGAACATGCCTGGTGTAGCCGTGGCCTCTCGCGTGGCTGCACAGCGGCCCCCGGAGCAATGGCCCGGGCGAGCGGCACTCTGTGGGGCCTTGTGGCTCAGCCGGGGACTTGGGGGGTGGTGGGGCTTTCATTTCTCTGCCAAACGGAGCTGAGCTGTCGCCGCTGGGGAGTCGTGGCCGCCTGGCAGATCCCTGGTTCTGCCGGTCGCCCTTGTGGCTTCACGCTGCTGAAGCCAGGCGTGTCGCAGAGGTCCGGGAAGTGGACAGGCCACCCATGGAGTGCCCCCTCCCTCCCCCCTCCCCGCCTCAGGTGGCCTGGCTGGAGCAGCAGGTGGCAAAGCGCAGGACGAAGCGGGATGCCTTCCTGGAGCCGACGGATCCCAAGTTCCCGCAGCAGTGGTACCTGGTGAGTGCCCAGGAGAGGGCAGGGCTTCTGCAGGGAGAGAAAGGCCCCCAAGCGCTTAATCCCAGGCAGGCAAGGCCACCGTGCCCCACTTCCTTATCCTTCCCTGTGCGAGTGTCGCATCCCGCCCACACAGAATCGGGGTGCGGCGCCTGGCGTGCCTGCTGGCCAGATAATCATCCGCAGGGGAGTTAGTCAGTCACTCCCTGCCTGCGGATTTGTGCGGTCAAAGGCCCTCATCACGTGAGGTCACAGGGCCTAGAGTGCAGGTGCCTCTGTCCTGGGGGAGCCCCTGATGTGGGGGGCACAGCAGCTGCTGGACCTGTGTCGCTGGGGCTCGGCTTGCCCCCTCCCTCTTCCTGAGAGGGTCCCTCCGGCTTGCCCAAGTAATTTTCACAGGGAATTTGATAGCAGTTGCAGGATCTTTCTTTCCAGTTTGTGGACAAACAGATTTGGCTTGAGCAGTGGGGGGTGGGGTGCCATTGGTGTGCTGCTGCCCAGATGCAGGGGGGCTGGTCTCACTGCCTGGGGAGGGTCCTGGGCTACCGTGCTCTTGCCAAAGGTGGAGGCTGGTTGGTTGTCCCAGCTCCAGGCTGGCAGGTCGGGGCCGGGGCCGGGGCCGGGACCCTCGGAAGGGCCCCGGTGGAATGGCCTGTGGCTCCCTCCCCTCCAGTCGAACGGGAACCAGCGAGACCTGAATGTGCAGGAGGCGTGGCAGCAGGGCTACACCGGCCGCGGCATCGTGGTCTCCATCTTGGATGACGGCATCGAGAAGAACCACCCAGACCTGGAGGCCAACTATGTGAGTTGGGGGGGCTCCACGGGATGAGGTGCTGCCTCTAGCGCGCCTGCACCCCCGCCCAGCTCCCTGTGAGCTGCCTCTTCGTGGTAGCGGCTGCTGGGGGTGAGCCCCTTCCCAGGACAAGCCCCTCCTGCTGCCGAAACAGTCTCAGCTCTGAGAGACCGTTTGCCCGCCACACACAGCCTCCCCCAGCAGCCTCCCCGCCAGATTCTTGCTGCCTGCCCCCGACCCCGCTCGCTTTAGCTCCTCAGTCTTCCAGACATGACAGGAGCCCCGCTCCTCCCCACCTCTTCCCCTTCCCTCAGAGGCAGGGGAAGGCATGGCTGCCATCTGCATTTCCTCAGGCTGTCTCGGAGCTCCCTGGGAGCTCCGGGGGCAACCGTCGGACATAAAGGTGGCGGTGGCTGAAGCCGTCTCAGGAGCCCATGGAAATCAGTCTTTGTTTGAAACCCAGCGGCGGGAAGGATGCTTGTGGTGCCCTGGTGCCTGCGGGCGCCGCGTTGCCCTGGCCCGGGGCAGGCCGTTCTCCAGCTGAGGGCAGCTGCATGCAGGGGAGGGGCTCACGGAGGGCGCAAGTGCTGGGCTCCCCCTCGGAGGGGCTGCCTGGCGCCCAGCAGGCGGCTGGCTCAGTTCCAGCTCCTCCAGGTGGGTCTCGGGTGAAACCCCGGAGCGCTGCTGCCGCCCGTCACTGCCGACGGCCCCGCTGGACCGGCTGCAGCCAGGGCGCAACCGGTCTGCGGCAGCACCTGGGCCCGCCGGCCCCAGCCCGGCTTTCCCTCGAGAGACGCCCACCGGCGGTCTCCGGGCACGGCTGCTCTGCACGCCTGCCCGGACTGCCGGCGGGGGGATGGGGCCCTTCCTTCCCCGGCCTCCCGGGTCCTGGTGGCGGCGCCCCGTCTGCAGCGGGTGGGAGGCTGGGCTGGGGCAGGCCCGGCGAGCCCCGGCGAGCGTGACGCTGGGCTCTCCTCTCCACAGGACCCCGCGGCCAGCTTCGACGTGAACGACCAGGATGCTGACCCGCAGCCACGCTACACACAGATGAATGACAACAGGTGGGGGCCGCCTGGGAGGGCGGTGGGGCGCGCCGGCTCTTCCCCGCCCGGGCTGACCCTCCTTCCTTCCTTCCTTCCTTCCTTCCTTCCTTCCTTCCTCCCGTTGCAGGCACGGCACACGCTGTGCGGGCGAGGTGGCTGCCGTGGCCAACAACGGCATCTGCGGCGTGGGCGTGGCCTACAATGCCAAGATCGGAGGTACGTGGCGGGGGAAGCGCCCCCACAGGGCCTCTGGGCGGAGGCCGAGGCCGAGGCCAGGGCGGGCGGGCGGCCTCTGTGGCCTTCCTCCGGCCCTGCCGCGTCGAGGGCGACCCGAGCGGAGACGATGTCCTTGCCGTAGGGGTCCGCATGCTGGACGGAGAGGTGACAGACGCGGTGGAGGCGCGCTCGCTGGGGCTCAACCCCAACCACATCCACATCTACAGCGCCAGCTGGGGTCCCGAGGACGACGGCAAGACGGTGGACGGGCCGGCCCGGCTGGCCGAGGAGGCGTTCTACCGCGGGGTCAGCCAGGTAGGGGGCAGGCCGGGCACCTGCGGGTGGGGGGCCCAGCGGCCGTGCCCCCACCACCACCTCACCGGGCCCTTCACACAGGGCCGCAACGGGCTGGGCTCCATCTTCGTCTGGGCCTCTGGGAACGGCGGCCGCGACCACGACAGCTGTAACTGCGACGGCTACACCAACAGCATCTACACGCTCTCCATCAGCAGCACCACGCAGTACGGCAACGTGCCCTGGTACAGCGAGGCCTGCTCCTCCACGCTGGCCACCACCTACAGCAGCGGCAGCCAGAACGAGAAGCAGATTGTGAGTGCCGGCGCCGGGGGAGGCGGGCCGGGCTGTGCGGCCGCCTGCGGCACGCGCCGCCCAGCGCCCCGCAAGCCTCGCCGGGGGCCTTCCCGGGCGAACGCCCGGATGGGGGGGCCCTCAGCCGCCCTCACGGCCCATGCCCGCCTCACTTGCAGGTGACGACGGACCTCCGGCAGAAGTGCACCGACTCGCACACCGGCACCTCGGCCTCCGCCCCCCTGGCGGCCGGGATCATCGCGCTCGCTCTGGAGGCCAAGTAAGGGCACGGGGAGGCTCCCCGGGGTCGGCCGCACGGGCCCCTCCTCGTGGCCGGGGATGGAGGGGTGGGTGGCGCACGGCTCGCCCGCCTGACTGGCGTCCCCCCACAGCAAGAACCTGACCTGGCGGGACATGCAGCACCTCGTGGTGCGGAGCTCCGAGCCTGCCCACCTCAACGCCAACGACTGGGCCACCAACGGCGTGGGCCGCAAAGGTACCGCCTGGCTGGGGCGCGGGGCGGGCGGGGCGGGGGGGCCGTGGCTGCCGCCCGCGTTCACCAGCCCGTCTTCTCTGCTTGCAGTCAGCCACTCCTATGGGTATGGCCTCCTGGACGCGGGGGCCATGGTGGCCCTGGCCCGGAACTGGACCTCTGTGGGGCCTCAGCGGAAGTGCAGCATCGACATCCTCACGGAGCCAAAGTTCGTCCTGGGTGCCGACCGGCCCCCCATGTATCCCGGGGAGCCCCTGCGGGGGCTGGGCTGCCGCTGCGGTTTTGCCCGTGGCCGGGGGGGGGCGGCGGGGGCCAAGGCTGCAAACCACTCCCCGGGGACGCGGAAGCCCTGCAGCGAGGACCCCCAGGAGGGGATCAGTTCCGAGCCACGCTTCCAAGTGCGGCAGAGGACTGAGGCGGCCCCCAGCGTGGCTTTCCCAGGATGCAGCCCCCGCCTGCACCGGCTCCGCTCTGGCTGCTCCCTGGGGGGCTGAGCGGAGGGCCCCAGGCCGTCCTGCTGGTGGGGCACTGGGTGGGGAGTGGGGTGGCCATTTGCCGGGGGCGGTCCTGCCTCGGTCACAGCCTTGCGTGGCCTCTGTGGTGAGTGCGTGCGGTGTCCTGCAGGGACATCGGGAAGCGCCTGGAAGTGCGCCAGAAGGTGGACGCCTGCCAGGGGAAGGCCAGCCATGTGGGCCTGCTGGAGCACGTCCAAGCCCGCCTCACCCTCTCGTACAACCGGCGGGGTGACCTGGCCATCTACCTGGTCAGCCCCATGGGCACCCGCTCCACCCTGCTGGCTGCCAGGTGAGTCCACTCCCGTCCCAGCCACCCCCCGCGGGGCTCGCGCCCTCCCCCGGCGGTGTGTGACATGCTCTCTTCCTGCCCCGGCCAGGCCCCACGACTATTCTGCGGACGGCTTCAATGACTGGGCATTCATGACAACCCACTCGTGGGACGAGGACCCCTCTGGCGAGTGGGTGCTGGAAATAGAGAACACGAGTGAAGCCAATAATTATGGTAACGTCACAGCCTCTCCGCTGGCTCTGCTTGGCCTCGCAGGGACCTGCTGCTTTTCTTGCTGAGCATCCTCTGCTGCTTGTCCCATCAGTTGCTGTGCCCCCTGCCCCAGCCAAGGAGGTTCCTCCCCTGCCAGCAGCTGCTTCTCTCCTGCATTCGGCCCTGGGAGGCTTCCTCTGGGGCAGTGGTGAGAGAGAGGCCCTTTTCTGCTGCCGGCCCGGCATGCTTCCCAGTCACACTGGGCTGGCTGGGGCCCAGAACCTTCCTGGGCTGGACAAGACTCCCCAACCCTTTGCTGGAGCCTCTGGAGTACCATGTCCTGGGAGTCCCGGTGCTTTGGGGGGCTGGCGCAGCTCCCAGCAGGCCTTCCGCCAGCACCTCATGGGTTGGAAGGTCTGAAGCTCCCCCAGGCGAGGCTCGAAGTTGTTCAGAGTCCCAGGAAAATGCTGCGCAAGGTCCAGGTTTGCTTACTGGGAGACGTACGCTCTGTTGAGTAACTTGCAGGCAAGCATGCCTACAGTCAGCAAGTCGGTCGCTGGGAGGGAGGGAGGGAGGGAGGGACGGACAGACGGACAGACAGACAGACAGACAGACAGACAAGCCGGCTGACCCTGGCCGGGAGCCCAGACAAGGCTGCTGGGCCGCTGAGCTGCTGTGCACACGGTGTATCCCGCCTGGCTTCCAGCAGGGGCGTGCAGTGCCCACCCAGCGCCTGGTTCGGCCAGTTGGCGAAATGCTCCTGCGCCGTATTCTCGTCAGGCGCTGCTGCGGGCATGGCAGGGGTTTGGTCCCGCAGTGGGCGAGGCCGTGCCACGGCTCACGAGCCGGACGTGGCGGCTGGCGCAGAGCAGCCCGGCTGCCGTCGGGCGAACGCGGGGGAGTGGCCTGGACGGCGCCCTCGTTGGCGGCCAATTGCCGAGCGCCTCCCCGTCCTCTCCCGTGGGGCCGTGTGCCCATCCTTTGTCCGCCTTCCCTGCTAAGAGGCCTAGAGCAGGCCAGGCGACACGGGGAGGGGGAGGCTGGGGCCTGGGGCCTGTGGCCCAGCAGAGGGCAAGGGGAGGCTGTGTGGGGCGGCGGGGCAGGCTGCTCGCGCCCCACTTCACTCTGGCCCCTGCTCCTCGCAGGCACCCTCACCAAGTTTGTGCTCGTGCTCTACGGGACGGCCAGCGACCCGCCCAGCTTCTCCAACCAGCTGGAGAGCACGGGATGCAAGACGCTCGCCACGAGCCAGGCCTGCGTGGGTGAGTCTGCAGGGGCCTCCTGGGCCACCGGGGTGGGCAGCTACCGCCACCGTCAGTGCCCCCTGGCTGCACCCCCATGAGCTTTCCTGGGGGGAGGCAGGGGCTTCATCCTCAGGCCTGACCCCCCCCCCACATGTCCCCGCAGTCTGCGAAGAGGGCTTCTACCTGCACCAGAAGAGCTGCCTCAAGAGCTGCCCGCCTGGCTTCGCCCCCGGCCCCGCGCCAGCCCCGCTGGAGAACAGCCTGGACCCGCACCTGCGCCCCCGGCTCTGCACGCCCTGCCACCCCTCCTGTGCCACCTGTGCGGGGCCCGCGCCGGACCAGTGCCTCTCCTGCCCGGCCCACGCCCACTTCAGCAGCCAGGAGCACACCTGCTCACACCCGATGCAGAGCAGCCGCGCCTCGCCAGCCCTGGGGGAGGGGGTGACGTTCGCTGGCCCCACCAGTGGCCTGCCTGTCCTGGTGGCTGGCCTGAGCTGTGCCTTCATCGTCCTGGTCTTCGTCGTGGTCTTCCTCATGCTGCAACTGCGCTCGGGCCTGCGGGGGGGCAAGGCTTTCACGCTGGAGCAGGGCGGCCTCATCGCCTACAAGGGGCTGCCCTCAGAGACCTGGCCGGAGGAGGAGGAGGAGGAGGAGGGCGAGAGCGAGAGGACTGCCTTCATCAGAGACCAGCGTGCCCTTTGACGAGCCCGTGGCCCCGGCACGGCGGGGGGCCCCGAGGGCCCAGGTCTCTGCTCGGGGTCAGCTAGATGCTGCTGGAGAGCGCGCTCGGCCCCCGCCCTCGTTCAACTCACCAAAGTGATTTTTAGACAGCCAGTTTGTCCCCATCGTGGCAGGAGGGACAGCAGTGGCCTCCCTCCGTGTGGGGTGAGGGCTGTGGGGGGGGAGCAGGGGGCAAAGACCCTCCTCTCAGGCCCAGGAGAGAGCCTTGTCCCCAGGCGGCTGGGGAACCGAGCCCCCTTCCTGGTGGGCCAGGTCCCCGGCTGCCGCCTCCTGGCCCCGAAGAACAGCCCGAGCCTCGTCCCCTCCCCCCCGTCCGTGGGGCTGGCACCTCTGCCTTTGACCTTCTCCTTGCCCAACCGCCCCCATGCCCTCTTCCCTGAGATGCCCCCCAGCCTGGGCGGAGAGCTGGGCTCCTCTTCCACACATGTCTGCAGAGCTGGGACGGGCAGCGCCGTGCCCCCTGCGGCCCAAGCGGGACCCCCAGGGAGGGGCAGCAGTTCGCTTGCCCGCCGAGCCGCGCGCGCCGCTTCCGGACCTGCCCAAAGTCACTGGAGCTTCCACCTTTCCTCATGTGCCTTGTTGCCCTTCCTCCTCTCGGATGACAATCTCTCACTGGTCTTGGGCTTCTGCCCCCCACCCCCCAGCTTGGCCCTGGCTCCCTGCTGCTGGCCCCGGGGAGGGGCTGCCTGGTGGAGGCTGCGCAGTGGGGCAGAAGAGAGGCTGCCCAGGACTCGTTTTCTATCATAACTTTTTGGTGCACAGATAATTTCTTGTAATTTAAAGCAGGAGCTGATTCCTGCGGCCAGTGTTTTTTTAATTTAATGGATGTGGATATAACGCTAGAGAGATTAAAGTTTATTAAATGTTGGAACTATGCAATCCTGCTTTCCCCTCCTGTGTTCTCTGGACACAATCCTTATTTCGCCTGTTGTGGCTTCGCCTTTTCCTTTCCCATCGCCTGTGGCTGACGAAGGCCGGTTTCCGGCGAGCAGCATGCCGTGCAGTGCTGGTCTCGCAGGTCCCCGGTCGCGGCCACCACTGCCACGTGGAACGGCCACCTGTGTGTGAGCTGGGCATAAATGCAGCCGGCAGTGTGGCCGCAGCAGGGCCTGCCCGGCATGCTGCGGGCTTGCCGGGAGGGCCTCCCCGTCCCTCGGTGCTTGGGCGGTGGTCAGCGCTAGTGGGGGCTTCCGTGCTCTCCCGCAGCCCCTGAGCTGGCCCAGCCCGGCCTGGGCACGCCGGTCCGCCTCGGGGAAGGGCTGGGATTCCTGCAGCTGGCCAGGCCATGCTGAGGAATTCATGGCTGGGTGCTGCTGTCGAGCTGCGGGCAGATGGGGGCCTTGCTGGTGTCCCTTTGGCCCCCCCTTGCAGTGTCGCCACGGCAGTGGGCGGGAGGATGGAGGGTGAGGGCCGAGGCACTGCTGCGAGGCGAGCCAGCGGGCGAAGAGGGTGGCTACAGCGTCGGGCTTGCCAGGGTGGCTTCAGGTATGGGAAGGGGCAGCCAAGGCAGCGGCCCTGCATCAGAGGGCTACATGCTTCGGGGGAAAAAGGCTCAGTGGGGGGGGGGCGATGGAGGAGTGTAAACTGGCGCGCAGTGGGGAGAGGGAACTGTCTTGGGAGTCCTCTGATCAGGAAAGGCGAGAGGTGCTTCTTCCCAGCACTGGCGTTTGCTGCGGCGAGAGTGCGCTGCTGGCTGCCCGGGGGATGGCTTGGCGAGGGGATCGGAGCGAGCGGGAGAAGGGGGCTGCCAGAGGGGGCGAGGGGGCGCGGACCTTCAGCCCGGCGAGGGGGCTTCCAGCGGGCCCGCCGGCCGGGGGAAGCAGATGCGGGAGCGCGGACCTCGGCGAGCGCCAGCCCCGCGGCCGGCTGGGGCCGCATCCACCTCTGGCCCGCGCCCCTCGCGGGCGCCGCCGATACGCGGGGAGCAGCGTGTGCCCCGCGGCCCGAGCGAGCGCAAGCGGGGCGCGGACGGGCGGACGGGCCTTGCCGGGAGGGGCTCTCGCAATGCTGGGAGGGCTTGCGGGGCTTCCTGTTCCTCTTTCGCGCCGGAGACACCCGAGGCCGGCGCGGGCTCCGGCGGCGGCTTCCTGGGACAGCGCAAGGTACGGCCTCGGGCGGGGCGGGGCGGGGGGGAGGGGAGGGGGGAGGGGGCGCGCCCCCCCCGCCCGCGCCCCGCGCCAGCTGGCCGCCCGGCTCTCCGCGCAGAGCCCGCAGCACCCCGGCGGCGGCCGCCACCCCTGCCGCTCCCGCGGCCGGGCGCCCGGTCCCCTCACGGCAGTCTTGTCCTGTGGCCCAGCCCAGCGGAAGCGGCGGCGGCGGCGAGCGGGACCCGCGCAGGGGCCGAGAGACCGGGCGCGCCGCGCGTGATTCGGGGGCGCGCGCAGCATGGGCTTCGGGCTGCACGCCGGCTGCCCCGAGGGCCACGCCGCGCTGATGCAGCTGCAGGAGGCCGAGCTGCGCCTGCTGGAGGGCCTGCGGAAGTGGATGGGCCAGCGGGCGAGGAGCGACCGGGAGTACGCGGCGCTGCTGCACCAGATGCACTGCCTGGCCGGCCGGCAGGAGGGCGGCTGCCCCGGCGGCCAGGTCAGCCAGGTGGGCGCGAGCGCGAGCGCGGGGGCCGGGGCGAGGGGCAGGCGTGGTGGCCGGGCCTCCCGCCGACCTCGGAGGCGCTCACCTGCCCCGCCCGCCGCAGCTGGGAAGCGGGTGTCGGCGCGGGGGCTGCTGCCGCCCCCCAGCACCCCCAGGCCGCACTTGCCTGTCCACTCGCCCGCGGGCCGACCGGGACTGCAGCCGAGGCGGGACCGGGACGGGGCCCGGCAGGCGAAGGCTCGACGTCGGCTGCCCGCCAGTCTGTGGGGGGCAGGGCCCCGTGCGGTTTGGCGTAGGCCCACTGGAGCCGCCTGGCCTCAGACGGGGCTTTCTCCCCCGCCAGCCGAGCCCTTCTGTTTTCTCCCTGCCGGCATGCAGTGCTGGTGGTCCCTGGTGAACCAGACAGAGGCCCTGAGCCAGATCCTGCAGCGCCATGCGGACGCCCTGCTCTCCGGGCCCCTGACTAAGCTGGGTCAGCTCATCCGCGACAAGCAGCTGCTGTGCCGGAGCTACAGTGAGCAGTGGCAGCAGATGAGCCAGGACTTCCTCCGGGTAGGGCTGCTCCCCACCTCCGAGGATGCTGCCATGTCCTGGGGAGCCCCAGGTCCAATGCGTCAGGAGCCCGGGCTCTGGGGCCAGCTGGGGCGGGAGGGGCCGAGAGGGCCCCCCAGGGGTCCTGGCTGCAGGGCTGTGGCAGGCACCCAATGCGTCAGCTGGCCCCCTGCCCCTCCCTCGACTTTTGCAGACCACCCAGCAGGAGCCTGAGCGGCTGAAAACCCAGTACCGCACCCAGGTCCGCGAAATCATCCAGGCCCGGCGCAAGTACCAGGAGGCAAGCAAAGGTGGGTGAGGAGCAGAGCATGGCGGGAAGGGCAGCTGCTGGCCCAGCCGCTCGGCGGCCCCCTGCTGCTCACCGTGCCGGGGCACGTGCTTCTGGGGCGCCCCGGACTCGAGGGCCACGAGGGCAGCAGGCTGGCTCGGTGATGGGCAGGCGGCCTCCGGGACCAGTCGCCGTGGTCCGTGGCAGCGAATCCCGCTGTTTTCTTGTGCACTGTGTGAAGAATCCTTCCTTCCTTTGGTCTGAATCCCTGCTCTCTGCTTCATAGGATGGCCCCTGAGGGATGAGAGACAGAGAGCGTGAACCGCTAGTCACTTTTTTTTGGCCATTTTCTTGCATCAGTTCATTTGCTTGTATCATGTTTCTTTCTGCTCTTCTGTTCTCAAAGATTTTCCCACCCTCAAATTTAAAGTCTTCCTTGTAAAGGAGATGCTTCAGTCACCTGATAATTTTGCTGCCCTTCTTGGCACCTTCTCTGGCTCAATAATGCCAGCGTTGTGATGTGACGGCCAGCCCTGCATGCTGCATTTTGAAGCCTGGCGAGTGCTTTTCCCTTCATATCCTGAAGACCCCTAGAAGGGAATTGGCCCGTCTCCCTGAGGCAGGCCCCCTTCTGGGTGAACGTGCGCCTGAACCTCCAGTCCTTCTTCCCGGCTGTTCTGCCGGTCTGCCTCCACGCCGCCAGGTGCGCAGCTGGCCCAGCCCTGATCCCGCTTTTGCATGGCTCTCCCTGCAGAGAAGGAGCGTGAGAAGGCCAAAGACCGGTACGTCCGCAGCCTGTGGAAGCTCTACTCCTTGCACAACCAGTACGTGCTGGCCCTGGAGGCTGCAGAGGTGCAGCACACTGCCCACTTCCAGCGGACGCTGCCAGGGGTGCTCCAGGCCTTGCACAGCCTGCAGGAGGAGATGGCCCACATCACGTAAGAGTGGCGGGGGGTCCCGGCTGCCCCGCCCTGGGGAGTGGGGGGGCTCGGGCTCGGGTCCCAGCCTCAGGGGGGGCCGTCAGTCACCGCCCATGCCCCACTTCTGTGCCCGCAGAAAGGAGACCCTGCAGGAGTACGCCGGCATCACCAGCCTGGTGCAGGAGGAGATGGTGGTGGTGCACCAGGCGATGCGGAGGGCCATCGAGCGCCTCCAGCCGGCCGCCGAGTACCAGGGGTTCGTCCCCCAGTGCAGGTGCGGGCTGTGGGGCACTCATCCCGGGGGGGACCCCTCCGCGGCTCCTCCCGGCAAGCCATCTTCCCTCTGCTCCGGCTGCGTCTCCTTGCAGGTGTGTGAGCGAGCCCCCCGCCGTGGCCGCTTTCGACCGGACGCTGCTGGAGGACATGGAGGCAGAGGGCGTGCGGGCGGGCGAGCTGCAGCTGAACGAGCTCACGGTGGAGAGCATGCAGCACAAATGCGTGGGAGGGGCGGCCGCGGGGCTGCGCGGGCCCCAGCCCACGCCTCCCGGCCCCGCCAAAGCAGCGGGCCCCTGGCCCCGTGGAGCGTATCAGGCGCCGAGCGGGGCCGGGGCCGGGGCCGGGGCCGGGGCCGGGGCCGGGGCCGGGGCCGGGGCCGGGGCCGGGGCGGGAGGGCTGCCTTGGCGCCCTGCTCTGCATCGTGTCGGCCTTGCTGAGTGCTCCGTGGCCGGGCTGCCGCGTGAGGCCTTGGGGCTCCCGGTGCTCCCCATGCCGGGCAGCAGGTGCCGACGTCTCCCTCCCCCCCCCCGCCCCTTGCAGGCTGACCACACTGAAGGAGGAGCTGACTAGCGCCACGGAGAGCGCCAGGGGCCACCAGGAGCGTGTCCAGATGCTGAGGGCTGAAATCCAGGCTGCCACGGAGGCCGAAATGCCCGCAGAGCGGTGAGAGCGTGGAGCATTCCCCCTCGCCTGACCCCCCCCCCGCCAAAGGGCCCTCCCCTCGAGCCAGCAGCTGATTCAGAAGAGGGGCCTCCTGGCTGTCTGGGTGGCTGCAAGAGCCCTGCACACGCTCCTGAGGGGGAAGGACGGGAGCAGCCCTGCTGGGGCCACCCTGCTGCCTCCTGGGGACCCCCAGGCTGGGAGATCCCGCTGCCTCCTGAGGTCACTGTTCCCTGCGCTGAGGGCACTGGGAAGGAGCACACGGGCCTGGCTTCCCCACAGCGCCCCCGCACCTGCTGGGCCTCCAGTCCGCGAGAGGGTGCTGCGGCCGGGCCTACTACCCCGCCAGCAGCCGCGCCCCCCACGGGGTCACGACGTGGGGTGGGAGCGGAGCTGCGGGGCAGAGGTGGCGCGTGTCTGTGCGGCCCTCCCCAGCCTGCCCCGCTCCCCAGTGGATGCCAGCACCCGCCTGTCTCTGCAGCATCTCGCTCCTGGGAAAGCGCCTGGCCCTCCGAGAGGCCCTGCACCTCTCGCAGCTGGCCCAGGGCACGCAGGAGAAGCTCGGGGCACAGAGGGATCTGCTGCAGCGTGAGCTGGATGAGCTGGGCTCCCGCGACCCGCCCGCCGTGCCAGCCCTGCAGGAGGACGGTGGCGCCTTGCCTCCCGCGGTAGGTCCAGCCCTGCGCCCCTTCTCAAGATAGACCGGGGGGTACTGGCTGCCGCCGCCGGGCGCTCCTCCCTGCCTGCTGCCCGGGGCCTTGGTGGCACTGCCCCATGGGGCCCAGAGCCCTCAGCAAGCAGGGCTGACCTGCCCCGCGCATCTCCCTGGCAGGGCCAGCAGCCGCCACAGCTCCAGGATCGTGAAGCGGGGTGGGCACCCGCCCTGGAGGCCTTGAAGCACCACCTGACGGGCATCTTCCGCCCGCGCCTCTCGGTGAGTGTGCTGGGGAAGTGCCTGCCCGGCCCCCCTGAGCCTCTCGCAGCACCCAGCCGGCATGGGGAGAGGGGCTGGGGCAGGGGGACCCTGCCTGCCTGCCTGCCTGCCTCACTGGCGGGGGGGCCTCTGCCTGGCTCCAGCACATCTCCCTTCCTCTCTCTGCCCAGCTGCCGCCCCCGGTGCCCCTCCTGCCCGAGGTGCAGAAGCCGCTCAAACAGCAGGCCTGGTTCCACGGCGTGATCCCACGGGCGGAGGTCCAGCGGCTGCTGCAGAGCCCCGGGGACTTCCTCGTCCGGGAAAGCCAGGGCAAGCGGGAGTGCGTGCTCTCCGTGCTGTGGGCTGGGCAGCCCCGGCACTTCCTTCTGCAGGCTGCAGACGTGAGTGGCCCTGGCCCTGGGCGGGGAGGGGGCGGGGGCAGGCCACCTCCGACGGCCCCAGGGAGCAGGAGGTGCCGAGGCTGCGGGGGGGCGGGGGGGCTCTGCGCCGGCACTCCTGATCTGGCAGTCCACTCGTGGATGAGCGAGCGGCCGCCTCGAGAGCCCTTCTGCCCCCTCCCACTGGCCGCCGCCCCTGGAGGGCTTCAGGCCAGCCGTGCGGGGCCTGCAGGGGAGAGGGCTGTGGCCGCGCCACGCGCCAGGGCCGTGGTGGTCAGACGCTTGCCCGCGAGCGTGCAGGGGGTGCATCTCCCAAGCCAGGCCGCTTCCCCGGGCTCCTCTGTCCGGAGCGGCCATCCAGCTCTTCCTGGTACTTCCAGGCAGAGGGAGGGCTGGGACCCCTTTCGGTAGAAGCTGCCTGGAAGCGGCTCGGCAGAAGCTCCACTTCCCACCAAAACGGCCGCTCTGCAATAAGAGCAAGGCCAGAAGAGGTGGCAGGATTCCGAACGGGAAGGGATGCCCCGGACCCCTCCTGTGGGAGCGAGCAGCAGGCAGCGCAGGCTGCGGAGAACCCGCCCCCGTTTTCGCCCTCACGGGCCAGTGGCCCTCTGGCCACCCTGGAGGGGCAACTCCCTGCGGGACAGGGCTGCTCTGCTGCCTTCCTCATGGCTACTGGGCTACCATGTGTTCTGGCGCGAGCCATTCCTGAGCCGAACGGAGATGGAGCTGCAGCCACAAAGAACTCCTTTGCCGGCCCTCTGAGGCCCGCGTGGGCTCTCGCCACAGAGCCGGCTCGGGCAGGGGGCATCCCTTACTGCCAGGGTCCTCGGACGCTGGGTGCAGCTGCTGCGTGGGGGCACCGCACACTCACGGAGCCCCCTTGTCCATTTCCCCAGGGAGCCCACTTGTTGTTCAAGCGGGACGGGAGGGAGGGAGGGGCGGGAGGCCACCGCGGCAGCCGGCTCTAGAGAGGCACCCCACAGGGCATGCCGGTGAGGAGCGTGGCGCGGGAGACTGGACCCCAGTCGGGAGAAGAGGACCCGTCTCTGCTCCCCTCACCTTTCGTAAGGCGGCCAAAAAAGAGGAAGGGGGAAGAATTGAAAGAGGAAGTTGTGAGGCTCCTGCTGACCGCACTGCCGGCGCACCGAGAGTTCCCCTGTGCCCTGTGTCTCACCGCAGCTGCAGGCTGGGCCCCCATGCCCAGGCTGACGGGAGAAGCCGCAGTGGTGGTGCCAGCTTCCCCTTTCGGGCGGGAGAGGCCAGGGGCTGCCCACATCCCTCCAGGCACACCAGGAACAGACCAGGGAGGGGCGCCCGGCCTTGCCCCAGGGAGCGCCTCCTCGCAGGGCCCTCCTGAGCACCCCGGGAGCCTCGGGGGAGCTCTTTGCGGCAGACTCGTCCCTCCCAGAGCTGCTGCGGCAGCACCAGTCCCCTCAGCACTGCAGCTGGCTGCACCTCTTGCCAGGCCTGCCCCTGCCGTGCCCCTGCCTCACCTGCCCTGCAGTACTGCTCCTGCCACTGGCTGAGCCCTGGCCTGGCCCTGCCCCGCCTTCTGCTCTGAGCCGGACTCCGCTTTGCTGGCCACCGGCCTGCTGGGTGACTGTGACTGGGCCTGCTTGTTCAACGGGGCCTCTCCGGGGCCTCGGGGCCTGGTCTGGGGGCATTTGCCTCGCTTCCCGCCCATGCCCCACACCCCAACAGCCTGGCAGAGTTCGTCCGCCCAGGTGGGATCAGGCACCTGCTCCCGTGCCTGTTGCTGCCATGCGCTTCCGTGGCATCCGTGCAACTTGTCGTCTTGACTGGGGGCTGGTGGAAGACCCCCACCCTAGCCCAGCACCTCCTTCTCTTGCGTTTCTTCGCAGCTGCGCAGCTCCTCCTGTTCTGTGGCTTCTGCCCCTTCTGTCCTTCGCTTGCTGTATTCCACTGAAGCTGGATGTCCCGGGCCGTCTCCGTCACGCATTTGCATTCTGTTGACCTGGGATCTGAGCGCATCCTGCCTCTCCCCATTTCCCAAGCACTAGTGCAGAGGCAGCGCGAGCCGTGAGCCAGTTCCCTCTTGTGAGCACTGAGTGTGTGTGTGCGAGAGAGAGAGAAGCAGGAGCAGGGAGAGCCCCTTGGCCCGGGCTGCCATCTGACTCATGTTGCTTAACCACAAGCTGTGGTTTGCTGCAACGCGGTTGAATTGCCACCCCCCCCCCCCCCGGTTCCCCATCGCTAGTGGAGCGGCACTTGTGGACACAGGGTCTGGCCGGCTCCCCGTTGCCACACCCGGAACTCGCTGGCCGCCCAAGCTTCCACCGGCCCATATGGGAGGAGGACAGGACTCGGCCTGCCCCACGCTGGCTCTGGCCAGCGCAGAGGCCCCCGTTCTCCCTTGTGCGTGCGAGACTTGCGAGCCCCACAGCTCAGAGGGGAGGGGGACACTCTGAACCTCCCTGCCCGCTCCTGTACCGGCTCCTCCCTTCCCCGCAGAACCTGTACCGGCTGGAGGGGGAGGCCTTCCCCACTGTCCCGCTGCTCATCGACCATTTCCTGAAGTCCCAGCAGCCGATCACGAAGAAGAGCGGCATCATCCTGGCCAAGCCCATCCTCAAGGTACTGCTCTCGCCGCTGCCCCCGCACGGGCCGCCTGGGAGCCGGCTGCCCGGTGACCGCCTTTCTCGCTGCAGGACGAGTGGGTGCTGGACCACGAGGACCTGCTGCTCGGGGAGCTCATTGGGCAGGTGAGTGCGCTGCCCTCCGGGTGCGGGGAGCACCGCTGGGCGGCACCCGCGGGGCGCTTGGCCAGCGTGGGCTGGAACCCTGCAGCAGCTCCGCGGGCAAAGGCCGTGTGACCCGCAGGTGGGCACGCCGCGGTTCTGGGCTTAGCTGTGAAGCGGAGTATCCCAAATGATCCGTGTTGCAGAAGAGCCTTCCGAGGGGCTTCCGGGCACTGCCTGCTGCCTGCCCCCTCCAACGCTGCAGTCCCTGGACTGGCGGGAGGCTTGCCTGGGCTTAGGAGGCATGTCTAGGAACAGTCTGGGCCAAGGCCGGTGAGGCAAGAAGGTTCAAGCCCACGCACCATCCAGGGGCGCAGTCCAAGGGTTAATGCGCAGCAGTGGGCCTTCCATGGGTGCACAGGAATTCGTGGAAGCTGCTCCCGTTCCCGAGGGGTTCGAAGGAAGACGCTCTCCTTCAGGGGATGGAGCACATGTGAACGGACCCTAACCCTCACCCAGTTGTGCATTTTCATCCTGCAAGCTGATTTACAGAAAAGCCGAGTGAAAACACTCACATGGAGGGAGAGATGTGCGGATGGCCTGGAGCTGAGCAGGCCTCAGGCAGCGGGGACAAGGGTCAGGCGAGGGGATGCAGGACGCCAGAGTGCCAGGCGGCTGCCCGGATGGCCCGGGTCGCTGTGGCAGGTGCATCAGCGAGGGAAGCCTCCTGCGCAGCTCCGGGCCTCCAGCCGCACCACCCCCTTGCCGCACTGCCGCACCCCGCAGGCCCCCGCAGTGAGACCGCCGTCTTTCTCCAGGGCAACTTTGGAGAGGTCTTCAGTGGGCGCTTGCGTAGCGACAACACGCCCGTGGCGGTGAAGTCCTGCCGTGAAACTCTCTCACCGGAGCTCAAGGCCAAGTTCCTGCAGGAGGCCAGGTGTGTGTGGCGCGAGCTGCTGGACAACCGCCTCTGTGCTGCTGGACCTCCCCTGGGTCCTGCAGGGGCCCAGCATCCTGGAGCTGCATACACCAGCATGGGGGCTTCCCGCAGCCCCCAGATGCTTCCCCATGCAAGCCGGTTGTCCAGGACCCCACCCGCCAGTCCTCTGGGTTCTTCCTTCGGATGGTCACCAGGACTGAAAGCGCGCTCCTGGCAGGTCACAATTAGTCTGCCTGGTCCTAAATTGTCTACACCAGAAAAGGTCTTTAAAATAGCCTGCAGAGAGCCGCTTTTCGGGATCTTGGCCAGTAGCCTTTCCAAGCCCTGCAAAACGTGCTGGGGATGCGAGGCTGTGAAATATTTGCCCGCGGGGCCAGCAACAAATGCGACACGCAGCTAGATGAGGAAGTGCGGCTCCTGGGAAGGCACAGGAAGTGTCGCGCTGTGGCCGAGGGCTGGGCCGGACGGGGACACTTCCTCGTTCTGCCTCTCTGGCTTCTTTGGAAGAGCTCCCTGGGAAGAGAGGCGGCTGGCGTGCCTGCTGCAGAGCCACAGCCAGCTGCTCAGTCCCGCTGCCTGAGCATCTCGCGCACGGCAAGCCCTCCGTGGAGCCCGGCGCCCATCCAGGAGCACGGCTGCCGCCCCGGCGTCTTCTCCTTTCTAGCCATAGAGGCTCCCTGCCCGTGTAGGTGGAGGGGACAGGCTGCCTGTAGCACAAGGCAGGTGCAGAGGGAGGCTTCACCCGGCGGGGGCCCGTGGGCCGCCCTTCCCCAGCAGAGCCACCTCTGGTTCCCCCGCAGGATCCTGAAGCAGTACAGCCACCCCAATATCGTCCGGCTCATCGGAGTCTGCACCCAGAAGCACCCTATCTACATCGTCATGGAGCTGGTCCAGGGTAGGTCCAGCCATTCGCATCCCCGTGCTGGCCTCGGGGCTCTCGGGGCCCTTCGCCAGAGCCTCCCGGGAATGGGTGCGCTCCGCCACTGCCGAGAGCGGATGCGCTGGGCCGCGATGCTCGCTCCGGAGGGCCTCTTGCAAGGTTCGCAGCCTGTAGGGCCATCGAGACCAGCCGCTCGTGTCGCCGTCCGATAAATGCGGTTCCAGGCAAGGCTGCAGGCAGCTGTGACTCCCCCTCCCTCCCTCCCTCCCTCCCTCCCTCCCTCCCTCTCTCCCAGCCAGCCGGGAGGGCCCTTTGTGCATGAGCCCTTCCAGAAGTCCCTTCAAGGCTGTCATTCACCCCCTCGCCCCGATCCTGCCCCACTGCACACCTGCCCAGGCCTGTGCCCTGAAAGCACTTATGGGCTGGCAGGCTTTGCTGCTTGCCATTCCAATCAGCTGCCAGCTTGGAGCAAGGAACCAAAGAGGCTGCCAACGCACGGCTGCTGGCGGCACCGGGATGCTGCAGCCTGGGCCAGGACTGCAGGGGCTGGAGAGGTGCCTTTCCGCACCCCTCCTGGGGATCCTGTCGGGCAAGCAGAGGAGAGTGCCCGTGTCTGCGCATGCCCACGAGCCAAGCGACGGCCCTGCTTTCGTCGCGGGCCCAAAACCGCTCTGTGGGCCGGGCCCTGTTGCCGAGCACTGTCCTTCCACAGGGGGCGACTTCCTGTCCTTCCTGCGAAGCGAGGGAGCTCGGCTCACTGCCAAGGGGCTCCTGCGGATGATGGAGAACGCCGCGGCAGGGATGGAGTATCTGGCAAGCAAGCACTGCATCCACCGGTCAGTCGCCGGGCAAGCTGCGTGGTTGTCCGGAGCGGCCCCTGCTGCCCCGTGGCCTCGGCAGCAGCGGCTCAGCCTGGGCAGGGGCCGCTCTTGCCCCGCAAAGGCCGGTAGGGCAGCCCAAGGCTCTGGCGAGGGGAGGCGAGCATGCGCCCGGCCCGGTCGTGCAAAGGGCTAGGCCATGCCGAAGGACACCTTCAGGGCGAGGGCCGCCGAGGGCTCCTGGGCCCAGTGCACCAGCCAGGCTCAGCCGAGCCTTTGGCCTCCCGTTCCGCAGGGACCTGGCGGCCCGGAACTGCCTCGTGACAGAGAAGAACGTCCTGAAGATCAGCGATTTCGGGATGTCACGGGAACAGAAGGATGGCATTTATTCATCCACCGGAGGCATGAAGCAAATCCCTGTGAAGTGGACAGCTCCAGAGGCCCTCAGCTATGGTACCTGCTGGGATGGGCCAGGCCCGCCGCTCGAGAGGACTTCCCCAGCATGGCGGGCAGGGACTGGGGCGCACTGAGAGGCGGATTCGCCCCAAGGAGCCCAGCGGGTGTCCTGTTGCGCCTGCACAGGGCGTGTGGGTCATCCCAGGGATTAGTCACCGAGAATGCGCCTTCCTCCCGGGGGCACATGGGTGCGCATGCCTGCGGGCCAGGCTTGGATTGCTTTGACCCAGAAATCCAGAAAATGTGGCCACTCAGGTGCCCCCGTCTGCCCCCCTCAGGTCGGTATTCCTCGGAAAGCGACGTCTGGAGCTTTGGGGTCCTGATCTGGGAAGCCTTCAGCCTGGGTGCCACACCGTACCCCAGCATGAGCAACCAGCAGACCCGGGAGGCTGTGGAGAGGGGTGAGTTGGGGCAGTGGGGGGCGAGGCTCAGTTGAAGTGGCCTGATGGAGACAAGATGCTCGGAGGGGTTCGTGCTCTTGGCAGTTGTGCCTCTTGGCTAATTACCACTAGCCAGCCCCAAGAGGAGAGGGGAGAGCAACCTGGACTGTCTCGAAGGAGGACGTCCTGTAACAGCTCTTTAAGAAGCCCAATTTGGACCTGAACTCTGTAATACCTACCATCCAATCACAAATCTTCCCATTTGGGGAAGGTCCTCAGAAGGTGGTGGGTTTGCAGCTCCAGGCTCTCATTTTAGACTCGGCTCAGGCTCAGCTTGGCCACCTTTGTTGGGGGACCGGCAAATGCAGCCCTCTTGACTGTCCTTGACCAGTCAGCAGTATTCAGCACCCCTGATCTCGCTGGATCAGCTCCCTGGTTGCGTGCAGGGGAACGGTGACCCAGGCCTTCCTCGGCCTGGAATCAGTAATGGGCTCTATGAGGGTCCATAAACTGAGGCTGTTTATCTGATGAGATGGCGGTACTAGAGGCTCGTGGGCTGGATCTTCACCCTGCTCAGGCCAGGGTTGTTCTCCCGCTAAAGGAGCCGTTTTGCCAGTTTGCAAACAACACAGCTAAGTTTGTTCACATCACCACTGAAAGAACTGCACTGGTTGTCCGGTCGCTTCCTGGGTCAGCTCAGGGCAGCTGATGCTTCCCTTTAAAGCCCTAAACAGTGACTTTTCCCATACTGCCTTGCACATGCCCTAAGATAACCTACTCCAAGCTGTCTCTTTGGAGGTGTACCATATAATTAAAAGCAGAGAACTTTCTCTGCGGTGTCATCTGGCTTTAGAATACCCTTGCAAAAATGATCTTTCAGCTTTCTTAAGAAGGCATCATTATTCCACCATACAAGTCCTCAAAATTTTCTTTTAATATTATTAAATTCAGCTTACTGCAGTAAGTGATATGATCTGTGTTGGTCTCTGGATCATCTCCATTGCCCTTCTCTGGTTCCGCTTTACCAGACTCCTCCTTAAAATGTGGTGTCCAAAACTGGACCCAGTACAGTGGTACCTTGGCTCACGAACTTAATCCATTCCAGGACTCTGCTCGTGACCCAAACTGGTCGTGAGCCAAATCAACTTTCCCCATAAGGTTCAATGTAAATAAGGTTAATCCGTTCTGTAACCATTTTTTTAAATCAGAAAAATGTGAAGCAAAGTGACAACAAAGATTCAACCCCCCCCCCCCCCCCCCGCACCCCAAGCGTGGCCATCTCCCCGCCCCGCCCCCAGCATGACCGGGATCCGCCTGTCATCCCTGCAGGCGCCCGTCATCCCAGTGCGCTGGGGGTGGGGGGGAGAGACGGGCACGATCGCGGGCGCACTGGGGGAGGGAGGGATGGGCGCAAACGGAGCACTGGGGGTGGGGGGACGGCCGCGGTCGCAGTTCCGTTCGTGCAGGGAAGGCGTGCCTGATCAGAGGCGCACTCCTGCAGGAAGGGCACTTTGCTTCACATTTTTCTGATTTAAAAAATGATTTTTTTATTGTTATATTATCATTATTTCTGTATGTATTTATGTATTCTTTGTGAGCCACACAGAGGCTTTGTTGTGTTGGGGGCGGCATAGCAATGTTTTAAATAAATAAATAAATAAATAAGGACAGGTGGGATCTCGACCGTCTCCCCTGCGGCTCTGCTTTGCTGCTCCCGTCTTTCCTGCAGCAGCGCGCCTCTGATCACGGACGCCTTCCCTGCACGAAAGCAACTGCAATCGTGGGCATCTCCTCACTGGGCAGAGGGGGGGTAGATGGCTACGATCTCGGTCTCCACCCAAAGCGGTGTTTGCGACCCAAGTCAGAATTGTTCAGTAATGTTTGTTCGTAACCCGATTTGTTCGTGAGCCAAGGTGTTCGTGAGCCGAGGTACCACTGTACTCTTTTTTTTCATTTTGGTGCCAGGCTAAAACATTTTTATTATTTATTTAAAATATTTATATGCCGTCCTGTCGCAAAGAGCCTCAGGACGGCTTACAACATAAAATATAATATAAATTCCTGACCCACACTGGGTCCCATTTATGTTTCCATTATTTAAAATGTTAGTACTGTTTAAAGATTGGGTTTTATTTAGTGTATATTTTGATGCTGTACTTTATTGTATTATTGCCCCGAGACACAGTGAAGGGCAGTATATATAAAAGCTTTAAATAAATAAAAATAGCCAACAAGAACATTTCATCTGCGTTTAACCTCGAGGCCCAGCAGCGCGCTGTGTGGGTTGCTCGAACGGGGCTCGCCTCCCTGTTGCGTCCCCCGGAGCCTCAGCTGTGCCTCTCCCCTCAGGGATGCGGCTGAGTGCCCCGGACCGGTGCCCGGCGGAGGTGTACCGGCTCATGTTGAGCTGCTGGGAGTACGAGCCACAGAACCGACCGAGCTTCAGCATCATACGCCAAGAGCTGGTTGCGATCCAGAAGAGGCCGGGGTGAGAACACTCCGCGCGCAGGGCTGCTGGCTGGCCGAGGGCAGCTTCCTTGACGCCGGCTGGAGCCACCCACCCGCCTGGCGGCACCAGCAAAACCTGCTTTTGCCTTGGCTTTTGGCGTGGACGCCTGGTGACGTGGCGCTTGTCCGGGCCTCGGTGGCACCAGGAGAGCGCCACGGCCACACTCCCCGACTCAGCTGCGCTCCCCTTCCGCCCTGAATGTCAGTATAATAAAGGCTGAACTAGATTGTTTTGCTTGCTCCTTTTTCGAACGGGTCCCAAATAACGCGTGCCTTGTTGAGGACGGAGGGCCCTTTCCCGCAGAAGGGCAGGCAGGGCCCGGCAGGCCGGCTGCGGCCGGCCCGGCTCGGGGAGGGCCGCTCGTCGCGGGCGCTTCTCGCCCCGCGTGGCCGGGCCGGGCCGGGCCGGGCCGAGCGGCACCGCGGCCACCTCCGCGCGCCTCCCTGCCGCTCGTCCGTCCACGAAGCGGGCCGCGGGAAGGGTCTCCGCGCCGGGCAGGCGTTGCGGCGCCCCGGCGGCGACTGCGCAGAAACGGAGCGGCGCGGCTGCCCTCGCCCGCCCTGATCCG